TGGACCCATGCGGACTTGTGTGGACCCATGCAAACTGAATCATTTGGTGGTAATCGATATTTTTAATTGTTGATTGATGACTATAGCCGTATGAATTGGGTTTATTTCTTGAAGTGTAAATCTGAAGCTCTTGTTACATTCAAGAAATTTAAGAACTTGGTAGAAAATCAGCTAGATAGCCGTATCAAATGTCTCCGGACGGACAAAGGTGGTGAATTTAATTCTATTGAATTTAATATTTTTTGTGAAGAATGTGGCATTCACAGGGAGCTTACTGCACCGTACACACCAGAGCAGAATGGTATTGTCGAGAGAAAGAATCGGACTGTTGTGGAGATGGCCAGAAGCTTCCTCAAAGCCAAGGGTCTTCCAAATTCTTTCTAGGCTGAAGCCGTTGCAATAGCCTATGCTTTAATTAATTCTCAATCTCGCCACAAACTTGATGAAAAGTCTGAAAAATGCATTTTTGTTGGCTATTGTTCTCAATCCAAGGCATATAGTCTATATAATCCTTTAAGTGGCAAAATTATTGTTAGCAGAAATGTGGTTTTTAATGAAGATGCAGAATGTGATTGGAGAAATGCTAAGAATTTAGACCAAGCTCCAGTTTTAGATAATGATGTTGCTGATTCTTCACCATCAAATGATGTTGCTGATTTTTTATCGTCAAATTCAACTAGTAGCAACTCATCAAGTCCAAACAACTCAAATTCTTCCAGTCCAATCAACTCAAGCTCTTCCTCATCGATTGAAACTCCTCCAAGGAAGACCCGATCCTTGAGAGAAATATATGAAACTTGTTCTTTTGCTTTGAATGTTTCAGATCCAATATTCTATGAGGAGGCAGCAACAACCTCATCGATTGAAACTCCTCCAAGGAAGACTGAATCCTTGAGAGAAATATATGAAACTTGTTCTTTTGCTTTGAATGTTTCAGATCCAATATTCTATGAGGAGCAGCAACAATGGAAGAATGGAAAAATGCTATGAATGAAGAGATAGCTTCAATTCATAAAAATCAGACCTGGGAATTGGTAAAATTGCCTAAAGGGAAGAATGCTATCGGGCTCAAATGGGTTTTTAGAACCAAGTACCATGCTGATGGGAGTGTGCAAATTGATGCTGATATTAATTTCCAATTGTGTAGTGGCAAAAGCAAAAGCACAAGCTTGAGTAGGCAGAATGGGTTATTTGCCAAACAACAAGAGATTTTCACCCTAAGGCATTGACTTCGAGGCACACACATTCTTCCACTACTAGCCTCGTCTTGAAACTGTAAAGAAAAAAATTATTCTGAGCTTACCCTATACATTAAGGCTTGCTCAATTATCTCTTCCTGTTTTTTTCAATTTGATGTGAAGTTCTGCATTTTTTTAAACAATTTGATGTGAAGTCTGCATTTTTAAATGGAGATTTGGAGGAAGACGTTTATGTTTCTCAACCTAAAGGCTTTGTTGAAAATGATCATGAGGATAAAGTTCTCAGATTGAGAAAAGCTCTCTATGGGCTTAAGCAAGCACCGCGAGCTTGGTACAACTACTTTTGTGAGAATGGTTTTGTTAGAAGTGAAAATGAGCCCACTTTATATTTGAAAAAAGAAGTCAAAGCTGGATTTCTTGTTGTTTGTGTTTACGTTGATGACATGATTTATTTTGGGTCCAATGAATGTCTTATTGCTGACTTTAAATCTTCTATGATAATATTATTTTGAGGTCACCATTATAACTCTTATATTGCTTGTACTTTAAATCTTCTATTGATAAATGTAGAAGATTTGAGAATACAATAATTTTGGGGTTTACTGCAAAATAACAACCTTTCCTTGGGACCTTTGAGGAAATGATATACAATTGCAGCATGGAATAATTTTGAGTTGAGACAACTTATGATGAGAAGATTTGAGATGACAGATTTGGGGTTACTGCAATACTTTCTTGGACTTGAGGTGAAACAATGTGCAGATGGAGTTTTTGTTGGACAACAAAAATATGCAAGTGATTTGCTAAAAAAATTCAGCATGGTGAATTGCAAAGTGGCTTCAACTCCAATGAATTTAAATGAAAAATTACAAGCTGAAGATGGGACAGAAAAAGCTGATGCAACTTATTTTCGGAGAATGATTGGTGGACTGAATTATTTATCTCATACACGGCCTGACATCGCATTTTCTGTTAGTGTCTTATCCAGATTTATGCATAGTCCAACAAAGCACAATCTTGGAGCTAAAAAAAGGGTTTTGCGATATGTTGCTGGAACTGTTGAATTTGGAATATGGTACACCACAGTCTCAAATTTCAGATTATTTGGCTATACTGACAGTGATTGGGCTGGCTCTTTGGATGATAGAAGAAGTACCTCAGGTTACAATTTCAGTCTTGGTTCAGGTGCCATCTCATGGAGCTCAAAGAAGCAGGATACTATTGCTCTGTCGTCTTCGGAAGCAGAGTATATTGCTGCAACTTCTGCAGCATGTGAAGCAGTGTGGCTTAGGCGAGTTTTGGTTGATTTGGGCCAAGAGCAAGTGGCAGCAACTAAAATCTATTGTGACAACAAAGGCACAATAGCAATGGCAAAGAATCCAGCTTTCAACAGCAGAACAAAGCACATTGAAACTCGGCACCATTTCATTCGAAGGTTGGTAGCAAATGGAAAAATAGAGTTGGAATTTTGTGGTACAAATGATCAAGTTGCAGACTTATTTACTAAATCTCTATCTCAGCTGAAACATGTTTATTTTGGACAACAATTGGGCCTACCATCTGCATGGAATCCACAGCCTTCTAATACTTGTTAAGATTTGATTCAAAATTATGTTAGTGGAGCCTTTAGTTGCTGATTTAGTTCCTAGATTTATGTTACTGTCAGTAGTGGCAAATAACAGATTATCTGCTATGGATTAGTTGCAGATTTTTTAGGCTATTTTTGCTGTTCAGTTCTTATGTAATGCCTATAAAAGGCTCTGTTCTAAAAGGCTCTGTTCTTTTCTTCATTAATATGTAATAGATACAGCTCCACTTTCTCTTCTGTGCTTTTGGTTTCTTAATTATCTCAATTCACCAACATAGACTGCTGTCTCCGCTTGGTTCGAGCGGAGGGAGGGGCGGAACGGCAAGCTTGCCGAGGTCGAGCTGTCGCGGGGAGCAGCGGTGGCGCGCGAGGAGGTCCGATCAGCTGGGGGTGTCGCGCGACGCTGCTGCTGTTTTGCCTCGTCAAGAACTTCGTCAAGACACACGACGGCAGTGAAGGGAAAAGAAGGAAAGAAAAAGGAAGAGAAGAAGAAGAAAGAAAAAAGAAAGAAGAAGAAGAAGGGAAGGAGCCAGTGGCTGGGGAGGTTGTCGGTGAATGGAGGCGCAGGACTGCCAAATGAGTGAGGGGAGAATAAGCGTTTGAAATAGTAGAGAGAGGAGGGAAGTTTCCTAGATGTTTGGGGTCGAAGCGCGGTTCGATTTCGATTCGATTCGGCCCAGAATCTTGTGGTTTCAAAACTGGTTTCCGGCTTTTTTCAATCGATTTTCGGTTCGGTTTCTCAGAGTATTCGCACTAAAATATTAATTATTAATTTCGCAAGCTGTCGGTTCATTAAATTTAAATTGGATATGTGTTGAAGAATTAGAAAATTCAGGGTATTACCATTAACACTGATATATAAGTGGTTTCATATACTATTCGCACTAAAATATTAATATTAATTTCCAAGCTGTCGGTTCATTAAATTTAATTGGATAATGTTTGAAAATAAAAATTCAGGGTATTACATTAACACTGATATATAAGTGGTTCATATAAGTGTAGACAAGCAATTTTCCTTGAAGATAATTTTTGAAGCCAAATAAAAATGTTGCAAATTATAAAAAATATTTTAAGTAATGAATAATGAGTTACAGTATTTTAAAATTAATAATTAATAAGCATAATCTCTAATATGCATGCATGAAAAGATATGCTATGTTAACATTTAAAAGGAAGATATTTGGAATTTAAAAGAGAAGATTACAACCTTATGCTTTTAGTTTAAAGATAATTTCTCTTAGAAACTTTTTTCATCAAAAAAAAAAAAAGAAAAAAAGAAGAAAAGTTAATTTTGTTTTTATTTTGTAGATAAGGAAGAATTCTTGTGAAACAAGCTAATTACATAAATTAGAATGATCAATATTTCATTTTAAATTATTGGAATATGTAATTTTTTTATTGATACAATGGAATAAATCACTCTATTTTAACAAATTTATTATTCACCCGTGATTCAATTCGAAATTTCTTATTTAGAAAGTTCTATTGTAAATTGTCCATTATTTTTTAACCATTAAGATGTATAATGATAATACTTTAAATTCAAGAGAAAATTGTAATTATTGAAATTAAGAGTTAATTTTTATATTTGTGTGATATTTGTGTAATTAGATAAAAAAAAAAACTATTTGCACTAGAATTTCCCTAAAAGGCATTTACGTAGAAATTCAAAAATGCATGGTTGAATATTTAAATTCACCTTATTTCTCATACTTCTTCATTGAAAAATATAAATAAAAGAATAATTTTCTTTTTGAAATCAAAAAATAAATTATTTTGAAATAAAAAATTAAAATTATTTCTTTTATTAATTAAGTTATCACTAAGATGGAATTTCCATCCTTCATATATTCATTTCACAAAAAATAACCACAATACCTCAGCAACAGCTAGAATAGGGATAACAAAAGGGGCCCATAAGGAAATGAGCCATGAAATCATGCCACGTGTTAATTAGTACACGTGGCAGAAAGTTAGACCGATGATCTTTAGTGCGAACAGCTAATCAAAGTCCATGCGTAGCCAAGTGGCCGACCTTGTGCCTACGTAGAGACGCAAAGGAGATCCAAAGTAGCGTAAGCGCCAAACTCAGCCATCCCTGTCTAATCATCCAACGGTTGTAAGAAATCTTCAGCCACCACGCTAAATCTCAGCCGTTAAAGATTTCCAAATATTACCTCATTTGTTTATAGCCCTTGTCCCTTACTCCAGGCGTTGTTTTGTTGTTGATTTCTAAGTTACAGGTCGTTTAAGCTTTCTTTCTCTCTCTCTCTCTCTCTCTCTCTTTCTCTCTTCTCTCTATTCTCCATTTTTGATCTTCAACTCTTCTCCATACAATCTTGAAGAATTCAAAAGTTGTTTGGTTAAAGAGTTACATTCTTCCAAGAAACCAATTCTTGCACATTCTGCTTTGAAAATGGTAATCTTGATTCCTGATCATTTACTTTCCTTTTTTTATTAATGTAGGCAGGTGAGATTTCTTTTACAAGTTGTTTCTTTTGGTTTCTTTAATCTGATTTTCTTGGTTGGTGTTATTAATTAACAGGACACATTGTTGGTGCCTCCATGGTTAGAGTCATTGCTAAGCACAGCTTTCTTCTCTATCTGTCGAACGCATGGAGATGCAGCAAGAAGTGAATGTAATATGTATTGCTTAGATTGTAGAGGTGATGCATTTTGCTTCTATTGCCGTTCTTCAAGACACAAGGATCATCAAGTAATCCAGGTGGGTCAATTTGGGTCTCTATTTTGATTCCTTTTGGTCAATGAGGCTTAGATTGGATTAGACAGTGAGTCTGAAACTCATTTTTTGTATCCACATTTGAAAATTTGTGTCAATTATTGGGTTTTGGTAAATTAATTTGGTGTTTATATAGATAAGGAGATCTTCATATCATGATGTCGTGAGAGTTGCAGAAATTCAAAAGCTATTGGACATAAGTGGAGTTCAAACTTATGTAATAAACAGTGCAAGAGTATTGTTTCTCAATGAAAGGCCGCAGCCAAAATCTGGGAAAGGAGTTTCTCATATTTGTGAAATTTGTGGGAGAAGTCTTTTAGACCCATTTAGATTTTGCTCATTGGGATGTAAGGTTAGTAGTACATTACACTAATTTCCCTTCATTACACATTAATTACCTCATCACATTCATCTTCATTATCATCATCATCATCACCATCATCATCCAACGGTCACAATTTGATCAAATTGCCACACCCTTGACCCACATTTCACATTTTATATATCAACATCATAACAACCCTCCATTGTATCATCATCCACTATTGCCCATCATTATTTATATTGTACACATTCACATTGACATATGAATATCAATTTATATTATTATTATTATTATTATTATTATTATTATTATTATTATGAGTATTTTGTATAACAATTTACTACATATAAAATAGCTTGTAGGAGTAAAGAGAAATGGAGATGCAAGATTTAGCTTAGAGGCAAAGAATGAGGAACTAATAGAAAGAAGAGAAGGCATATCAAGAATGGTAGTCTCATCAAGAGAAGATGAAGAATTGCGTGAAGGGTCACAACAAGACATTTACCCGCCCACGCCTCCTCCACCTCCTACTTCTAGTGCAAGAAGAAGAAAAGGCATTCCTCATAGGGCACCTTTTGGATCCTAATCCAAAAAAGAAAAAAAAAATTACAATTAAAATTTGCCCCTTAATTAAACACAATTGGTATATTCCATTCATCTCCATCATTTCTTGCACAAATTGCTCTTTCTTTATTTCCTTAGGGTCAATATCTCGACTAAAGGAATTGTAGGGTACCCTTTTGGTTGGGGGGGGTGTCCCAAAAAAACAAAATAGGGGGTTAGTAAGTTACTTACCCTTTTGGATTTGGGTCCCGTATAACAAAATTCTCTCTTGTGAATTGAAACAATAATGTTATTGATATTTGATAATTGATAGTTTGCAAATTCTGTACATGTCAATTAAGAAATTAAAAACCAAGTCTTTGTTGAGTCTTTTTTATAGGTTTTCATAGGGTCCACCAACCCACATGGGCATTTTACATAAAGAAACAACATCTCCTCTTTTTTTTTTTTTTTTTTTTGCATGTTCAATGTAAGAGAATTAAAAAGCCAAGTCTTTGTTGAGTCTTTTTTTATAGGTTTTTTCCATAGTGGTCCACCAACCCACAGGGCATTTTAACAAAAGAAAAACATCTCCCTCCTTTTTTCTTTTTTTTTTTTTTCTTTATTATTAGCATAAAAATTTTTTTTTTTTTTTTTTCTTTAATTAATTACATAAAATTATGCATATTAATTTATTAAAGGCAAACCAACTTTATATGAGCTCAAAAAAGAATTGTGATAGTGGACTTGTTGGTTTCTTTTCTTTTCTTTTCTTTTCTTTTCTTTTCTTTTGTGTTCTTTTTTCTTTAATTTACTGTAAAAAGTTTCAATTTTTTTGCCATGGAAAAGAAAACTATGTGTATGGGATTTGAAAGAGACAAAAATGGATCATATGTACATATATGTAGTTCTTAGTTTTCATTTTTTCGAGTTAACCGAAGGAGCCAAACAATTAGGTAGAGTGATGTGGATTGATGGGTTGTTTGATAGATAAGAAGGTTATTCACTTATTTTCTTTCTATGATTCATCAACTAATTAAAGAAGCAGTTGAGTAATCATAGCTTTTCATTAATGAATTGTCGATGCACGTTTCAAGGGTCTATGATTGGGAGATTATTATTAATTTATATATCACAATCATTAATTTCAAGAATATTTCTATTAATCAATTACATAATTATTCATTGGACCGAACTAAAACACAACCATTAACTTTCATTATGAGATTTTAAGTTCGAGTCATGGGTATGGAACGCCTTTAAAAATTTAGTAGGGAGCAGTTTATTCATTTATTGGCATTATCCAATTGGATACTAGATAATTTATATTAAAAAAAAAATTAAACCAGAGTTATCAATTTTTCTAAGTTCTAATCTTGTTTCTATAAATTGAATTTAAATATATTTTACCATTTGACTTATTCATTTTAAATATAAATGATAACATAATTAGCATTACTTCCTTTTGTTTACACAAATTACTAATGTTTTCTTATTAAACATTTCCAAATCTAATTCAAATAACATAAATCAGTTTTGCATTTTCAATTTTTATTTTTATTTATATATTTTGAAATGAAAAAAAAAAATAAATTTGCCATGATTTAAAAATTAAATTAAAAGATAAATATTATGTATGATCAAAAGAATTATAATTGATGTTTCATTAAATAATAACAACATGATTATTGCATATGAAATTCATGTATCATACATTCCATATTTGCATGGGACAATTATAATTTATTATTATTATTTTGAACTAAGGACAATTATGATTGGAGAATCCTTACATTTAATCTAGGTAAGGGCATTGGTTCTTTCTTTGATTGGTCCATATGGGTATCCAACAAAGAAGAATTAAACCAATCATCAATAGAAAAAGGGGCACAAACCCATTCAAGGCCCATTTGAAAATTATCGAATCATATCCTACCAATAAAGGTTGACCCGTCAATTATATTCAAGCCTTTTTTTTTTTTTTTTTGCCTTTTTTTTATTTTTTTTTGGAAGAGAATTATTATTAATTTCAGGTTTTAATTGGAGGGGTAAAGGGTCATTTATTCTTTCTATTTCATGGCTATTGGCCCATTGCTAATTTTTAATTACTCCCATATATTATATATATATATATATATAATATATATATATATATATATATAAAGATTCATCTTTAAAATTTAGGTATTCTTTTTTTAGTAGGCTGATTTAAGTTTTGATTAAGAATAAAATTTTACTTAATGATGCTATCCACTTTCCCATTGATCAAGGTCTATTAATAATTTTAAGAATTAATATTTTCTGAATAATCAAATCAATATAAAAGAAATACACTTTGTAATTAAGGATGATATATATATAAGATTCATCTTTAAAATTAGGGTATTCTTTTTTTAGTAGGCTGATTTAAGTTGATAAGAATAAAATTTACTTAATGATGCTATCCATTTCCATTGATCAAGGTCTATTAATAATTTAAGAATAATATTTCTGAATAAATCAAATCAATATAAAAGAAATACACTTGATAATTAGATGTGGTTTGATCGATCTTTTCCACTTATATAAGAAGAGAGATTTAAAGTTTTCGGTCTCTCAATTTACAAGAGTTTTCATTAATTTAATAAGTAAAAGGGAGGATTTTCTATTTTTAAAATATTTTGAGGAGGCAAATTATTCGAAAATTCTTCATACTTTGAGTATTAAATAAAAAAATTTAATTAATATGTGAGTTTTTTTATTTAATTTTTATTTTAATTGATTTGATCTATAGATAAGGCCATGAATCCAGTCTTGCAATTATTTTCCTACTCGAATTGACCGGAACAAATTAAAATATATATGATACCTGTGGAAATGGGAAGGATATATGAAATTAGGACAATTTATATCAACTTATTGTCAATAACTTACCACAAAATAAACTAACTATAAACTGCTAGACATAAAAGAAATATTAGGATGGCTATTATTGATTAGCAAGGAAGAATTTCAGTAGCCAAAGAAGTTTGGCCAACCCTCATTAAAGAGAAAGATCTCAATAACCTTGAAGACACACCGTCTATCTGCCTCGCAGATGTTGCTCTATATGATCTATTTTCCATAAGAATACCTTTCAAAGAAGAAGAAGAAGAAGAAGAAGCAGAGGAACCTTTTTCTCTTTCTCGTTCAATATTAATAATAATGAAACTTTGATCCATTGATAAAGACCTCTTCAAAGCCAAGAAACGCTGCTTTTTAACTTCCATAGGCAAAACTAGTGACAAACTATGCCTAACCAACGCTTGCTCTGAACTAGAAACGTTAACACCATTACTACCACCACTGTCGTAACTGCCACCATCATTTCGGCCACTGCAGCCACCATCATCTTCATCTCCATGTTCATGAGATTGAGTTAAATTTTGAGTTATTTCTCTTCTACTGTTAATGGAATCTTTCATAGGTGGTGAAGGTGGAATAATTGGTGCTCTACAAATTGGACAATTTGTATGAGACAAGAACCAATAATCAATGCATGGGACATGAAAAACATGTCGACAATTAGGTAATAAACGTACTTTTTCACCTTCTTGTAATTCACCTAAGCAAATGACACACTCGTTTTGATCAACTCTAAAATTATTATGGTTATTTTTGTTATTTGAGTGGAGAAGAATTGGAATAGATTTAAGAACATTTTCTTCAACTCCTAAACTCATTTCACCTGCTTGAATCGCTGTAGAAATAGAATTAGCCAACCTTGTTTCTCTTCTTAAACAATATTTAACGAACAAGAAATGGTACGTTAGTAATAAAAGACAAGCACCAACTAGAATTGCTAGAGAGATTAGTAATGGAGAGAGGAATGAACCAGAAGGTGGTGGTGGACCTAAAGAAGTATCCATAGATCATCGAAGAAGAAGAAGAAATGGGTTTTTCTGGGATTTTGATCGTGTGTGAATTTTATATGAGGTTTGATTAAATAACGAAAGAGACAAAGACTTATAATTAGAAGGATGTGTTCCATCCATGGCGGGGATTTCTGTTGTTGAATTAATTATTTACTTGAGAGATTCAAGACAAGAGTACAGATGTCATTCTCAGCTGTGGAAGCTGACTAGCTAATACATGTGTGGTAGAGAATTTGACAAATGGTAAATGATGTTAGAACATATATAATTTAAACAAATAAAAAAAGATGGGTGGGTATGGGACTTTGTAGGGCACACCTAATCTGATACTTTAGAATCACACGCAAGTAATATAAAAGTGTTGCACATGGCTGCGTTACTGAAATTATGAAAGTTTAATTATGTTGATGCAATTTTACATTTTGATAATAATCATATTTTTATCAAAATAAAATAATTTTAGGGAGGTTCAATTATGATTCTGTATTTTTACATTATATTTTATATTTTAATAATAATCATATTTTTACCAAAATAAAATAACTTACAGAGATTCAATCATCATCCTATACTTTTACATTATATTTTAACGAAAAATATAATTATTATTAAAATATAAAAATACATAATCATAATAAGTCTTCCATGAAATTCAAAGGGTTGTAACGATAGTCGCGAAAAGTATGAAGTGAAATTTATGCACTACCTTCTTTGAGTATTGCAATTTGCAACCTGGTAAAAAGTGGGCTTGGATGAAGTCCAATACTATAGTAATGGGCTGTGATTTTGAGCCAGGTTTATATTAAATAATTCCCACCAAATCCAATATCATCTTGTGGCCCATTTTAATATTTCTTTTTGCTCTCTTTTAGAATTTTATGCTCATAGTTTTTTGTTTCCCTAACTGCATGGCTCACATGATGTCTCTTCAAATATTTGATTAATCACTAGTATTAATTTAACAGACAATAAAGTCAATATCAAGATATGTTATTTAGCTCATGATCCAAAATAAATAAATAAATAAATAAAAGTTTCACAATCCAATTAATACATTAAAGTCTTCTCTTTTTTAAAAAAAATAAAAAAATAAAAACACTTCAATAGTCATTGGAATCTTAACAAGTGTCTATTTTTTAAATATTTTAAAATTAGAAATTGAGTATAAAAATTAATTTTAATTTTATACTAAATTAAATATTAGGAAATGGATTAAATTAAGAGTTTATTTTGTATAAAAGGAAAAGTTATTCAAATAGAAAGCGACAATACCAAGTTGAATTTGATACCAACCACGTTTATCCATCTCCAATAGATTCCACAGATCCTACACCTCAAAAAAATACCCAATTGAATCTTTTGGTGAAGAATGGTGTCCAATTGTTTTAGCCTCCATCTCCACCACCATAACCCTTCTCTTTTCTTTGCAATACACAAAAGCTCAAACCTTTCTTCATCTCCAATTACTATAACTACAAAACTAGACTTCCCATATGGGAAAATCCAGTTTCTTCGCAAGAAAAAATGTTACTTGTTAAACCCAGTCATGTCATCAAGTCAACCCACAAATTATAGCCCTAAAATTGATGAATTTGAATCTGATCCAACTCTTACCAATGAGGATCTCAAACCAACAACACCTTCTCAAAGAACCTTTTCTGGATATGAAATGGCTAGTCTTTGGATTGGTCTTGTTGTGGGAGTACCATCTTATTATCTAGCAGGTAGTCTTGTTGATCTTGGAATGGCTTGGTGGCAAGGCATAGCTACAGTTGTTGCTGCAAATATAATTCTTTTATTTCCATTAGTCCTTATAGGGCATCCAGGCACACATTATGGTATACCTTTTCCAGTTTTGGCAAGATCTTGTTTTGGAATCCGTGGAGCTCATATCCCAACACTACTAAGAGCATTGGTTGGTTGTGGTTGGTATGGAATTGAAACTTGGATTGGTGGTGAGGCAATTTTTGTTCTTTTACCTAAATTTATTAAACAATCTTCATATTCTCAATATTTGCCTTGGTTAGGGACTTCCCCATTAGAATTTAGTTGTTTTATTGTGTTTTGGGTTGCTCAATTAGCTATTGTCTGGAAGGGAATGGAAGGAATTAGACAATTAGAAAAATACTCTGCTCCTATTTTAATTACACTAACTTCATGTTTACTGGCTTGGGCTTATGTTAATTCTGGTGGTTTTGGTCATATGCTTAGTTTGTCTTCTAAGCTATCTTCCTCAGAATTTTGGGCTCTTTTTTTCCCTTCTTTAACAGCTAATATCAGTTTCTGGGCTACTCTTGCACTAAACATACCAGATTTTACTAGATATGCAAAGAGCCAAACTGATCAAATTATAGGTCAATCTGGTCTTCCAATTTTTATGGGATTATTTACCTTTGTTGGGTTAGCCGTAACCTCATCAACCAAAGTGATTTTTGGTTATCTAATATCAAGTCCAATTCAACTTCTTGAACAAATTGGTGGGTTAAGTACAATGATTCTTGCAATTATAGGAATTAGCCTTGCTACAATTACAACAAATATAGCCGCTAATGTTGTTGCACCAGCCAATGCACTTGTTAACCTTAGCCCATCAAAATTCACATTCAGAAGTGGTGCTCTTTTAACTGCATTTCTTGGAATTGCATTTCAGCCTTGGAGATTGCTCAAGTCAAGTGAAAGCTTTATTTATACTTGGTTAGTTGGGTACTCTGCCTTATTGGGTCCAATTATGGGTATAATATTAGCAGATTATTATCTAATCCAAAGGACTAATTTAAATGTTAAGGATTTGTATACTGTAAGTCCCTATGGTGCATACTTTTACACAGGAGGTTATAATTTGGCTGCTTTGGCTGCTCTTATTATTGGGATTTTGCCAGTAATTCCTGGTTTTCTGCAGAAAGTTGGTATTTTGTCTAGGATTTCAGGAACTTATGTTGTTATCTACAACAATGCTTGGTTTTTTAGCTTCTTTATTTCAGGTTTTCTCTATTGGATTCTGTCATTAACAGGAAAAAGAAAGAAGTCACTGCCTATAGATCCTCTATTGCCTAGTGCATTCTAAGATTTTTTTTTTTTTCCTTTTCTTTTAAGCACAGGAAAATTGTACATCCTTTGTAAAGAATAATTATTACAGTTCTGTTGTAAATTTCCCCATGTTTGTTTGCATTTTGGGAATCAAATTAATTACATTTCCAAGCTTGGATTTTAATATGGCCTTGGATATTTACTGTTTCTGACAATATGGTGACTATTTTATTGCTATAAAATTTCACATTTGTGTTCATTTTGTGTCGACGGTTGAATTAGATTTCAAATATGATTTAATTAAATATTATACAAAAATTTGATAATTATTTATTTTATTGAAAACATATATGTGGATTAAAATAGATAGAAAATTAGAAAAATTTATTAAAATAAATTTATTAAAAAATTATAATTACAATGGCAATATTGAATAAGGAACTTTTAATGCAATATTTCCAGAGAGTTTGTTGATTTATATGATACTCAAAGACTGGTTGTTGGAATGATTAACTCAAGTTTTCCCGTTCACTTTTCTTGCATTCGAAGCCTTTGATTGAATATCTTTCTTGCATTTTCTTGACCCCGCCCCAAAATATTGGGTGATTGGAAACATGCCAAGAGGTTCACTTGAACCTGAAACCCATACTTTTGCAGGGGTGGCCAAAATCCGGTTTTCGGAACCGTCGGAAAGCTGGCCGGAACCGTCGATTTTGGAACCGTTGAGGAATCGGAATCGAAACCGGAACCGTTCGGTTGTAAATCATAACCAGAACCGTTAATTTTTTGTTCGATTCCGATTCCAAATTTTTTGGAACCGAAACCGGCGGTTCCGGAACCGTGGCCACCCCTATACTTTTGAATTTCCTATACATACAGGATTTTTTATACATATAAGGTTGTACCAATAATATTCTAGAATACTCAGTTTTTCTACACGCTAAGTATTTATTTTATTTCTCATCTCCTTTTCTTTTCTCGCTTCACGCTTCTTCCAACTCTTTAACTTTTTTAATTTCTCTCATTCCTCTCACTTTAATTTTTTGTTTCCTTTTGTATTATATCAACGTACCTTTCTTTTCGGAAAAAATATTTATTCGCATACACATAAGTATACGATAAACATTAACTTAAATTAAGAGTATTAACTCAATTATAATTTTAAATATTTAAAACAAAATGAAAAAACAAATATATTTTTTTAAGAATATTAATTTGTTTTGTGTTGGCCTAAAGAGGAGGTGGATATATAATTCCAACCAACCAGCCATCTTCATAAAGTTAGGATTCCAAGAATCTTCGTAAGTTCTTGTCACGACTAAGAGGTACTTAGATGGAAATACTTTTTCCAATTTTTTAATAGGTATTTGGATGGGAATGGAAAACTTTCAATGGCAGCCAATGTGTTATGGGAATGGAAAACTTTCAACGGCAGCCATTGCACACATTGGCTGCATTAAATTATAGCACGTGCTAATTGGCCATTAACAACCATTATAGAACAGCACTCCATTCTAGGAGGGGGGCAAGCAGCTGTAATGGACCCAGAATGTAAGATCGAGGGATTTTTAAAAAAAAAATCAGAGTCAAATTAAAAAATTAATGATTATATAAAGTAATTTTACTTCTAAAATATCTAAAACGATATGCTTTGATCGATCTTTCTTTTTTGTAAAATTGGTCGAGTGCTCTTCACTGCAAAAGTTATTATAAATTTGGTGAATGATATTTAAAGAGGAAAACTGCCCTAAAAAATTGATGAGATATCAAAGTCAAAACTAACAACATGTTAGTAGCATCATTAACAGTTTATGATAATGCTAATAAAAATATTTGATTAAGAGTTGTGCTAAATAGCATAAATTGAGTCAGATACAATTTTTACTACATCAGGTTAAAATATCTAAAATGTCTTCCATATGTTCATGCAGTCGATTTTGTTTGCATTATACGCACAAGAACATATTAAGTGTTTTTTTTTACTTTTTATACTTGTGATGATACCATTTGAATATTGTTTGCATATGTGAAATCTTGTGCAACAAATTAAGTTTTTAGGCACGTGATAAAAATCACCAATAACTAAACTTTGATTTGGATTGAATCTTCGTATCACTTTACAAAGTCAAATTTTTGATTAACCAAATCACTAACGCCTCGTTTGGTTCAAAATGCCTCGTTTCCCAGGAAGTATACTTCCGGGGAAATATATTTCTAAGGATATTATTCCTCAGAAAGTATAATTTATGTGTTTAGTATGCAAATCAACTTCTTAAGAAGTAAATTACTCTCAAACTATAAATTATAATAATATCCATAATATAAATTTAATTGGATTTAGTAATAGGATAAATTGCTAAATGCATTGCGCTTAACTAGGGAAGTCCTACACATATCTAAAGAGCTTACTTCCTTTGTAGGGAAGTTGATCGATGATCTACTTTCAGAAAGTAAAATTAATAATGTAAACCAAACACAAACATTTTATTCACTTCTCGGCAAGTTGCACTACTCTAGTCAATTTAACCCTAACCAAAGATCACCTAAGTTATTAGTATTTGATTGTGAACATTTCAAAAAAGAAAAAAAAAGTTAAATATGGAAAGTAATCTTATATATGTCTTCTTTGAAATCTAAAGAATTAACTTGCATAGACTCAATTTATTATTTCGTCCATAGATTAAACGAATGAAAAATGATTTTTTTTTTTATTTTATTGAAAGGAGGGTATTTATGACTATACATCGAAAGAGAAAAGACAAAGTAAAAATATTTTTTAAAAAAAATCTTATTTTCATTAATTTGGTCTATAAATGAAGTCATAAATTCAGTCTAAATAAATATAATCCCGTTATTTGAAAACTCAATCATGTGTTAGATAATCCTCCATGTATAGTCTTTCATGTATAATGTTTACTTGCAGTTTTTTCTATTCAGCTTTTTTTTTTTTTATATATATATAGAGAAAAGAAAACCTCCATGAGGTACCATACATGAGATGAGGATAAAATAAAAGCCCATAACATATTATGCCACGAAAAAACGAAAAAAAAAAAAAAACAGTTGCATGTAATATAATAGCAATCGGTATTTCAAAATTCGACTATTCAAAATAAATTATATTAAAATAGACTCAAATACTTAATACTTGTATTACGTATTCCTACCTAAGATCCAATTTACTTAATTATTTTTTTCCTAAAATTAAAACCATGTTAATTAAATAATCATCGACCCTTTATAATTTATATATCCATCTCTTAAACAATACTATTGAGATGTGATACGAAAATAAATGAATAAATAATGTATATTATACACGTAATAAACATACAATATTAGGCAGCTGACGTGGAGAAACAACCATGCAACGAATGGGGAAGAAAGGACAAAAATATAATGTAACAAAGGATCAAATTCAAGGACTAGAGGAAGTGTTAGGGCCAGCTTGGCACTACCCTTAACTACACGCAAAATAGAAAAAAATACCTAAAATAATAAGGTAGGGTTGATATGAGAAACAAGTTGACTTGTAGAAGAGTGGTGTGTATTGGTCACTGGTGCCTCAAATGAATAATTTAAGGGCATAATGACCTAAGACTAAAAGGGCATTTAATAATTTAGAGAATTTGTTAGGGAACAATTTCTGTTTAATTAGAACTTGGATTTTCTACTACTGTCAGATCCTAACCTTATATACAAATAATGTAAGATCCAACAGAAATCAGCTACGTTTATAGATGAGTTGGACGAATTGTGAGTTGTTGAAAATTCAATTCGATAAAAACTCATTTGAAGTTATTTAACAAATTTACTAAATCAAGCCATTGAGCTCATTTAATAAACGAGTCGAATTCAAACTCAATTCATTCGCATGCAATCCAATTTTCTTGAGTCAAACGAAGCTTATGAGCTAGCTTGATAATTCAATATTCTATGTTGTTTTAGTTTAATAGATTTTGAGTTTGAACTCCAATCAGACTCGTTTATGATTATCGATTATCGAGTCGAACTCGAATTTAGCTATTTTTAAATGTTTTGAGCTAAAATTCACACTGACCAAAGACTAGGGTTAGTATAAACAGAAAGAAGATGTATGCATTGAAACAATTTAAAACTAGTTTTTGGGCCTAAGAACCTAATAGGCTGCCTCATATACTCATAGCATATATTATAATATTCAACACACATGCACGTTATGTAAAATTAAAAATGTTTTTAAGTCAACAGCTAATCCATATCTAAGATAAGCTAAAAGCCTAATGCATTTTGTTGACGAATCCTTCACACGTAAAGAGTTTCATTATTAGTTAATTATCTTTTAATTATTTTGATTAATTGTAGCTAAATGCCTAAATCCTTCTTTAGCTTAGCTGGATCCACATTCATCAATTTATCTGCTTTTAAGCGGATCTTCAATGCTAATGTGAATTGTAGCTAATGTATCATGTAAAATAGGAGATATGAATGATGATGTGATTGAATGTTTATTTATAGACAATGAATTTTAAAAAACTCTTTTTAATGTATAAGTTTTTAATTTTCTTCCATTCTTTTTTTTTCTTTCTTTCCTGGTCCTACAATTTAATATGCAACCAATCGCTAAAGAGCAATAAATGTTAACATTTTCTAAGAGACCCTCTAGAAATAGAAGGTGTAATAGACAATGTCTATTGATTTTTTTTTTTTTTTATACATCAGCTCGACATCCTAAATAGATATTAGTATTGGAGAGCATTTTTCAAAAAATTTTTCCATTTTTCTGATGTGGCAATTGAATAAGAGTAATCCACATTTGCATTAGGGATGCTCTAAGTACTCATGCAAACGTGACTAATGCATGATGCCAGCCATGCTAGGGGTGAGCATAATTGGTTTGGTTTGGTCTAATGGAATAGATTTCATAATGACCGAATCCGAATCCAAACCGCATAGTATGAAATCAATTCAATAAAGAACCAAACCAGATTGGTTCGGATTTGGTTATTCAAAACTGAATCATTTATTTTGGCATAAATATTAATTCAGTCAGTTATGTAAATAATCGAACCAAAAATCAAAAACTATTCAGTTATCACTATTCAAACCGAACAATAACTGAGCTCTTAAAATCTTAATCGAATCAAACCGAAATAAATCGGTTTATTCAGTCCGCACTGAATACTCACCACTAAGCCACGCTTCTTCGCGTATGTATAAATGTTGTAAGCTCGACATTATATATATAAAATTTTGAACAGAAGTACTAATTAGGGAAGCAACCAAAGAATGGTCTTTTTCTTCTTCTTTTTCAGAAAGAAGCAGCCAAGAAAGTTAACCCTAATAAATAGTCAGATACAGTGAACTCAGTACTTTAATTTCCATGCAAAGAACCTAATCTTAATTCAAAAATGATATTAATAGCAAGAAAATCATATCAGCCAAAATCTCCATAATAATAATATTAATATATATTTCAACATTTCAACGAAGAAAATTGATCAAGGACTCGTTATACTTTTTTTTTTTTTTTTTTTTTCATATTTCAACATTTTCAACGAAGAAATTGATCAAGGACTCGTTATACTTTTTTTTTTTTTTTTTTTTTTGATTTTTTTTTTTTTTTTTTTTTGAAAGTCTACGTGTAAACAAAGGAGATTATTGGTTGGTCGGTTGATCCGACGTAGTCACAGGCTTCCATTTCCTTCAACTATAGTTCTTAATTACTATGATTTTGTTGTAATTAATTATGAATTAAATATTAATTAATAAAAATCAGGTAGAAATAAAAACAAAAATATATTGCAAGTTGCAGACACTATAAGAGAGTTTCACACAACGATATTTTCTAACTTCATCATTATGTAATTGTCGTCATTGTATTGGATTTTACGAAAATGGCATATATTGAATAATTATAATAAGCCAATGTTGGAAATAGCTGTTTTTTGTCCTACTTAGTTATAGTGTATTGCTATTTTCTCCTACATTCAAATTAAATTAATTTTTCAATTATCGTTAATTAATTATAACTTTTTATATGATTATGATTACTTAAAATGAAAAAAAAATAATAATAATCGTAAATTTGGCCTAGAAATACACTTCATTTCCGCTTTTGAGATTATTTATTGATATTATTCAACTAATTTATGAAATTAAATAAGAAATTTTGAAATTGAATTGACTATTTACCTCTAGACAAGTCAGCACGTGCATTTCTTTAGTCGTTAATAATTAACCATAAATAGTAAAATTGAAGGGTTTTCAATTTCTTGTTCTAGACTTATCTCTAGCTATATAGCTAGGTATATGTTTATTTTTATTTTGGAAAAGAAATAATGCATATTATTTATTTATGATAGGCGGTCAAATTAAAATGGATTGCCATTTGCCAAATGAAGTTGTTAAGCCCCTTCCTTTTTGTACTTTTTTTGACCCCTATAAAGTAATTAGATGGAGAAACCATTAATTGATCTATTTTAGAACAATTATTCAATTAATTTTTTTAATAATTAAAAGGTTTAATCTCCTTAGACCATAGAGTATAAAGATTTTTAATCCTTTAAATAAAATATGCTTTTCGATATCAAATTTATATTCTCGTTCTCATGGATCTAATTAAATCTTTAAATTATAATTTGACTATATGTTAAAAAAAAAAAATCAACTCTTTAATTAAAAAAAAAAAAAACGATGACCCAAGATAGGAAATAAGTATATGTATAGGAAAGGAAATAGACCCTACTTAATGGGAGGCAAAAAGTCAGCCTGCAAAAGAAAATTATAGCAGAGAGAGAGAGAGAGAGAGGGAGGGAGGGAGAGTACGGTGGCTACCTTCAACATCAAAGGGTAGGACCCTACAAAAGAAAGACCGTTCTTGTGAGTCTTGACTGAATATTTGTCAACGGTTTGCTGATTTAGAAATAGTTTTCTGTTCAGTCCTTGGATTCATATAACCAAACCTGGTTTCTCCAAAACTATCTACTGTTGATATGCAAATCTCTCCTATATATCTCACCAGTTCCTTCTCCATTTTTCTCACAGTACTTCCCTCTCTTGTTTATTGTTTTTCAATCTGTGATAAACTTTTCCTATCACAAGGTAGCTATTTTCATTTTTTCTTTTAAGTATTTTCTTACCCTAAATTCATGCACACACTTCTACTTACTCTATTGTAAAACTTGTTCTTTTATATATATAAATAACATGATTTTTTTTTCCTTTTATATATGCATCACATGTAGGTCTACATGTGTCCTACAATGGCAATGACAAAGGAAAATGATGATGATGCCCTAGAAAGCCAATATCAAAAGGGAGTAAAGCGTTTATATGAGAAAGGCATCAATAAAGTTCCTGACAAGTACATATTGCCTGTTCAAGAAAGACCCAGTTATTGTGCTCAAGTTGCTGAATTACATAATAATGAAGAGATCAATAAGCAAAATCTTAAGTTACCAATTATTGATTTTGCTGAGTTACAAGGTTCAAACCGTCCCCAAGTCCTCAAATCCTTAGCTGAAGCTTGCGAGCAGTATGGATTTTTTCAGGTATACGAATATAATCTAGTTGGGATCGGATGTATACATTTTTTATTACTATTTTTTTCAATTTAATGTTCGAAAAAATGGGAAATGACTCTTTAATCTGCTAATGTGTGCAGTTAGTAAATCATGGAATTTCAAATGATGTTATCAGTGGAATGATAGATGCTGTTAAGAGATTTTTCGAGCTTCCTTATGAGGAAAGATCGAAATACATGACATCAGATATGAATGCTTTAGTTCGATATGGAACTAGCTTTAATCAAAACAAAGATAATGTGTTCTGTTGGAGAGATTTCTTGAAGCTAATGTGCAGTCCCTTATCAGATGTTCTTGCTCATTGGCCTTCTTCTCCGACAGACTTCAGGTGAGAGTTTTAAAATTTTCAAAAATTTAATTAGTTGAAGCCCTTAATTTATTCTCTCTGTGGACATCATTTGCTTATGTTATTTCCAAATACCATTATTTTAGCTACAAATAGTTGTTTGTCTCTTCTAATGCTTAAAAAATAAATCAAAAGCTTACTCGTAAGAATAATTTTTTTTGTTATGTGATAAATACATGTATGTAATAATTGTAATTTTGTGGTTAAGTAGGGATTTGGTAGCTACATATGCAAAAGAAACCAATTACTTGTTTCTAAAAGTAATGGAGGCCATGCTACAGAGCCTATTACTAGGAACCAACAAGAACAAGGAGACAAAAGAAGATGATGAGATAATGAAGGAATTTGAAGTTGGTAGCCAATTAATGGTGGTCAATTTCTTCCCTCCATGTCCAGAACCTGATCTTACATTAGGAATGCCTCCTCATTCTGACTATGGGTTCTTCACACTTCTTCTCCAAGATGAAGTTGAAGGCCTTCAAATTCGATATAAGGACAAATGGGTCACAGTTCAACCAATCCCTAATGCTTTTGTTGTCAATGTTGGTGATCATCTTGAGGTGAGTTTACTAATAAATTCATAATCTTTATAATACTTCGAAACAACTACTGTTTTAGTAGCGTTTAATTGTTTGAGCAGCTGTTCATAAAACACTAAAAGTTAAATGTTATAGAGGTTAATCTTTAGAAGCTAGTTCAAACGCTATGTTACCGAACACTATAAAAAATAGCGTTCAGCATTTTAATCCGCTACTTAAAAAGTTGTCACCGAACGTGGTCTTTCTCTGTGTTCATGCTAATTAATGGAGGTTTTTTGGAATTGGGTTTGTTTCAGATATTTAGCAATGGGAAGTATAAAAGTGTACTGCATAGAGTTAAAGTGAACTCAGCTAAGGCTCGCATTTCGGTGGCTTCTTTGCATTCTCTTCCATTCAGGTGCACGGTAAAGCCATGGCCAAAACTCATAGACGAAGCTAATCCAAGGCGCTATGCAGATACAAATTTTGCTGCTTTTCTTGATTATATATCATCCCGTGATCCCAAGAATAAGGAATTCTTGGAGTCTCGAAAATTATTATGAAAAAAAAAAAAAAAGAATATGTAAGTTGACTTTTGTAGTACTTAGAGAGTTGTTCCGCTGAATACAAATATGACTTATCACTTAAGCTATATTTAGTTAGATGCAATGCAACGTAACACAATTAAAAATATTATTATAATTAAAATTATATTACATGTAATCGTCATTTCATTATTATATTTATTTGTTGATATTTAATGTAATTAGCGCACCACAGCCACCAGGACCTACTCCACTACTTTTTCTAGACGATAGAAATTGTAATTTCTCACAAAAGTACATACTTGCTATTGAGAAAAGAAAGAAAAATTGCAAAGTTCATAAAAAAAATTAACATATAATAAGAGGAAATTTTCTCTGCAATTGTTAGTGAATTTCGGCTAAACCTTCAGTATTGCATTACTTCAGCTAATGAAAAACCATATGTAAGATTTATTTTTCCTCCAATCGTAAAATAGACCTATTTTTAAATTTTTTTGATCAAAATTTTAAATTTAATTTGTTTTTATGCAATTGAATAGCTTCACAAATTTAGAGTGTCTTAGTCATTAAGATTACATTCTAATTTATTTTTTAAGATGGAATTGCAAATGGCGAAATTGAAATTGGTAAACTAAAGTTTGAAATTTATGTTTAGCCTCCATTATAACTGTTTATAAATAATGAAAAATGAGAAACAATTATAGCAGAAAGAAAAGGAAGATGCCGAATTTAAAAGACGGAGTCACTGAGATAGGAAGCTTTTGATTGTATTTTTCATCTGATAAGGAGGCTGTACAGAAAAGCGTGAGAACAAAACGCAGCTGTTAAGAATAACAACTTTGCTTAGTCAGCAAAATCAGTTACACCTGTGAAGAGAAAAAATAAATTATCAATTCTATTAAACGGTGCGTTTTTCCAGCCAATCTAAAAGACTACGTGTCTGATCCACTCCGCACCATTCACCCGATCACCATAGCTTGGCTACTATGGTGAATCCCAGATAGAGGGAAGAAGAGATAGCAAAGACCCATTAACAACGTTGCCACCGTTTTGGCTAATTTCTTTGAAGGTCATGGCTTCTCTCTCCTCTATCTCTCTCCCTACATTCTCTATTTCTAAACCTACTGCCACCACCAGCACTCTCATTCCAAAACCTCACTTTCTCATCATTAAATCCTCTCTAGAGAACAAAACACCAAAACCCGCTTCAGATACTGCAAAACCCAGTTCTTGGGTGAGTCCAAATTGGCTCACTTCTCTAACTCGGACTCTCACATTAGGCCAAAACGATAATTCAGGCATTCCTATAGCTAGTGCTAAGCTTGAGGACGTATCTGATCTTTTAGGCGGTGCTCTGTTTCTTCCTTTGTTTAAATGGATGAATGAATATGGTCCCATTTATAGGCTTGCAGCTGGCCCAAGAAATTTCGTGGTGGTTAGTGACCCTGCGATTGCTAAGCATCTATTGAAGAATTATGGCAAGTATGGTAAAGGTCTTGTTTCTGAAGTATCCGAGTTTCTGTTCGGGTCGGGTTTTGCCATTGCCGAAGGACCTCTTTGGACGGTAATGTAGTCTTTCTCTTGGTTTATTTTTCTCTTAAGTAGCTAGTAAAGCAGTTAACTTGAATTCTTTCAGTATGTGGGTATTAGTCTTATTTGAGAATGAAATTCTGGGTTGTGATAGGTGAGGCGTAGAGCTGTGGTTCCATCACTGCACAAGAAGTATTTGTCTATTATAGTTGATAGAGTATTTTGCAAGTGTGCTCAAAGATTGGTTGAGAAGCTCCAACCAGATGCTTTAGAAGGCACTGCTGTTAATATGGAAGCAAAGTTTTCTCAATTAACTCTTGACGTTATTGGTCTTTCAGTTTTCAATTACAATTTTGATTCCCTTACTGCTGATAGTCCTGTTATCGATGCTGTCTACACAGCACTAAAAGAGGCAGAGGCTCGTTCCACGGATCTTTTGCCATATTGGAAGGCATGTAGTTTGTTGTGTGCTTTTGTTTTACTTTTCTTTTATTAATCTTACCTCAGCTTGGGCATATTACTATTTTTGTTCTTCTTGCTGTAGGTTAAAGCTTTATGTAAGATAATTCCTAGACAAATAAAAGCTGAAAAAGCAGTTACAGAAATTAGGCAAACGGTTGAAGAACTTATTGCAAAATGCAAGGAGATTGTGGAGGCTGAAGGTGAAAGAATAAATGATGAGGAATATGTAAATGACACTGATCCAAGTATCCTTCGTTTCTTGCTTGCTAGCAGGGAAGAGGTCTTTCCCTCCCATCACCTCCTTTTTACTTAAGAAGTGCTTTGAACTGCTTTCTATATGTTTTAGCTAAGCTTGCAATAGTTATCAAGTGCAACCTGTTGTATGATAATTGCCTATTTCTAACTTGTTATATTTATTCTGTTTGCATTTTCAAGGAGCCGTAATTCTATAACCATGTGCTTCTATTTATAACTGCAAAATTAAATAAACAAATGGATAATACAATGCATGAAAATCTGCTGTTAGTTCTATAGTGGGATTATATTTGTAATGCTCTCTCTTTCTCTCTTTATATATTCTTTTATTTGCTCCTTTCTTGGTTCTTATATGATGGCCATATATGTTTTAGGTTTCAAGTGTCCAATTACGAGATGACCTGTTATCAATGTTAGTTGCTGGTCATGAAACAACTGGTTCGGTGTTGACTTGGACATTGTATCTTCTAAGTAAGGTATTCTATCTATTCACACTGGTAAATATCGGTTGATGCTCAAATGGAAACTTGTCAACAAGCTAAGAATTTGACTAAAGAATAATAACGGGACTCTGATTTGTGGATAGCACAAGTATATAATTGAACTTGAAATTATTGTTAAGCTATATATATATATATATATATACTGGCCAAATTTCCCTTTATTTTTTCCCTAAAATGAAATTATTTTACTCATCCACGCATAGTCTTTGAATAAGCTTGATCTTGAACTGCCTATCTCCCTGAAGTGTAGGATGAAAGAATATTACTTTAATCACCAGTTAACTTGAGTAGATTGTCTTAAACTACTGATGTAACAATCTACGAAGAAAGTAATGATCAATGATGCGAATTTTCATAAAACGGGGATTAAATTATTCCATTATAGGCACAAGACTTGGGCAACCTGGTAATGATTGAGGGGTCAATCTGGGTTGGAGCATTTTCATATGATGTAAATGTGAGTCTTTGCACTTTTTCGTGCAGTATTTGTTGTGAGTAACGATAAAGAGCGCCTTAGTTTTTGGGTAAATCAGTGATACACTGATAGTCTCCCTTAATATTAGGTTGATATTGATTTTCCTATTTGTTTCATCTCTTTGATCTGTATTGCTTATAAATAATATTCCATTTGGATACCTGTTTCTGGCTTTTAAGTCAAAAATCATGTGATAATGATTGATAAATAAATCGTACTTCTGTGTGAATCTTTTGCAACAATTTTTTTTTTCTCTTTTTTATAGCTTAAACAATGACCAACCTTGTGATCCTTTTATCTTTCCTCAAGTTTTTAGAACTTATTATATGAGTCCTTGTTTGCTAAGCTGTTAGTTTTAGTTATTGAGAATCTCTGTTTTTCCCCCCCTTAGAAAAGAGTATCTCTGTTCTTAATTTTGCAGGATTCCTCCTCATTATTGAAGGCTCAAGAAGAGGTTGACCGAGTATTACAAGGAAATCCTCCTCGCTACGAAGATATAAAAGATCTAAAGTTTTTGACACGCTGCATTAATGAGTCACTGCGTCTCTACCCACATCCTCCTGTAGGTTGCAACTCAGTTCCCTTTTAGGTGAACTGTAATTGGATTAACAAAGCAAGGGACTTAAGGTGCATAACATCTTTTTTTTTTTTCTATTGATGTTTTACCCTTTAAAATTCTTGTAGGTTTTATTAAGAAGAGCTCAGGTTGCTGATGTGCTTCCAGGAAATTACAAGGTTAATCCTGGTCAAGATATAATGATTTCAGTATACAATATCCATCATTCCTCAAAGGTATTTCTTTATGTTCTGAACTTTCAGTTTAGATTTGGAACTGTGGCTAATTTAAGATACAACTGTTTGATAACTGAACAATCAAATTTGCTTCTTTGATTATATGAAAGTTCTTATGTTGCAACTTTTTAAATGGTGAGGTTCTAGTTTAGGATCAATTTTCATTTTCATGGAATTGAAGGGTGATTTCATTGAAGGAATTTCATTCTTATGGTATTTTTGTGGTATAATTTGACAAGGTCTGGGAGAGAGCCGAAGAGTTTGTGCCAGAAAGATTTGACTTGGAAGGGCCAGTGCCTAATGAAACAAATACAGATTTCAGGTATTTGTTCCTTCTTGTTCTTTGTTATGTTGCTTCTCTCTCCCCCTCTCTCCTGAAAATATGCACTCTTTTTGGTCTTAAGTTCAGTTGTTAATTTTTTTCCTTCAACATTACCTAATTTGCATAATTTAGCTTCTAAAACATCTGCACATTATTTATCGCAGGTTTATTCCTTTTAGTGGAGGACCTCGTAAATGCGTTGGTGACCAGTTTGCTTTACTGGAGGCCATAGTTTCCCTTGCAATTTTTCTGCAGAACATGAACTTTGAGCTGGTTCCTGATCAAAAAATCAACATGACTACTGGAGCAACAATTCATACAACAAATGTAATTATTGCATATCAGCATGACATAAATATACAATCATTCTCCGAGCAGATTAACAAACATGTTAAAATCAAAATAATAAATTCGCAAGTGCTATGCATTAAGGTGTTGATGACATTCAGCTAACAAGGTAATTTGTATTTGGCAAGCAACTTGTTCGAACAAAACTACCAATCAATCGTTTGAATTCCAATACTGTAAATAACCATTTGGTGTTTGTGGCAATTCTTGTCATTAATGTAACTGTGATGCTGCTTTAGTTTCCCAGATTTAAGACGACGATAATAAAACAGGAAGTTAGTTACTTCACAGTAAATGAATATACGAGCTGTCTTCTAATTGTGTTTTGCTGTTGCAGGGCTTGTACATGAAACTCAGCCAAAGAGAAAAAGCTAATGCCTTTGTCTCATCTTCTGTGAGGTAAGCTATAAAACTGTTGATATACATGTATACATTAATGGCAACCTGTATAGCACGAGAATGTGAGGACTGATATGATTCTGTCATTGATGTTAAGGGAAGTTTTGTAGTATCATTTTTTAACTGGACAAGTGACACCTTCTATGATTTGTCATTTATGTGCCATCACTGGAAATATTACTATCACCAGCAACACAAGCATGTGGCCAATTCAGGATTTTCGACACAAGCATGTGGCCAATTCAGGATTTTTCCTAGGACTATAATTTTGCAGAATTACAAGACAATAGCTGATAAAATTTTGTAATTTTTTATAATAATTTGTAAGTGTTTCTTTTTAAGGTATTGATATTTTGTAAATACTTTTTAGTAACTAAAGTTTTTTTTTTTTGGACAAGAAAGTGATAGTTTATAAGACAATAGGTCGGAGTCCAATTGTCAATATTTTATAACACCTCCTAGTAATAATTCGTTAAAAGTGTTTTTTTTTTTTTTTTTCTCTAAAGTTGTCGGATTATAAAAAAGAATTATTTTTTGCAAAATGTTTATTTACAAAATAATAAATCAAATAGGCGATATTGTAAAATTTTCTAATATTTCAGAAAATAATTAGTTTTTGTAATAAAAAGGTGGAATATATTATTTAATTTCTAAATTTTGATGAAAAAACTTTGTGGCATTTTGAACTTTAAAATCGCCTTTTTAGCATCATGAACTTCATTTTTTATAATAATTTCATATCTCCTTGCCTTAAAAACAACTTTCCTAGTTTTTGGTTTTTAGTTTTATATATATAATTGATTTGTCATGTGGTTAACATAAAATTTAAAATAAATAATATTTATATTTTTTAATTATCTAATAATAAATGTTTAATCGATTTAATTTTATAAATTGAGATACTCAATGCTTCAAATAAAATGTTTAGTAGGTCTAATTCTATAAGTTATCCAAAAAATAACTATTTTCCGAACAAATAAAACAATGGAAAAATTAATCTGATGTGCGGTGGTGGATTAAAATATGACAAAAGAGAACTTCGCAATTCACAAATTCATTAACTTTGAGCTTCTGAATAGGCTCAAGCTGTTTGGAAGACGAGAGAATTATAGCAATACATTTTTTTTTTTCGCTCCTTTAGTTTCAATATGATTAAAATATTGGACCAAAAAGAGAAACTTCGGCAATTCACAAAATTTCATTAAAACTTTTGAGCTTCTCTGAAATAGGCTCAAAGCTGTTGGAAGGACGAGCAACGAGAGAATTATAGGAATACATTTTTTTTTTTCCTCCTTTAGTTTTTCAAATATATAATAATTATATATATATATATATATTATATTATAATTAACGATAGCATAATTGCTTAGGAAGCGAGTATAGCATGATTTATATATATTAAACGATAGCACTATTGTTAGGAGCGGAGTTAGATGATTTACTGGAAAAATGAGAGAACTGAGGGAAATGAGAAAAGGGGAAAAAAAATAAAGACGAGGACAATAAATTAGGTTAACCTTAAAGCTGAATGGATAAGTAGAAAGAGAAAGAAGGATTCGGATGATTGGATTTGGAAATTTTTAAAAAATTATGGATAAATTTTTATAAAATTTGGAAATTTTAGGTGAGAAATGATGAAATTTAGCGACAAATTACCAATAAATTAACAATAAATTATCGATAAAATATTTTAGTCGCTAATTATTGGTATTTAACGACATAATAGCAACAAAATTTGAAAAAATGAAAACTTTCCGCAAGATCAATTTTACCTTCAAAATTTAGCTATAAAAAATTTTTATTGCTAAATGCCGAAATTTTATGTTTAAATACCAATTTCCTTCTTTTTCTCCTCCTCCTCTTCTTCTTCTTTCTTTTCTTCTACTACAATTTTTTTTTCCTTCCTTTCTTTCTTCTTTATTATTATTATTATTATTATTATTATTATTATTATTATTATTATCATTTTTTTCTTTAATTTTTACTTTTTTTGTGCTTTTTTTATTAATTTTTCTATATTTAGTTTAGCTATTAAAGTTTAATTAGATGAAGGCCAGCACATTATGCGGTTATTTTTATAAATATTTAATAGTGCAAAATGTAAAATTTAAATATATAAAGCCATGATATTTAATTAAATTCAATAGAATCAGCAAACCTTTGAGTAATAACATACAATATTATATTATTTATTATATGATAATTTAAATTTGCATAACAAAAATTATGGTATATTACTATTTTTTTAATACAAATAATTTATTATGATATTTTAAAATTTTAAAATAATTTATTATATAGATAATGAGATATAGATATATATAGAACATTAAACTAATTTGTATAGAACATTAAACTAATTTGTTACATTGAATATTAAAATATTTTATAAATAGATCCAAATTATTTAGTTGTGATCAATAACTGTAATCTACCTGCTTTTATTAATCAATCAAACTTTAAATGTGATTAGTTTGGTGAATTATCCTTTTCTTCTCTCAATAATAATTTCATGAATTTATTTTATTTCTAAGATCAATTTATTAAGACTTATCACAAATTCTTATTACATATTAAAAAAAATACAAATAACTTTTTTTCAACCTAATTAATCTTTTACAATTTAAAGCTCAAATTCATTATATCAATTAAAAATATAAAAATAATTATATCAACCTAATTAATCTTTTACAATTTAAAGCTCAAATTCATTATATCAATTAAAAATATAAAAATAATTATAAAATATCAAACTTTTCATATTTGTTTATTGTATCACCAAATAAATTTTTATATCCAAGGTTAGGAAATTTAAATTTAAAATCAATATTATTACAAAAATTTTATTTGAATAGTGTTTGGATTTTTAAACGAGATTGAAATTGGTTAAATTTTCCTAAAATTAGGCTAGTATTTGAGTTATTATATATTATTTTTTATTTACTTTTTTTTTTCAATATGTTTTGATTAATGCTTAAAAATCACATGAACAAAATTATTTTACACCCTATCCATGGATTCAAAATGGGTGCATCACTCCTTGATTTCAAAAAGAAAATTATTGCATTATATATACAAAATCGAAAAATAAAATAAGTGGACAAAATTTCATCTTTTGTGATTCAATTTTTTCACTCCTGATCACACTTTGAGTTACTAAGAACGCTATTTGATAACCCAATATTGAAGAATTGACACAAATTATAAAAATAAATAATAGATAAAATTTTATATTTTGTGATCTAATGTTTTCAATCCTGATTCCGCTTTGACAATACTTGTTGATAACTCAATAATGAATAATTTGCCTTTAAAAACTGTAAAAAAAATTTTAAAAAACAGAAAAAAAAAAGAAGAAAAAAAAGACATCATATCATACCTTTGCCTTAAAAAACTGCAAAAATAAAAAATAAAAAAAAATGAAAAAAGAAAAAGAAGAAAAATAGATCATACCTCAATTAAAGGATCATATTTTATTATTTTGAATTATATAAGATATCAATATAATTAATCGAATTTTAGATGTTTAAAAATAATAATTTTTATCTTATTTTTTGGCCAACCAAATTAGAATGTAATTTTTGATTAAAAAAATTTAACTATACCCTTTTTAAATTAAAATCCGAATAATCTAGATATATTTATTTAAAATAAATTCAAAAAAATGTAAAAATTTTCAATTGCCTCGTATTATATATATTATTTAAAATAATAATATTTAAGTTCAATTATAAATTATAATAATAATTATCAATAATATAATAAATTATTATTTAATATTTAATTAATTTATATAATAATATAAGGAAATAAATATAAATATAATGTAGAGATAATAAGATAATAATAGTAAAAATTTAAAAATTTAAAATGTTTAATTATTGTATATATTATTATCTATTAAAAAAAGTAAAAAAAAACATCAAATCAAATTATAAAAATATTATATACTTTTTTTAAATTTAAAAATTTTTCTAATTTATTAAGATAATAATAGTAAAAATTTAAAATTTAAAATGTTTAATTATTTGTATATATTTATCTATTAAAAAAAGTAAAAAAAAACATCAAATCAAATTATAAAAATATTATATATTTTTTAAATTAAAAATTTTTTAATTTATTAAGACTAAAATTAATTTAAAATATTTTAAATTTTACAAAAATAATATCAGTAACTTCATTATTTTTTTTATTTCCACCTTTATATATAGTATAAACATATACATATAGATTGTCGTACTGAAATAGCAGGATTGCCCGTCTTAATAAAATTTATTTAGGTAACGCCTTTTTTGAAAGAAAACAAAAAGAAAGCAACAAAAATTTAATTTATTTTTTTTTCCAAAGAAGTAAAAATTACTCACGGAAAAGATATGATTGGAAGGCTATGGCAACTTCTTCGACCATTCAAGTAGCTCGGGAACTGCCCGTCTCTGCCAAAAATTACCTAAACGCTCCTCCATTTCTACGAATTTTCTTTACTCACTCCACTTTATCCACTTCTAAAACCATATCAAAATTCAAAACCAAGAAAAATCGAAACTGAATGGCCATGGAAGACGAGAGCTCCGAGAGCAGGAACAGAGCAAGGCTAGCCATATTAGAGCTAGCCAACATGATAAGCGTTCCTATGTCTCTCAATGCCATCGTGCGGCTCAACGTCGCCGACGTCATCTGGCAAGGCGGAGCCAACGCTCCACTCTCCGCTTCCGAGATCCTCGCACGCGTCCACCCTTCCGGCGGCGATCCAGAGAATCTTCAGCGCATCCTCCGTATGCTCACAAGCTACGATGTCTTTACAGAACACGTTAATTCCGATGCCACCGAAAGGAGATACTCTTTAACGGAGATCGGAAAAACGCTTGTCACCGACAGTGAAGGCCTTTCCTACGCATCTTACGTTCTCCAGCACCACCAGGTATCAATACATAGTAGTTTTTCTAAATTTATTGTGTAAGATGGTGCCAAATCTTGATTAGTTATTTGTAAACAGGATGCACTGATGAGGGCCTGGCCGTTAGTGCACGAGGCCGTGGTGGATCCGACGACGGAGCCGTTCGTAAAGGCCAATGACGAGCCTGCGTATGCTTATTATGGTAAGCAGCCAGAAATGAACGGTTTGATGCAAAAGGCAATGTCAGGTGTATCTGTGCCGTTCATGAAGGCCATATTGAATGGCTACGATGGATTTCAAGGTATGGAGAAATTGGTCGATGTAGGCGGAAGTGCAGGAGATTGCCTTAGAATGATACTGAAGAAATATCCAAACATACGTGAAGGAATCAATTTTGATTTGCCTGAAGTTGTTGCCAAAGCACCAAATATTCCTGGTGAGCTTGATTTATTTTTTAACTGTTCCAAATCAAAAAACATGAACCAAAAATTAAAAGAAAAACCTCTCAAATAATAAAATCCAATCAAATTAGATTGAAAATGGTATAGTTTTTGGAATCGATTGATTTCAGTTTTAATCAGTTCAGTTCTAATAAAGTTTCGATTCAAATGATTTAAATACAATCCTTTCATTAGTGTTAAATTTAGATTTCAAACTTTTAATCTTGTGTAAAATTATTAATCTCTAGTTGAATCCGATTCTGTAGATTCAATACAGTGGACACAACCTCCAAGTTTTTAGTATATAATAACATATAAGATTATATTGTGGACTGTTAGGTCATCTCTTGCATTAAATACTGGAACTATTGATTTGATCCTGCAGGTGTTACCCACGTTGGCGGTGATATGTTCAAATCAATTCCATCAGCTGATGGCATATTTATGAAGGTGAGTCATCACTTCACACACTTTCTTCGTGCTGCAATCTGTTGCCTGCCTGCCTATTGTTGGGTCGTTTTCCTATGCACTGTACATGTATAGTCAGAAATGGCTTTGACAAAAACAAAACAGTAACTGACAACCTGAGACGAGATTACAAAAATTTTCTTATTTTTTAATCAAAAGTTTTGAATTCCAACTCTAAATATGAAATCAGTCAGAATGCCTAATAATTTGAAAAAAGAAAGGATAAGTAATGGTAAATGTTGTGATAAGTGTTGATAACAGGTGTTTATATTGCTTGATTTTCTTGTCTTATAACGAGCTTTCTATCTTTTTAAAAAATAATTCTGTTTTATTTTAATAAATTTTTTTTTTCGCAATTGGATATTAAACTTTCATCACCTTATTCTAAAAATCAATAATTTTTTGCTCATGTTGACATAGGAATATGATTTTATTCTTCTTATGTTTAATTAGTCAAATTAAAACAAAAAGAGCTCATTTATGCTTTTACAGTAGTTTTTATTCAATAAATATTTATCGCTTTGAGAATATTATGGAGTAATTAAAGAATTTTTATAATTTTGTCCTTATATATTAAACACAAACTATTTCTATAATTTTTTAAAACCATATTTAATCAAATAAATAATGAGATAAATGGTAATTCAGTCAATTTAATGAAGATTTTATTGTAATTGAGGAATTAATTGCTTTTTTAGTTGGTATATAAAAATTTTAAGTGGTTTATGGATGAAGGAGATATCAAGAACATTAATTATTTTATAATTTTTTAAAATTATACTTAATCAAATAAATTATGTGAGATAAAGACTAATTTAGCCCAATTAGTGAACATTTTATTATAATATAAAAATTATTTATTTTTTTAATCATCGCATAGCATATATTTATAGTGGGATGAAGCATATTTTACGGGAATAGATGAGTATCACTTTCCTATTGCCTGCCCTTGAAATTGACCAGTTTATTGATAATAGTAAATTATTACGTGCATATCACTTTCTTATGGTTATGGTAATTAATAAGCACAAAATTGCAGAATATGGCAACCATCAGTATCGCAAGTCATTTTTGACTTAATGCATAAAGACAATTAGGAGAATTTGGCACCTGTCAATATCAGAACAGCCGAAAAGTTTAGAGAACTATAAAAATAATCCGTCAAAAATTTAAGATTAAATTTATACATTAAGCTTTTTTTTTTTTAATGAAAACTTTACAATAAGGATTTTTTTTTGCTACTCTAGTATTTCTTTGCTTTAAAAACCCATATAATTAATGTTATTTATTTACTTTTGAGGCATGGCAGTGGGTATTGACGACATGGACAGATGAAGAATGCAAGCAGATAATGGAAAATTGTTACAAAGCACTTCCTGTGGGTGGGAAGCTAATAGCGTGTGAGCCAGTGCTGCCAAAGCAATCAGATGATAGTCATCGGACAAGAGCTCTCTTAGAAGGCGACATTTTTGTTATGACTATTTATAGGGCTAAGGGTAAGCATAGGACTGCAGAGGAGTTTAAGCTATTAGGTCAGTCTGTTGGCTTTTCTCATTTCCAAGCTTTCTATATCGATTATTTCTACACTGTCTTAGAGTTTCATAAATAATGAATCAATTGCGTATGTCTAATGGTTTAGGACAAAGACATATTAATGTTTTAAAATCAGTACTAATTTAGGATTTTTCTTATTTATTTCTTTATCTTTTAATTAATAGAGAAATCTACTAATACGAAATGATATTATGGACTATATGACAAATTCGGGATCGCTGGCTAAATCCACCGAATTGGTGAAACTCGTGGTGGAAAGAATTAGAATCCGACAAATATGTGGGCCCAATCAACAGTTGCAGGTTTAAATCGAGCCCAAATGTATGGGCCTAATTTCAGGCCCTAAGCCTATGAACATGTCTCGAGTCTAATTCATTTATTAGACATCAAAGTTAGTCGAGCTTGACAATACATATACACACAGCTCCATCCACGTCACTAACTGCTTCGAGAAAATAAAAATGAACCTGAAAATTGCTCATCCGCTCATCATGATTCATGAATGGTAGTTTGAGATGAGATAATTTTCAATTGCTGAAGCCTAAAAGAAAATAATATGATTAGACAGAAACATCATGTTAATTAGATACCTTTCTTAGGTTGTAAGTTTGGTGTTCCTTTATCAATAAAAATAAATAAATAAATAAATAAAAAGTCTTCCGAAAATATAAACATTAATTTTTATCCTTCAATTATTTATCCTTGATATAGGATATAAATTTCTAGCTTCACTCTGAATTATACACGTGTCTATACAATGAAAATGACTTCTATCTCCCTCACTCTAATTAAATTATTACATACCTATATTATTGAGTAAATTGATTTCTTCATATAAATTCTTGGTGTATATCATTATCAAGAAAGGTGGATATAAGGTCTGGATGAAGCCACGTATATCCATCTATGAAAGAAATGTCCATGTAAGGAGCTGCTTCATAATGAGTTAATTGCTTCCCATATGATACTCTATGTGTATAGTTTGCTCCAGGTCCATAACACTCATACTCTCCAAAGAACACTGTCCTACAAATTTAAAAAAAAAAAAAAAAAAAAAATACATGGGTCTGGAATGACAACGCCACAGCCTAATATCCTATTCTAAATTGATGCAAAGAAAGAAAATTGTTCCCTAGTACTGGAACAGCTCTCCACTATTCATTATAATGAAGTCTTAATTGCTTTACCCATATGATACTCTATGTGCTATAGTTTGCTCCAGGTCCATAACACTCATATCTTCCAAATAACACTGTCCTACAAATTTAAAAAAAAAAAAAAAAAAAAAAAAGGCATATCATAACAAAAAGCATCAGAGAATTATGATAGAGAGAAATAAAGGGCAAGATATAGAAATAGAAGGTAAAAAAAAAAAAAAAAAAAAAGGCATATCATCAACAAAAAGCATCAGAGATTATGATAGAGAGAAATAAAGGGCAAGATATAGAAAATAGAAGGTAAATTGTTTTCATGGTCACTTAATTTTATTCTGATTTTCACTGTAATTATAGTGTCACTGAAACTTTTATTTTACCTGATTTCGATAATCCGAGTCTATTTTTATAAAATAAAATAATAAAAAAAAAGAAATAAAGGTTTCTTCAATTTAGTTCTTAATTAATTTGAAATCATAATAAGTCGGATTTCTACATTATGTACTAAATTTAGTATATCTCAAGTAACTGTAATAAAATGAAAGTTCAGTAATCAAATGAATAGTAATTTTTAAAAAGAAAATAGAAAATAGAGAGTGACCATTAAAATAATTTAGCCATAAAAGAAAATAAAGGGGGGAGGAATTAATGAGTAGGATCAACCACAGACTGGTCTCTAGAAGGGTCACTCCAATCATTCCAAGCATCTGGAGAAACAACATTGGACATGTAAGTTTTAGAAAAAACAACAGTAGCATAAGCACCCCAAGCTCTTCCAAGCCAAACTTTCCCACTTCCATCAATTCTACAACCCACAAAGGAAAATCCAGTTTCTTCAATAATGGATTCCCTTGCTTGAGCTGTAATTGCTCCACTTACTCCTGCTTTTGGAGGTTTTGCTGTGGAACTGATTGTGCATCCCTGCCATCACCAATTCCATTTCAAGGAATATATATAAAAATGCTAACAAAGAATTACCCCAGCAGCTCACAAGCGGCCTGGGTCATTTACGGCTCCAGATTCGGATATATATGACCAAGGACAGACGCAAGCTTAAGGTGCGAGGGATCCCTTGTCCCTTGACAATTTTTTTTTTTTTTTAATCTAATTCAATTTTACTATATTTTATTTCATTTTTATATTATGCATTCCTCAAAATACATGAATCCTTAAAAACTCACGTTTTATAGTCCATATCAAAATAGATGAATCTCCCAGTTTTGAGTCCTGCATCCGTCCGTGTATGACTCATTGTGCAAAAATTTATTGGTATCGAAAGAACAACCTCTTTTAGAAGCTAAGAAATAGCACTTTTATATAAAATGCCAAAACCTGAAGGATATATATTTAGAACAACTATGCAAATACTACGTCAGGATGGTTGAGAAAACATGGGCACTTGCATGATCTAGTGCCCATGTTTTCTCAACCATTGATTTAAAGATGAACAGTTTTCTCAACACTTGATTAATTAATAATTAATGTACCTCAAAAAGTGACCTAGCATTTCCAAAAATGAAATCGATAGATCCTTGAATGAAGCATTCTTTAAAATAATGCCTTCCATGATCATCATGAAGAGTGTCTTGAGCTCCATAAAATCCACACCAATAAAAGGCTGCTTGATCAGCTGCTACTCTAAGTGCCACTGCCTGACCTCCCACTACTCCTGGAGATGGATTAGGAGCTGCATTCTTTTTGCACCAACCAACATTATATTATTTTCATTTTTCACCATTATTAGAGAAGCTAAAAGCTTTAGAAAAATAAAATATGAATGATATATACCTTAAAGCTAATATTGTAAGCTGTGAAGTTAAGTGCAAAAATGGCAACTGAAGCACTGTAGACAGTTCTTCCAGTTGAGTTTGCAGTGTCATTCCATTCTATGGCAGTGTTGAGATAACCTTGTCCTTGAATTATTAAGTTTGTTTTGTTAGTATGAACTATCACCTTCTCCCTGCCATCATATAGTATTTGTCAAATTCATATATATATATATATATATATCCAGTTGATAGTTCCCGTACGAAAGTGCTCCAATCTCTCTCCTATGGCCAGTCTCGAGTGTTGAATAACCTTGTCCTTGACATTACTTTAAGTTTGTTTTGTTAGTATTGGAACTATTCACCTTTTCTCCCTGCCATCATATAGTATTTGTTCAAATTCATATAATATATTATATATATATATATATATATATATAGAGAGAGAGAGAGAGAGAGAGAGAGAGGAGAAAATGACCTGTAAGTACCAGAATCGATTATGATAAGAGTTGGAGAGGATTTGAACTCTGGAACAGCATCTATAGCCTTTTGAACACTGCTAAAATTCCCACAACCTTTCAAGTCTACTGTCAATATACTAGAAGTAGAAACTTTATGTTGGCATATAAGCTTTCTGAAACGGTATATAAGCCTTTTCTGATCACATTTGACCTTCCTCCGGTGGTGGTGATGGTGGTGTCTAGACAAGATCCTCGCCAAGGTATCCTCTAGGCCAGTTCTCTCAAATACCCTTTTAAGAATGTGAAGTTGAAAACTATTTTGAATAGTTAGAGGTACGCTTGCTGAAAAAGGGGAAGGAGGAATTGCATAGAAAGAAATTGTAATGGAAAATAGAGCAATACCAAAGGCAAAGAGCCAAAAGGAGAAACTTTTGATTCTCATAGTTGAAAGGTGAAGTGTTTGTTAGAGTTTGTATTCTGCTTTTGGAGGAAATTATAGAGGAAGGAGTGATGAGAATGTGTATATATTTTATGTGAAGGTGCAAGTGATGATTGCCGTGGGTTATGAGGAATGTATGTTTTTTTTTTTTTTTTTTTATGTATTGTTTTTTTTTTTTTTTTTTTTCCTGATGATTATGATTTAGACCTTCCTGCTTTAAAAGTAATGGGCAGAAATAAGGGAAATGGTGAAGAAATTTTTTTTTTTTTTTTTTTTTTCCTGATGATTATGATTAGACCTTCCTGCTTTAAAAGTAATGGGCAGAAATAAAGGGAAATGGGAAGAATTCAAGTTTGGAATGTGCATAGGTTAGACCTAGAGAGAAAAGAGGAGGTTTTGGTCATCATGAAAGGAGGGTAAGCGCCTGTTTTGCATGTGAACTTAGATTAGATTTGAGTTTGTCAATCATGATTAGAGCATTCTCAATTGGCAAATAGCAACTTCTTTATTGTATGTGGTGCAAATTATGCTAATGGTTAAAGATGTGCATTACGCTTCATCAAAACCTTTCAATTTTGGGATGACCACAGCACACATTGATGTTGCTTAAGAGAAAAACTAGACTATTATTTGTCATTGTTGAATGCCTTATACTGTGTACATTTACAATAAACATTAGGTATTAAACTTTAAAATAGACGTCAAATTCACTGATGCAGATTTCCCTTTATGCTTCAGTGAAAGAAAGCATTTGAAAACTTCAACTCCTGCATTTTCTTGTGATTAGAATTAAAATAAAAAAGGGACATGTTTTTATAGAATGAGAATATATTCAACCTAAGAAAACTACCTCCAAAATAGCGCCACTAGATTAATCTAAATTGGTACTATATACCTGATTTAGCAATTGATGTTTTGCAAATTTAGCTACATTATTCCTCAGGAAATTTCAGGGGTGACATGACTATGTTTATCACGACTTGACAAATAGGAGAATGTAATCCGCACAAATGAGTTGCATGTGCTTCCTGTAGATACTAAAATGGTAGAAGAACTAAGTCACATATGTACTTAAATAACTTGCTCTATACATACATCTCTTATCAGGGAAAAAAAAAAAAAACAATAGGAACCAAAAATGAAAACACTAAGCTTTTCCTTCACAACAAAAAGAATAGCCCATACAACTTCTTTACAATACTTCTACAGACATGGTATTTTGATTAACAATTCTACAAGCAGGAACCGCTTTCTGCAGCATTGATGTCCCTTTGAAGTTCAACATCTGACAGCAACTTTTTCTGTATTTGCTAAGCTGTAAAAATAATGTAGCAATTTCAATATGAAGATGCAGGCAAGAAATAGCACACCAACATATTTGATATACCGATGTATGGTTACACTTGCACGTATAGGTATCACATACCTCATCTGGTTTTATCTTCTGAAATCCAAATTTGTCCGTCCATATAGATTCCGCCTCTTCAGCAGATGGAAGCACAAGGCTCTGAACATTTAAAAAAGCCAACAACTTCTCGATGCAGGAGAACAATAACTGGAAATAGCCCTGAAATGTTGAGTAATTCCAATAAATATTCAAAATGCACCATTTTCATCCTTCCGCTGAAACTATATAATAGCAAACCAAATTTCACTAATCATGGTTCCCCAAAAATAAAATAAGCAAGGTCTTAAACAAAACAAAAAAAAAGCATAGACTAATTCTTCATGGAAGACTAGCATGATAAATTAACACTGACAGTAACTGAAACTCGTTAGGTGTGATACACCACATGCTAGTCTCACCTTCCCGTGGTTACCGTTACTTGTTGCAACTAAGGGAAGTTCAGCAACTTCTTGCCCAAATATTCTAAGTATTCCAGCCGACACAACAAACGAACTGCAAAATTAGAAATTTTAGACTGTTGTCATCCTCGAGACGGTGACAAATCACCTAACTTAGACATGCAATTCCATAACTTACTTGACCGTTAATACTGCACAGTACATTCCTCCATAATCTTGGCCCTTTGAATTCTTCCTGTAACAGAGATTTTACGCCAATTGTGCAGTGAGGTAGGAACTAAATACCAAAATATGCAACATAAGATATGTGTGCACTCATAAGCTTACCCATAAACCATCAAAGGAATAAGATCACGTCCAGTTGTATCTACTATAGGATCGAAACATTCCTGAAATGAAATTATATTAGTCTCAGTGAGATAATGCACAATAAGGTTCTTTCATTAGTGGATATGAGTGTGATAAAATATTAACCAAACGAAGGAAAATGGAAAATGATATTGCAATTTATTACTGCATACAACAGTCATAATATGAAGCTGTTATTCAAATTAATATTATCAGTGAGGAATCTGTACAAATCAAATGAAAATAAAAGGAGATGCTTGCTCAATTATTTAGGTAGAGAACCATAAGACAATAAGTATGCATATGTCTAAATACATAAGAAATAAGTACGCATATATCTAAACATGTAAGGAACATTTTCTGCATTTCAAAATTGCTCCAAGTATTATAACGCTATAGGCAACTGGTGGCATGCAAGTTGATGTACATGGATGGACGGTACTTACTTGGAAGATTGCATGAGCTTGTGAAAGTAACAATTTAGTTTCAGAAGTAACAAATTTGCCACTAAGAAGCCTCCATCTCACGTCAATATCATTAATGATTTCCAAGCCTTTCTCCACGTTCTTCTTCTTTATAACATTCAAAAGAGGTTCCTCGAGTTTTTCAGCTCCACGCACTAGCAACTTCTGCAAAGTAGAATGAATCCTACAACAATCTGGACAACAAAACCACTTCCCTTTTGGCAATTCCTGTCAAACAAGTAGGCATCAGACAGCAAGTCCGCCAAATAAGAAACTAAGTTGAAGCAAACAAATCTTTGTCAAAACAGTAAAGAATGATATAGGCACCAACCTTTAGGTTGGCTATTTTATGATTCCTCAAACAGCCCACATGAAATTCCTTCTCACACTGTTAAAAAATGAGAATATTACCAGTTAAGACTCAATACAATCTATAAAGCAGTTGATAACAGGAAGACTACCAATAAAAGTAAATTTCCATTTGAATATACAGATACGAGCATTTAACAATTGAAACTTATATATAAAGCATTTGCATTCAAAGTGGACAATCACCTGATCACACAGTATGATTGTTCGTGGACCGAATCCAAATCTGCTAAAATCATAACCTCTGCATATAAAAGATCAAAAGAAAAATACAAACCTGATGAGATATCTACATAAAAAGGGGCTTAATCCGCAAGAATACGTATATACATGGCAACAAGAGCTCAGTACAAATTAGTTAGCAGAATAATGAGTAATGATGAAGTCGATATTTCAATCATTACAGTCTAAACTCTGGCAGAATGTAACTTTTACCTGCATAACACGCATCCACTAAGCTCTGCTTCTAAGTTTTTGACAATGCGCATGCATCTCTTTGTTATCTGTTCTATAGGATCAACTCCTGAAACCCTTCCAGCTGCAACAGCATTGGCATTATGTTCAACAAACTTTTCTCTTTGGAACATATTCTTGCAAAATTGGCAAAACCATTTTCCACGGGGAACACTGGATAGAGATGCACACCCTACATAGACCAATAAATTGCTCATCAAAATCAACTCAGCCAGATCTGCTCAGAGTTTGAAGCTTTCACGCAATTTTTCGTTCAGAAAGCAGATAATGAAACAATTCTTTAGCATCTTTTCAGAAAACAATATATCAGATACAGGAGGTCTCATCACATTCCCTACCCCCCACCCACCCAAAAAAAAAAAAGGGTTTAACGAGAGAAATACATCAAATGGAATAGCGCAATGAAAAGTTGCAAGTTTAACCAAAACACCATTGAACACGTATAGACACACATGCATATATAAAATAAATATAGACACATTTACTATAGATTAGAACAATATCATGTGTGAAATAACACGTACAGATCATAGTCCATTAGTTCGCTCACTACTACATCCAAGTTGCAGATCATCTCTATTTTCTAGTAGATTTAGTAATAAGTAATGAAGCAATTTGTAATTTTTGTCCAAAAGAATATATTACTATTGAAGAAGACAAAAAAGACAAAACAAGCCAAAGTTAATGGAAGACAATGCTTTTCAAAATCCAGTGATTGATATAATTAGACAACTGTCACAACCCACTTGTTGCTTCTTTCAACGGAGTATATACAAGATTATGAGGACCAAATATCTAAAAAAATTTAAGATTTATAAAGAACAATGTTTCAAACCAGACATGGTGCTATTGATGCACCATAACTTCATTAGATACATGCATTACTGACTCTTCTCTTTCCATTCAGCCATACCTAGATTATGTTCTTTTCTCAAGCAAGAACGGCTGAACATCCTCATCTATTAACAATCTAATCTACCAAAGAACTCTTCACAGCAGAAAGATTTGATTGACCTAAAGAAAGTAAATGAAAAGATCCAAACTATAGCCAACCATACCCCAAGTACCAGGTCCCCCTCTCTCTCCAACAAGACAAAAGAAGAAGAAATTGAGCATTCTGATAATAGTAGATTTGCATTCACCTTTGTGGAAGGCCCTTGGGCAACCATCACAAAGAACGAGACTGCCACCATCTGAACAGACAATGCATAGGTCATCATTGTCCTTGGCAGAATACTTGCGGCCTTTTGATAGTGATATTGCCAATTCATGAAGTGACACACCATTAGATGTGTAAATATACGCATACCTGTCAAGAAAACACAATAATGACTTTACACATACTGCTACCTTGCTTTCTTTCCTTTCTTTTTTTTTTTTTTTTTTTTTTTTCGCATTAATGTGTTAAATATACGCATACCTGTCAAGAAAACACAAATAATGACTTTACACATACTTGCTACCTTGCTTTCTTTCCTTTCTTTTTTTTTTTTTTTTTTTTTGGTGTTTTTTTTTTTTTTTTTTTTTTTTCTGGTGAGGGTGGAGGAGGAATAGTTAACATCAAAAAGTTACCAGATATCTCATCATAAACTTACGGCTTTTTGCGAGTAGCCCAGCCTGCATGAGCTTCAAATGTTGAGGGGCTGACCTGCATATCAGTTATAAATAATGCCAACATGTCTGATGAAAGATTAAGGAACCATGAAGTGCAAGTAAGAAGTACCTCACAGTTGCAGCAACAGCAAAGTATTCCAAAGCCCCTCTTGTAACCCACAAGCAATTTCTGTGCAGAAGAATAATTACTTTACACAATAAGGGAGTGTAAACATGTACAAACATAAATGATATTTATCTCAGCCACCTGGCCACGAGCATAGTATGCTACTTCAGTTCCATCAGGCAATCCACCATCCTCAAAAACCAATTTATGCAACCTCTGATCTCTTGAGAAAACAAGGTAAAGAAGACGAGAGAACTCTCCAAATCAGAGTGAAAAATAAACCCAGAAATATGCTACAACAGGAAGCAATCAAGGCAAAGAAAAAAGAACAAGGGCCAGGGAAGAGGGAAGATGAGAACCGACTTTGTTGTTATTTTCCACTGGCACTTATTTTGTGAAGAAGCACTTGCTGATGCACTTTTCAAAGACTTTGATAGTGTAGCTGGTTTTGATGTCCTAAAAAATGGGAACAAGAACACTAACAAAAGGTTAAAGGGAAGTGATATTTAAGAAAAACATCAAACCAAAACAATTATCATTTTGCCTACCATACTGTTGGTGAAGCAGCGATATTACTTGACAGCAAGAGGGGGGAAAAAGGAAAAAGAAAAACTAGAAGCTAAACATGGTAAGCCAAACAACAAATATGCATCACATGATAAAAACAAATCCAACCTTGGTGAGATCTTCAATAGCTTCCTTTTCCGTGATGAGGGATGTGCAGAAGCAATTACGGAGAGATTTGATATCAACTCTGATTCTGGTGACCTGAATCATCAAAGGTAGAAGCTTACAATGAAATCTCTGCATTAAAAGCAAATCAGCAACAAAACACACACACAAGGAAGCACCATTTAATATATATCTTTGTATTTTCTATTTTGTTCTATAACAAAGGACAACAAATATTAATCACTTATGTTAAATAGAAAGCCAAAACTTAAGCCAGATTATGCTTATATCATATGCTAAACAAGAAGAATAAGATACCAACTTTGTTCTTTTCTTCTGTTCACTCTTCTTTCTTGAAGACATGCGCAATGGAGAACTTCTTGATAACTTTGCACCTAAATCTGGTTTTGCTGGCCTGAAATAATGTAGATTGAAATCATTATAAAAGAAGAATAGTTTCAGATCATAAACTAATGCGCCTAAAAAGTTGGAAAAGGAAATGTCACAATAATGCATCAGTAAATAACTAAGAATGCCAAAACTGAGAAGCAACAATTTATGAGCAAACATGCAATGCCAGAAATAAAAAACAAGATGTAAAAGGATACCAACTTTCTTGCTATCTTGCTCAGAGTATTATCTTGGGAGAGGGTAGACATAAAAGCACTTCCAGTGGGATCCACAGACAAAACTGGCTCTACTAAGCTGAAATAACACAGGATAAGATTAGCATAGCTATATACCATTCTACTCACATTCTTGCAACTTCTGAGTTTTAAAAAAAAAGCTTCACTTATTTTTCACTGTTAGTTAGTACATCAAAAAGCAAGATGTCATAAAAGTTTCCGGGTTAAGCAAGGAAAAAAGAAAACCTAGCATTGAAATCTATACAAATGCAATATTTTTTTGTTCCCCCATTATTACACTTAATTTGCACATTCTTCTAATACAATTAACTTCTTGAAGTTTAGGGAATGAATAAACTGGCTTTCAAGAACAATTTATCCACATAAAGAGAATCTAACTAGCATGATTCATTGTAGAGCGGCTGGAGCTCATAGCTGTTAACAGCATGCAAGAGGCACGAAGTCCACAAGACAATGACCCCAATAGCTCCACAAGGGAAAGGCAAGCGACCGACACGATATCCGAAGAGGAAGCTTACATAGTGTGAAGTTGTTGGGCTTGCGGGTTATTAGCAGAAGTAGTAGGCATATTTGTGGTAAGTCATGGGCCTGATGGGCTTGAATCTTTGGCTGCAACAGGTGCAAAAGCAAGGGCCAAGAAAGACATACCCCAACAATTTTCACCCCTGGAGACCCCTATCACCAGATTCAGAAGTTCTCACCCAATTACAGTTTGGTAGCAAAGTGCCAGAGAGTTGCCAAAATGGTGCTGGACCACCACCCCAGGAGTTGCCATCCACTAAACTTTCCATTATTGGCATCTATGCATCTTGAATCTCTCTCATCCTACCTTGTTTCTGGTCTTCTCTGTTTCTCTACCCTCCCCTGGCTCATTTCTGTCCATTTTTTTCCCTCTCTTTCCAGTTTTTCACAGTCTCTATTTTTGTTTCTGAACAATTACATTAATAAACATCTTTGATGTATTTCAACTTTGTTCTTGTCAAGTCCACACTCACTTTGGGTGTGCATGTTTGTTTCTCTCTAAGTGAGTAGATTGTTAAATTTATATCAACATTTTGAAGATTATTATCTTTAGTAAACTTGGTTAGAGCTAATTTCTTGAATGTATGAACATTATGTGTTAATTTTAGCGTTTTCCTTCACCTTTTTTTTTCTGTCAGACCTCTCTCAAGCATGTGCTGGGCTCCAGGCTCTAGGATCCATGTGCTAGTGCACCATATGCACCTAATAACTATGAGAAACCTCAATCTTCTATAATGATAAGCGTAGTTATTTTAGCTCTTCATTTTCCTCCAAGTACCCATCTTGGATGAGGACACCAGGATATGGATATGGATATGGGTACAGTATTTTCACTCTTCGAACTAGTAAAAGGAAAAAATATGAAACTTTGAGAAAAAGACCAGCCTGACATTAAGACACATTTAATAGATTGCTTATAAGCAAATATTGCATTTAGATAATGACAAGTCCGAAGCATTCCAAATGTGCCTCAGTGAAGTTTATATTTTGGAGAAAAATTAAAAATGAACAAAAAAAAAAAAAAAGATACCCCTAGATACCATATAAATTCTAACCAAAATTAAACTACCTACATTCTAGAAAGAAAGAAAGAAAGAACGAAAGAAAGGGGGGAAAAAAAAATCAGCATATGAAATAAAAATTTCACAAATATGTTTCCAGAAAATATATGAAAAAATGTGGGTCAAAATGTAATCAAGGAAATCATGCTGCATTATAACAAAAACCTGGGATCAAATCTTGCTAAATGGCGTAAACTCTGAATAAGTGAGGAGGCTATCCCAAAAAATGTGTCCCAGCCCCATCCCTTGCTGGGATGGGAGGGGGATGTTAAGGATGGTGGGGGGGCTGGGAAGAAGCAAATAAACACAAATCAAAAGCTGATAGTAATCCCTTTCAAAAAAAAAAAAAAAAAGTTGATAGTAATCAAAATGATGTTTGAACTTTGAAAAACTTGAACTCATTGTTATGACAGAAATCAATTTGAAAGGGGCATAAATTTTTGTTGCACATTTTGTTATATATCCTGCAAAAAAATTTAATTTGTGCACATTTTAGTAGTCTTAGCCTTGCTCTCCTGAAACACTGATACAAAACTAAAAACTCACCACTTGAATATCAAATGAAGTCTAAAACATGGATTAACCAAGCTATATTCATTCGGATATAAAGGGTAATGCACAAGACCCAACCTTGAAAATGTGAATCGATAATTGATTAAAAACTAGCATTCATGGTAATGGATGAACTACTCTACAATTTACATAGGCACTATAGACACGACTTTGCACCTTAAGTGTTTTCAAGAGCTGCTACCAGACTGCCAATCTTAAACTTGGAGTAAAACAAATGAATACAAAGTTTCCATCAACTACAATACATATATTCATCCATCATGACAGGAACTACTGTAAAAAAGAAACATCCACCCAGAATTACAGGATAGAAAGGGCACAAAAAAAAAAAAAAAAAGAAAGGAAGCTGCAATTGCATACCTAGCCTTTATACTAGTTTCAGAAGCTAGCGCACCATTAGATTCTTTTGACTCCACACATGAATTGCATAAAGGTCCTATTTTGCCAACGTATATTGTAGGGAATATACCTAGAATATTTAATACCGAAAGAATTCAGGAGAAGAGTCCAATATCATCAAAAAGCTTTTAGCATTAAACAGAATTTGAAATGAAAAGACAAAGATAGAAACTCACCTTTGCATCTTTTACACGTGAAAGTTTTCTCTTTCGGTAAACCACTAATGGCATTTTGAATTGTTGCTTCCAAAGAACTCAAAGGAGAAGCCCTACATGCATTCAGTACATCGAGCAGGCTCTTCCCATTCTCAAAACAAATGTACTGTGCTGCTCGTCTGTATTGGCTGATAGCATGAATCTCAAATTGTGAAGGTGGAATAACCTAAATTAAAGGAAATGAAAGTAAGAAAGAAGCAAATTAATAACGAAATCATCATTCATGAAACTAATTGGCTTTTTAAAATTACAACTGCAGCAAAAAGAATGCTTACTCTACATCCCTTGCAGAAGGAACATGAACACAGAATTCCAACATCTTTGATTACACCTCGTAGGCAAAATTCCTGATACTAAAATACAAAAGGGAAAAAGAATTGATTAAAAACTGCAAAATATCACCCAAAGAGGAATAGGAAAAAGAAATTATAAAATGTATCAGAATAAGAAGGCTAAAGAAAACAAACCTTCTTGCCGCCCATGTAAACGACTGGTACACCCTCGAGAAAGCCAGTCTCAAAGAGCTCCTTGACTGTCATCGGCACATTATTCAATGCAATCTTTTTAGACATTTTCAACTCTAAATTTCTCTTTGGAGGAGTCAATGCACTCCCTTCAGCTATCATCTCCACGTCTACTTTAGAAAACATTTCAGTGTCAACAGATTCCAATCCATTAACCTTTACCTCCACAGGCTCCAACTTAAACTTCAAATTCGACCTTGTCAACCGTCTTAATTTATCGATCCTCACCTCAGTATTCTCATTGCCTTCTTCCTCAGGTGGAATTGGCTTGGGATCACTCATTAGTTCATCTTTACAGCCAGCCAATTCTACATTTTCAACAACTTGACTCTCTTTTTTTAGCGTCTCAGCTGCTCGGCAATCTTCAATTACGCTTTCAACTACTTGAAACTTCCGATCCTCATTGAGTGCACTATTTATCCCATTAATTACACCTAATTGTAGCTCCTCAACACTCTTAATCCTTTTACTTTGTAAATCGTCGCTAACTTTCTTACATTCACTAGCTGGTCTACTTCTCTTATTCACCCGAGAATAAACAATGTAACCATTTACCTTCGCAACTCTGAATCTCTTACAATTACCATTCTCAGATACTTCCGCCGGCGGCAAATCTTTTCCAATTGACAGACCACAGCTCCGACCAAACGAGCTAGCTAGCTGGGACTGAACTCCAGCCACAAAAGCCAGCTCTCTCTTCATTTCCCACAAAATCACCAAAATCACTGCAAATACAAAAAGACAAATCGAATAATTAAAACACAAAAGATCAAATTAAGAAAGAAAACAGATTGATTCTGAGGTTTTGGGATAGATTACCTCAGTGTTAGATGAAGGGCATGAGGAATTGATATAGGAACTTCGATTCGGAAAGAAATGGTAATTGAGATAGGGACAGAGAGGATGAGATTGAAAATTGAGAGAGAATTTTGGGTATTTCTTGACAAGGGTTTTATAGTTGGGGTTTTGATCGAACAGAAGATATGGATAGGTAGAGAGAGCAAAGGTTGCGGTGCTATTGGGAGGCGAACTGACCAACTAGTGATAGAGAGCAAAGGAGGAGAGTGTCTGCGATGTAGAAATTGGCTAATGGCAGGATCAGTAAATAAACATGGGAATTAAATGCTACAGTCAAATTACTGTGATACCCTCAAGACTTCTACGAAATTCCCAGACTACCTGCCTTCAACGTACATTATTTTTGTTGGGCCAGATTCGGATAGAACCAACATCAGTTGGGCCCAACTCAACAGAAAAATTTTCAGCCCATAACTGTATTTGTTATTTGAGAAAAATCATTTTTAGTCGACTCTACAATAAAGATTGTATTAGAAATTTTTTGAATAGACTTTCATTTTGTTTTGCTTTGTGTCAAAATAAATTTTAAATTTTCAAAATTTACGTCTTATATAGACACAAATTTTATCCAGTTATTAAAAAATAAAATTATTTAGATTTAATCATTTATTTTTTATTTTGAAGGTGATACAAATTTGTATAAAAGAGTGAAACTTGAGCCTTAAATGATCAAATGAATTCATCAAGGAAAACACTTAAGCCTACCCATCCTACGGTTTTAAATGAGTCAAGCCGCTTGTGAACTATTCAAGACTTGGACTAAAAAAAAAATTTGTTCGATAAGTATAGTAAATGAATCAGAAGCTTATAAAGTAATTTTTTCTTTTTAACTAGCCAAGCTCAAATTTTCTTTTTCAAGCTCGTATTAAACTCGAGTCAAATTCAAATTCGAGCGTAGCTTATCTAGCACAGCTAGAGCTCAACTTGCTTATAACCTTACTCATACATGAAACTTAATTCATTACAGATTAAGGTGTCCAATAGAGTTGGATCTTTGTTAATTAATTAATGGCTGATGTTGTTGAGTACACTTGGAGAGTCCTCCAATTGAACTTCTCCCTAGTGCATATGCTCAGCAACTCACTTTGCAGTTTGCACTGCCAGTACCGACAGCAACTCTTGTATTAACTATAATAATTCTAATTCTTAATTAGCTATAAATCTTAATAAGTAATATATATACCAACTTCATACATAAGCAAATCTACTTTGCGGTCAAGAAATAATGCAGAGGTATTATAGTATTTGATGTTGCAAATCAGGAAAATTAGTTTTAAAATGGGTTTTAATTTATTATTTTTAAGCCAATCGAATTAAGATTAGGATAATGAGGCAAGCAAAATGATTGTCAAACGTGATGTTCAAAACTACACTGCCTTCTCTTTAGCTAGTTGTTGCTGCTGCTGCATTATTTCATTTGGCTGCAATGCAAGCTTAATATTAACTCTATCTTTAGTTTCCACTCTCAAGATATACATGTCTTGTCTCCCTTTGCATTTATTCTTTAAAAGAAGAAGAACAAAATATGCCAAAAAAGAAAAAAACAATTATAGTTTATGCACTTATGGGTCATTTTAATTTGATGTGAGGTAACCATCTGAGGAAGAAAGTGGATCGAGATCATGTTATTTTTAGTTATAGCATGCATCATATCTTATCCATTAGCTCAATTGTCTAGTTTTGTCTACTCATGAACAAAAAAACGATAACATATTTGATTTTAGCGGTTGAAATTCTTCTGTATTAAATAATATCAGTAACGCATTTGGCATGGATCAGTTCTCCCAGTAAATTTTATCTGTAAGATTAGAGATTTGAAACCTAAAGTCCCTGACAGAAGGGTTTTACTCGAAAATTACAAATTTAAAATGGTTGAAGTGAAATTAATAAAAGAACATTAAGAAAAATCTCAAGCATATAAGACTAACTATAAGAAGCAACTAATTAGTAATTACTGATCAATTTCTCTATAAGCACAAAAACAAAGATAATAAAAATCAAACCAGAAACAACATATATAATTTATTTACCAAACTGCTTCACTTGGCCATACAATATGTATATACTTCCCAGCTAAACATGCATATACCATAATTAGATTCATAAGAAAAAAGAAAACAAACGTACATATATAAATGACAGACAATTGATAATCTGACTCGCCCTTGTGAAAGTTTCCTCCAAGCTTCACTCTTGCATATAAAGCTAGCAACGAGAGATTTCAAAAGGAAATGAAAATGCCAAAGGATCGAAGTTGCCCTATAAGAAGACAAACCGCCCTTAAATAAGGCGATTCAGGTCCAACCACACCCTCCCATTACAATTTTCTACAATACTTCTACGAAGAATCACAGAAAATTACTGGGACAGACCGTACATGCACACACACAGACACACACAAATAACTTCACAAACACCAAGCCAAGCAGCCGGCCTCCAGCCACCCTAAAGGGGTGGCCGGAGAGAGCCAAGAGAGTCACATAATGGGAAGGTGAGTGTTTGTGTGGGAAGAGGGTTTGCAGATAAAAATTGAGTTGGTTTTTATGTTATCGTGTGTCTGGGTCGTGAGAGCAATAAAAGGGTGAGATGACTTAAGTAGAAGTAGTGTTTTAGTGTGTGGTCACTTTTTTGGTTAAAAAGGGAACCAAAAAGAAAAAGTATATACAGAGAGAGTGCAATAGGAACTGCATGTTTTAGCATCTTCCCTAGGATATGCCATTGCCACCTTCCATTCACAACTTCTCCTTTCATATATTATTAATCAATTTCTCCGCTTTAATTAATTAATAAATTTAATTTCTCCTTTCATAAGTTATCGACCTCTCATTGCATCATTATATTAGCTTTATGAAATTAAAATTCATATCTAATTATGCAGTAAGCGACCTAAATCCATGTAAAAGTCATAAGTGTAAGTTTGAAATTTAAGAAATGCACTTGCTGTGAAAGTCAAAATCTTTACATTGTATGAGCCGAAGAGAGATTATATTTTATAGTTCTACTAAAAAAAACATATATAACACCCCAAGGGGTGAGATGGGATAGTAAGAGTCCCTTCTCCCTTAACTAGAGGTCTCAAATTCTAGTGGACACCCCTTTTAATAGCTAGAATTGCTCACTAGAAGCAGGCAGTCACAGACTCAGAAACTGCAATTAATTTTATAAAAAAAGACATAGAGATATTAATTAGTGGAAAAACTAAAAAAATAATAATAATAGAAGAAACAAGTAATACTATTATGTTTTTATGTTCAAGAAAAATTTAGATGGAAGCAATACCAACCCACTATTAATATTGAATATTATTATATATAAGGTACGTCCAATTCTTTAAAACTCTTTAGCCTTTTCTGGTCAGTAATTAAGATTTCATGTTGTTTGTGACACCAGCAGTATTATTCTTTTGTGCTTTCAACAAAGTAGTTAGACATTGCGTACGTAATGCTTTTTAAGGATGTTCTTAATTCCTTAATTCTGAATAGTCATCCAATAGTGGTTTACATGGGTTTGCCTTTGAGGCTCAAAATGGTTTTATTTTCAAATGAAGAAGCAAATTTGAATTCTAAAGATTAAAGAAAGAAAAGATAAATTTGTTGTAATAAAAGAAAAAAAAAATAATAATGAGAAAGAAAATAGATTATGGCAAGAAAAGGATAGGAGTAAGAGGGTGTAAGATGAATATGAAAAGCAAATGGTGAAATTTGGTTGATATGTATTATGAGTATCTTGAAAAGGGTGCATAAGAATATTACTTGATGCCAAAAATCATACTAGAAGAAGCTGCCTCCATGATCTTTATTTTGTATATTTCTTTTCCATTTCCAACTACTATATATGTTGTCCGTTAGAAACTTAATTGCTTCCATGTGTAACTTTATATCTCACCGTTCATTCAGTGAAACGATATTTGTCTAGACTGAATTCATGGTTCAGTTACCAAACAAATCAATAAAAATAAAATTTTTTAAAAAACTATTTTTATTTTATTTTTTTCTCTTGTATATGTTATGAACACTCATCTTTCAATAAAAATTTTTATTTTAAGCTAAATAAAATTGATTTGAAATGAATTTCAAATTTTTTTTATATAAAAGAAGAGGAAAAACACTAAGAACTATACGGTTTAGAATAAGCTACGCTTGCAACATCATGCGTCAATCAAGGAAAGATGCCGGATGAAACTGATTAAGAATATATAGATCCAAATCAAACAAATAAGTAAAATTTGAAAGATATATATGCACTAAAATTAGCTTCTCCGAAAACATGAGAAATGGTGATCTCCTCAAAGAGTGGAAAATAAGATTGGATAGATATTTTAGAAATACATCTTTCAAACTTACCTTAAAAAATAAAAAGAGAGTTTCAATTAATTAACAAATACAATGCCGTTAATACCAAACTTACCTTAAAAAATAAAAAGAAGGTTCAAATGAATTAACAATACGCGTACGATGCCGTTAAACGAATATAGAATCTCAAATAAACGACAGCTCTCCTTTTATACAGACGAAGGTAAAACCCCGCGAGTCGTTTCTAAAACGACTTGTCTTCTAAAATAGAGAGGAGATAATTATTCCAAAGTAGACTGAAATATCACAGAATGAGATCACCAACTTCCAAATTGAAAAACAACAAATCAATGAAAATCAAAATTCTAACCTGACAGAAAGGAAAATTAGCTGCAGACAATTTTTATTAACTGATCTCAAAATCTGTCAGCTAACCTTTGAATTTTTATTTTATATCTACAAAAATGAAATGTACATATAAAGGTAAAAATTGGAAAAATCTCCTAAAATTAATTAGAACCATCTCTTTCCATTATTAGTTGCCTTAAGCTTCATCACAAGCTCTTCCCTTTGAGCTTCTACTTCAGCATATTTAAGGCTCATGTTGAAGTAGCGTTCCCTAAGCTCTTTTAACTCTGTCTCCAATGATGATTTTGTTCGTTCAAATTTTTCTTTTGGAACAACTTCACTTTCTGCTTTTGATTTTCTTGGTGATCCTGTTCGACCTTTCCGGCTCTCAGCAGTTAACCTGCATTCATGCCAATTAAAAGGGTGACCCAGTGCACGAATCCCACATTTGTGAGCTCGAGAGGCCATTTTCGTGTGCAAAAATGTTCTTTATTTTGAAGAAATTAAATGTTATGTTCATCTTGCACTCACCTTTTAACCTGAACTTTGAATGCATTATTTGCTTCCATAGCCTTGGATAGTTCATCTTCAAGCACAGGATTATCACCCTATTATCATTAACCAACAGAAGTCAATTCGTTAATATCTAAAAACCAAAAGTAAATGGCCAAATACTTAAACAGGAAAAAAAAAATGATGCATGGGCAAATTTAAAGAATGTAGCTTCCTGTAGCAAGATTTTAGTTTTATGGGTAAAACAGAGGAGAGAATACATACTTCTTTTTTCCTCGGATTACGCTGTTTTTCCTTCAATATGATTAATTCTTCTTCAAGAATTTGAATTCTTCTTGTGCTTTTTTCTTTCACCTCCTCCAGTTGTTGTATCTGCTGTTGAAGTTGCTTATTTGCTCTCTTGATATGGTTGAGCTCATTTTTAACATCTGCATCTTGTTCACATAAGGACTCTTTTGCAATTAGTTCACTCTCCAACTTCTGAATCTTTTCTTCTAAGGAAAGATTATCTTCTTTGAATTCTTCTAGTTCAGAAATAGTCTTCTGCAAGTCAGTGATTTTGTCGATAAACAAATTCTTCTCTATATTCAACTCTTTACAGTCTTCAGCTTTTAGATTCAATGAAATTTCTAGTTTCTCTTTCTCAGTCTTGATCGCATTCACTTCATTCTTCAAAGCCAACACTTCATCCTGAAGGGTTCCAATTTTCAGCAACTGCGCCTTCAAATTGGTAGATTCTTCAATAAGTTGTTGCTTCTCGTACTCAGATACTGTAAGCTTTAGCTCAACACCATTGAGAGCGGTCTTAAATTTTTCTTCACACAATTTGTAATTCTCCAACAACTTCAACATCTTTCCATTATCAGCCTTTAGCATTTCTTGGTTTTGTTTCGAGGAAGCAAGCTCATCCATCAAGTCTTGAATCTTCTCCTTGGATTCTGTCTGTGAGGCATGGAGTTCTGATTCTAGCTTAGTTATATTTTTGCGTAAACTAGATGCTTCATTCGCAGAATCACTAGCTATTCTATCTCTTTCTTCTTCAGTTACAGAGAGTTTCTTGTAAAGTTCTCCAACTTCTCTTTGAAGATTCTCAACTTGAACCATCTTCTCGAAATGCATCTGGTCTAATTCACTAAGTTTCTTCTTCTGTTTCTCATTTTCCTTGAGAAGTGCATCTATTTCCGAAGTCAGGCTTCTCTCCTTTGAGGCACTATCTTCTAGTAATGAAGAAATGTTTTCTTGCAAAACATTTACTCTTTTGGAGCAATCTGCAAAATTTCTGTGCAAATCTTTCAATTTCATCTCCAAGCGATCACAATGCCCTTTCAGTTCTAACTTCTGCTTTTTCAACTCTTCATTTGATTTCTGAAGTGAACTGCTTTCTTCCATAAGATCATGCATTTCTTCTAGCTTCTTCTCCGCATCCATTTTCTGAGTCTCCATCTCATTTCTCAACTTTGCAGTCTCATCTTGAAACTTGACTACATTAAATTTGGAATCCTGTAGCTCCAATACCATTGACTTGTTCGCATCTGTTAAGTTTCTTATCTGAGTTTCCAAGCCAGATATGCAAGCTAATAGGTCTCCATTTTCCTGCTCTAGTTCAGATAAATGGATCTTGAAATTTTGCTTGCTACTTTTCCTCTCTAGAGTTTTGTTGGCAGAAACATTAGTATCCACACTGCTGCCAAGCACCATCAAATCCTTTCGCAAGTCATTCAAGCATTTCGTAGCAATATCATTTTCTCTAATGACAATTTCCACATTTTCCTCTAGTTGGCTTTTCTCTCTTTGAAGGACAGAGAGCTTGTCTTCCAATTTCCTTTGGTAATTTTTAAGATTTCCAATTTCTTCTTCTTTTGACAATAAACCAGTCTCAAGTCTTTCTATCTCCTCTCTTTTTTCACTCAGTTCAGTAACTGTACTTTCCAACTCATATTTCAGATTCTCAAGTTCTTGAATTGAAAGATTGTAGTCATCTTCAATCTCCTTAACAACTTTCCTCCTGATTTTCTCTTCAAGGTCGTGAATTTGGGATTCATGCTCACTTACTTGTGCAGAATTGTTCCTCATTTCCTTAATCTTGACTAAGAGCTCAAGGTTTTCTTCTGTTAGCTCTTGGCAATCACTTTCTACTTCCTGCAGTTTTGCTTTCAGTGTTTCAATTTCTGTTATCAGAACTCTCTCACTTCCATCTATTTCCTCCAATGCTTTTTCCAGTTCTTGCACTTGAGCTTGCAAATTCTTTTCTGATTCTTGCAATTTTTGCATCTGCAACACATTAACCTGTATAGAACTTTCCATGTCACTGAATTTTGATTGTAGAGTTGAAAGATTCTCTATTTCAGCTTTCTGCTTTTCCACAGTCTCTTCAAGCTCCTGAAGAACCGAAACAAGCTCAACATTAGACTCCTGACTCCTATTCAACAGCAAACTGAGATTAGCAGTAGACTCTTTTTGAAACTTAATCTCATCTTCCAATTCTTTTATAACATTGGTTACTCCTTCATCTTGAAATGTTGAATCCTCCAAGCCTCCTGCTTTCACCTTTGACTTCTCTAGCAACAGCTTCAGCTGTTCAACTTCCTTTTGCAATCCATCGCGTTCTGCATATGCTGCAGAAAGCTGCATATCCAAATTTACCTTATATTTGGACTGCTCAGTATGTTCTTTCCTTAACATTTCCAAATCAAGCATTGCTTTCCTTGCATTCTTCTCCCACTTCTTAGCTTCGCTACGAAGATCTTTGATGGTAGCTTCTGCAGCTTCAAGTAGGCTTTTAGATGAACCTGAAATTCTCAAAGATTGTGCAGCAAATTCTTGAGGGTCATCCGCAGAAAGGTTTTCTGAATGCGTAATCCGCGAGTTAAATGATGAATTATCTGATTGAGAAGCATCTTCAGCATTATAACTTCCTGGAGGTACACTATTCTGGGAGCTAGTTGATTCTTGTCTTGCAATGAGGGTATGTTCACCACTTGGAAAAAAACTCTCTGTGCCAATGGAATTTTCTGCCGAGTTATAGCTATGCTGTGAAGAACTAGACAAACCTGCCTCTTCTTGAAGTACACCTCCCTCTCCCTTGAACCAAAAAGGAAAAACACACACACACACACACACATACATGAGAAGCAAAACAATTTCAGTATTTCATATACTAGTAACAAAAATATGTTCTGCAAACCAATGAGCTTTGATTCAGCGGTAGCGGAGTTGTTTATAGGACTATGAGGCTGTAGGTTTAAACCTCAATTCAGAGACTAGTTGTAATCAAACAAAAAACAAAAAGTTGCCATTTTGAGAAACATGCAGCAAAATTAAAGCGAAAATGTGATCATACCTTCGTTCCATTGTCTCCTTGATGTGCAGAGCCTAAATCTCTACTAGAGTACGATCTTGCACTCTTTGCTAATGAATTATCAGACTCATCTGATTTCATTTCTGCGTCCTGAGAGTTTGTGTTAAGATCTTCCGTATGGGAATTTGTTTCTTTTGATTCACTATCCCTGGAATTTTGTATACAGACAAATTTTTCACCAGGAAACAGTGTATTAAAAGCTCAAAAGACAGCAAAATAGAAGGAAAAGACTAAAGTTCCATCACTTCATGTACTAACCTAAGATTTAACTTTGGTGTCAGGCACTGAATCTTGAGCTGCAAATCAGATTAAGAAGACATAATTGTGGAGAATAGATCTCAGTATTACAAATTATCAGAAAAAAATAATCAATATAGGTAGCTAGAACACAGTCATAAAACTTACTTGTAGAATAGTCCCATGATTGCACTTTTTCAATGGGAATGAAACTTGAACAGGATCACTTGAACTCATATATGTTGCCATGTTAATTAAAGCTTCTCCAAGAATGCCTGATCTAGATGATCCCTATATAATGCAAGTTTGAAATAATATTTTGAAAAGAAAGAAATAGACTCTGAAGAAGATCGACAATGGCAAAACAGAATACAGTCTCTATATACCATGGCAAGAACAAGCTTGTAAAGGCAATCTTCAAGCTCCTTTGAAGAAGAAGATTGAACATGTTGAGGAACCCAAATAGACTCTGAGACAGTCTCTGTCCATTGACAAGTACCAGTTCTTGAAGAAGCTTTACTAGACTTTGCAATTGTTTTTCCAGTCTCTACCGAGATTATAGATACAAATAACTTGTCCCATCCTTTTGGCACCTGTCAAAGTAAAACTCAAACATCATAAAAACCATATTAATTAAAAATCTTAAAGTGGGTTTTGTTTATTAACTAATGATAATTACCTGTAATGCTTTAAATTGAGAAAACTTGAAATCAATTCTTTCTCCTGACTTTGCTGCCTTATTCTTGTGCAACCTGAACATTTTCCCTTCTCTCTGTCCTTTTTTTTTTTTTCTTGTTCTTGTTCAAACAGTGTACATATGATATGACAAATTCAAAGATAATTAACAAGAAGAAGCTTAATTACCACATAATAATTACAATTAGCAGGACAAGAAGAGACAGACAGACAGAGAGAGAGGATTAGCTAAGTGGTCATTGTAGAGAATGGTGATATTTTATGTCCTACCAACTTTAGGCGCTACTTACGTTTGTTTGTTATGGAAAAGATAGAGGATCGAGAGAGAGATGCATGGGATTTTATGATTGTCCGGGTATCATACGCTGGGTCGTCAACTATAAAACGGCAACACAAAAGCCGAGTCTAACTCTTACTAATCCTAACTACTCGCTACCCAGCACCCAAAGCAGGCTTTTTGACCCGTCACCATGCTTGCTATTTCCTCAAAGATTGAAAAATAACTCCTAAATATTTTTTAATGAAATATCTAGGAGTTATTTGTAAGATCAAAATTTATAATAATTATTTAGTAATGAAATCAAATGAATTTAGTAAGTTCAAAATTTTTATAACGTAAGAATTTTGTTTTTATTTTCTGGCTTCGAATCAAATTTAAATTCTTAAATCCTTAACCCATATAATTTAATGATATTTGAACTCCGCTTAGAAAAGAGTATTTTTCTAACATGAATTTAATATGAGCGGTTCAACACATTGATCATTAATGTTACAAGTTTGATATTCATATACAGAAACATTTTTATTAGGAGCGCTTCAACCTTTAATAAATCGACCCGGCGCGAACAAGAAATAGTTAAGTTTTATACATCATTAAATAATCGTGGATCTTTTATGAAGAATTCTAGACTTCGTTTGCTAAAATTTTGTATATATTAGTCATAAATATAGTCTAAAAAAATATTTATGGGAATGAATCAAGAATATTTAAGGAATAAATGTGCTAGGATAAATAATATTTTTATTTGGATTTATAGATATAAAAAAATATATTTAGACCATTTAAACTAAGGGTGCGCTGTCTCCACCCAAGAATAGATACTTACTATGAGTTGTTGGTATCAATTTTGGCGATGAGTTATATTGTTAGATCACCAATCTTTGCGGCTGTCTTTTTCTACTTTGTGCTTTACACGGTTAAAGCACATAGATACAGTTATAGGTAGTGTAGTTTTAAATTTAATGGTTCCATAATATTAATTTTATACAAGATGGATATTTGTATAATTTTTTGCGCAAATTGATTAGTTAAATATATAGAAACGACGTCGACGGATTCTCACATTCTTATTGACAATCTGATTTGAATAAGTGGATTAATTATGACATGTCATATCACATAATTGTGCTAAAAATAAATAAAAAAAATTGGTGAATGTGGGCAATACTTTTCTAAAGTAAGGATCAGCAGAGTTACCAAATGGACTATTTACCTGTTGAATGAGCTCAAAAATTCTCTCATAGCTTTACCTGACAATATATATAATTTTGCGGGAAAAACAGATTTAATTCATTCTTTAGCTCCTAGGCCATTCCATAACCCATTTATGGCAAAATAGGCCCCCATTAATATCACTTCATTGCCAACAGCTAATTGATTTACAGTTGCTGGCCCAGGCCCAGGCCCATTATTGATTGACCCTCCATCATTTATTCCTATTCAATTTTAAAATTGTATTAAGTTAGATACATTTCAATGTAACTCCTCATTTTTTTGGGAGGTGCAACCAAAACTGTGAATTTAAAGTTCTGGTTCTGGTTTTTCATTTTAAAACTAAACTGACAATTTGGATTTGAAATATAAAAATTTTTATTTTTATTTTTATAATAATTATACTTTCTAAAATAATAAAATTTTACTCCCTAATTTTTATTTTTTTTTTCAACCTTTAGTTCTAGCTCCAATACCATTTCTTACCATGTTAAGCAAATTGAAGATGATAATTTGGGAGCAAAATGAGCTAATGATATTAATTAATAATAAATAAAGAAAATATTTACTAGATTATAATGATTTTCCATTATGGGTTACACACAAAAACATTTCACTCACTCATAATACATCAAGTGCAACTACCTTCAATTTCTTTTGAACATTGATATTATATATGTTTATTAATTTGCATTTGTGTGCATGTGCGAGTATTGTGAACTTATAAACTTTTTTCCTCCAAATTCATACATTACTTTTATCTTGACCTTGTTGGTTCATGACATCTTTTATTAAGAGTGACAAGTTAAAGTGAGAAGATCCACCAAATTCCATAGCATTATTTGCCATTTCTCCAAGTTCACATGCTCTCTTCCTTCTCTTTTCCCCTTCTTCTCCACCATCCATTAAGCTACTCACAGCCATTTCCACTTTTTCTTTCTTCACTAAAACTCCAGCTTTCTCTTCCTCTCCCCATCTCACAGGAACCTCAACTCCAACTCTAACTCCAATCTTTAAAATCTCCACAATCAGTTTCTCATTAAGAAATTGCTCAGCAAATAAAGGCCAAGTAATTAATGGCACACCAGAGCAAATACCTTCTATTGTTGAATTCCAACCACAATGAGTTAAAAACCCTCCAATTGAAGGATGTGACAGTATAAGAACTTGTGGAGACCAACCCTTTATCAACAATCCTCTTCCTTTAATTCTTTCTTCAAAATTTTCTTTCTTGAACCATTCTTCTAATTCAAAAGATTTCTCTCCTGTTTTTGCTACCCAAATGAAAGGTTGGTTAGATGCTTCTAACCCTAACCCTAATTCTATCAATTGTGATGGTTCTAGTCTACACAAACTACCAAGACAAGCATAAATGACTGACCTTGGTTTCTTTGAGTCGAGAAATTCTAAGCATTGTTTCTCATCGATTGAAGCTTTATTTCCTCTTTCCAACTTATCTAACCTTTTCTTATTACATAATGAAACCGGTCCAATGCACCATACCTTCTTCTTTATCGCTTGTTGGTATAAATCCCGGCACCCATTTTCAAGCTCGTCAAAACTATTTACCACAACACCATAATCCGTTGATTCAGCTTCTTGCATCTTGCTTCGGAGGTCATCCAAATCCGGTAAGCTAACGAAGGATCCCGGAAGTTGACATCTTGTGATAGTGAACTTTTCTGGCATTCCAGGTACCTCAAAAGGTTCGGTATCTGAAGAGACCGAAAGATGTGCATTGTGCAATCTTATATTATGAGAGCTCAGAAGAGAAAAGGAACCCATTCCATGAAAAACTAATCGGGGAACGTTGAATCTTTGAGCAGTTCTTGATGTCCAAGAAAGATATTTATCTGAAATAATGCAATTTATAGGAGGTTTCGTGTTTTGAAGAATGTTTTCTAATGGTTCTTGAAGTTTAGCAAGTGCAGTATAGAATTTCTTGATTAAGTTTCTTGAGGGAAGAGTGTCAAGATTTTCATAGCCTACAGGGAGACCAACTTCTTGACAAGGAAATGGGATTTGTACAAGATTGATGGAAAGGTTTGATTCTTTATTTGCTCTATAAATGACTCTTTCAAATCTTGAAGCATTGAAAGGAGTCGTTATTAGGGTAACAATAACTCCACGCTCTGCAATAAGTCTGGCCATATCTATTACAGGTATCATATGACCTTGTGCCATCAGAGGTATTAGGAGAAAATGAGGTTGGCTAGCCATTGGAGCTATTTGCAATAAAAGTGGTAATGCAATTGTTAGATTTTGGTGAGTTTACTACTACTAATAATAATATATTATAATTGGGTAGTAGAGAGTATTTATTATAGGTTATGCATATGTTTATATGCCTAGAGAGCAATTGGCCGTTTCTGTGTGATTTGTGTCATAGCGTCAAGGTCTTATATTTGAGCTGGACTTTGAATAAGTCTATATATACATAAAGAGATAGTAAAGAAAAAAAATTACTAGTTAGAATTAGTCTATCGGTTACAACCTGACTGGACTCGATTTCATGTTGATAAAGCCAATGCAGGTAAATTTATGTTGTATTTATTTGAATAAGTCAATGCATATGCCTTTAGATTAACATTTGTTTATATTAGATTTATTATAGATTTTCAAAAAATAAGATAATATATTATGCGGATTGCCAAAAATGCATCTTTACCATTTGGCAACAGTTCATTTATTAAGAAATTGTAGGAAATAATAATTGTATTTAATAAAAATAAAGGTTAAATAATATTCCTTAATTTTATCAAAATTGCAAATAATTTTGAACAAAATAACTTCAAAGAGACAACATAAAAATTAATGGAGAAAATATATAAAAAAATAATAATAATCTCCTGTCTATGTTCTTAATGTCCTTACGCGAAGTTGACTTGGACTGATTCTTTCTTTTGGATTCAACCAATTATAAGATGACATAGACCGTAACTATTTTTGTCTTAATTTGCAAAATCATTTTTGTTTCATATTATTGACTCCACAATTTCGTCGCAGACGCGTTTTCATTCATTTTTATTGACTCTATCATATTATATTTATATTTATAAATATATTGTTCGACTTATAAGACCATCGAAATATTTACGCTCACCAACAGATCGAAAGAGAATTTTTTTTTTTATTGCAAAAGAGATTTAAAAGAATAAAATAACACAATGAATTATATAATACAGAATATTTCTCATTAGCTCGTTAAATAAGTAAAAATTTTTGTGACGCAAAGGACTCGTATTTGAAGCCCCACTGGATTATCTATCAATGGCAAAAGTAGGAAGTGGCCTTGTGAATGCATGGACTGGCTTTAGAAACTTCTATTTTTATTTGCTGATTTCTTCACCCTTGCCGTATGGTTCGGGCGGAAAATGATTTTGGTCTTTCAACGAAAGATTTTGAGTAATCCATGCATTTAATTTATTCTTTTTTATTTTTTTGGCATAATAAAAAGACATATAAAATTTACGAAATGTTGAAAATCTCTCATGAATTATGACTCTTCAGAATTTAAAATTTCATATGGAAGATAAGACTTTGTCAAATCTCTTATTTAAATGAATAAATTTTTTTTTAAAATTTATTGATTTACAAAAATATCATTATACTCGTAAATTTATTAACACTTATATCAAACAATATAATTAAGTTTTACAAATTTATAGAATTTTAGTAGTTCAAAAGAAATATAAACCTTCTCTGAGTTAAAATTATTCAATTTCAATAGAAAAATGAATTATGTTATCGCAATAGCAATTTTTATTTCAACAATCTCATTACCTTTAATAAATTTCATAATTTTTAAAATTTTTAATCCAAAACACTATTTTTGATATTCTACATTGATTGGAAATTAAAAAATATAAGTAATGGAATATCACATTAGATGACAGAAGAATTGACTTATGTTAAAATTTCATATCTGTAAACAGCATATAAGTGATGGAAACCAACTATCCAATTGGTTACTGACTAGCCATTTTGATAATGACTGAATTTGGTCACAAACGCAAGTTTAATTCTACACACTCAAACCCCATTGTCTTATGCCAATTCCTTTTTATTAGTTAAAAATTATAACAATTGCCTCTATAGGAAAGTAAATTTGTTAGCAACCTTGTAAAATATTGTATGCCACGGAACATAATATAATAAGTGTAGTTCTCTCTTTATTTAATAAATTAATAAAAATTCTTTAAATTGAGATGACTCGAATTTATAATCTTTTACTTCCAACATCAGTGAAAATACCATCATACCTTCATAGCATTAATGAATAGTTAATAAAGAGTCAAAAAGTATAAATTTGTCTTTGAAATTTACGCTATTTACCTTGTGACACCTTTAAATTTGCGAGAACCTATCATGCTTATGAAATTGGATATTTTAATAGCAATCATACACATTGTCCGAGTAAAAAAAAAAAAAAAAAAAAAAAAATCTTTTTACTTCCAACATCAGTGAAAATAACCACATACCTTCATAGAATTAATGAATAGTTAATAAAGAGTCAAAAAGGAGTAAAATTTGTCTTTGAAATTTAACGCTATTTACCTTTGTGTATCTACCTTTAAATTTGCGAGAAACCTATCAATCCTTATGAAATTGGATATTTTAATAAGCAATCATACACATTGTCGCGAGTAAAAAAAAAAAAAAAAAAAAAAAAAGCGCCATTCAACTCAAAAAAAAAAAAAAAAAAAAAAAAACCATTCATACTCTTATTTGTCTAAATTGTTTTTGTTAGATCGGCAAGTTGGTGGGTTTGGACATTGGTTTTCTAACTTGCGGTTAAGTGCAAACAAAGATGAGAAAACGATTGATGGGTTGTCTTTCACAACATTAACGTGTTGGATGTGATATTTGCAATATCTATCACGTCTTCCTTTATTTGGAAATTTTTACTTTTGACTTCGAACAAAGAGTTCAGAAACAGTAAATCAATAACAACATTTAATGGATCTTATAGTGTGTTGATTGATGAGTTTGAATTTAAATTTGAAATTTGCTGAAATTGCTAGTGGTTTTGAATAGGACTAAGTTAAGATTGCTTACAAAACATTAATGAATAATATGGTGTCGTTTTAGGGATGAGAAACAGGTTTACCTTGTCCTAGAGGAACTAATTCTTGTTATCCATTTGTTATGGCCTTTCTTTCTGTTTCCTTTATCCAAAATCCGTAAAAATAAGACGAGTTTGAAATTAAAAGATGTTGGGCCTTTGTTTTGTGTTATGGGCTGGTCCTCTTTATAATTCAAAGATGTTTCCATAATTGGGCCTTTTAAGTAATTTTCAATTTCACTTCAATTAATGTAAATATAAATAAGGAAAATACTTGCATATGGCCTACTCAAATTCATTATCATTTTAAAAATTGGCACTTTTTTTTAATAAAATTACATTAATATTCTCTTCGTGTGCCAAATTTTTTTATTAGATTAGCTTAGGAGTCTTCTGTTTTAACCTTATCCAACCATTTATTCGTTCGAACAATAATAAAATAAATTTATTGAATATTTATCAGACTTTGCAAATTAAATTTTGTCTAATTAGAAAATTTTATTTTTACTTTTAGATTTAATAATTCAATAAAATGAAAATACAAATTTATCTCTTATAATTATAAAAATCTTTTAATCATTCAGTAACAAGCTTTTGATATCAAATTTTAATTATTATCTTCAGTTATAAATTCAAATACCTTCTCTTCCTCCTATATATATATATATATATTTTCAGTTATAATTCCAAATACTTCTTTTCCTCCTATATATTAAATATATTAGTTAATATGGAGTTTTTTTTTTTCTTAAAAATACTAATCCTTCAAACAGAGTCAAGAAGTTTAGTTTTTTTTTTTTTTTTTTTGCAAAAAGAGAGCAAACAAAAAGCAGAAACCTATCTAAAAAAACCTAAGCTTACAAGCGTTTAGTCCAAAGAATCAAACAATGATTAAGAACCTTTTTTTTTTTTTTTTTTGGCAAAAGAAGAGCAAAACAAAAAGCAGAAACCTATCTAAAAAAACTAATGCTACAAGCGTTAGTCCAAAGAATCAAAAACAATGAATTAAGACTAGCTTCTCAAATGAATAAAGAAAAATGGATGACATGCCCCAATTTAGCCAAATGATTAGCCGCAGAATTAGCTTTACGAAACACACGATGGATAGAACAATTCCAATCACGAGTCATCAACCTCTGAATATTCAAAATAAAAACAATGAAAGGATGAGTAATAGATAACCCTGAGCAATAGAGTCAAGAAGTTTCTTTATTTCAATATGGATTCGTCTACTTTTTTAAACATGGAATAAGACCTCTCAACTACAAAAGAAAGGAATCAACATTACATGTGAAAAGAAAGAATAAAGAATGTTCTTTTAGGCTTCATTTGCTTCCAAGAAATTATTTTCTTTTGATTTTTTTTATATATTTAGAGTATTTAAGAAAATCAGTGGATTATTATTGAAAAACATTCTATTTTTTAAGAGAGAAAAATATTTTCAATTTTGATAAACTTATTATAAAAAAAAACTCATAAATACACACCAATTGATCCAACCACCGGTCACAACTAGCATCATGATTAATAAATTTTCTATATTTTTTTTCTAATAAATAAAGTTTGATGAAAATGAAACTTGAAATTTAATATCATAACATTTTAAAGAAACGAGAGTATGAATAAGATCACAATTAATTGATAAAAAATATTTAATTTTACAAAATAAATTAAAAAGAAAAAAAGTTGAATGGCACAAGCAATCACAAACCACAAGAAATGGTTACTAAATGATTGACATATTTTAAGATTTTCTTTGAAGTGTTTCATACTTCAGCAAACCAATCTTAGAATCTGCAATATTATAGGCCAGGAATCAGTCTAACAAGCAAGATGTTACGACTTATTAAATATAGTAATATAAGATTTCATTTAGTGAGCCATAACATAATATAATTAAAAATAAATAAATAAATATACATAATAAACATATATTAAAAATATTTTTAATTATATTATATTATATTTTATTACTGTTTACAAACAAAAGTAAATTTTTTAAATTATGTAAAATTATATTTAGTAATAAAACATTTATATTGATAATAAAAAAAATCATACTATTATTCAATTAACAATGAAATTATTAACATTGCTTGTCACTATTTCATTTACCAAATCTCCTAAATTATTGTTATGACTATTTATTGAAAACACCATAAAATAATTATTGCACCATTGCCAAGATATTACAATTTCTCTCCTTTTCTTTTGAATCTCAAAATTAGTGTCATTTGTAGTTGAAAGTGACATATAAGTATTTACTTTCCTGCCACTATTTGAAACCATTAAACTCAATCATAAGCCACCATTGTCTTTCACATGATCACACCTCTTTCTTTCAGCTACCAAATTGGATAATAATGAATTAAAATTATCCCAAGTTGCATTTTATATTTTAATACATTAAATAAAAAACATTATAGGGTTATTCCAATGAGCAAAAATGAAAATGTTCCTTTTTTTATATTACTTAGGGAAGAAACTTAATGTTGATTATAAATTAAAAAAGAGCTTTATCAATTTAAATGATTGAAATAAGATACTATAAGTATGACTATAAAATATATGTAATATTTTATAAATATAAGTATGACTATAAAATTACTTGGAAAGCACGTTTAATAGCCTGCAACTTTTAAAGCAGTATTTAGTATTTTGATAGAGCTAAAATACTATCTTAATTAATTTTAGTATTCGGTAATACAATATATGTCTTTAGTGTTTAGAGGTTGAGACACTGTTTCATTAAATTTTATCTTCATTAATTTTATATTTATTACATTTATATTCATTACTTGTTTTTAACTTGTTACTTGAGTTTATACTTTTTTTCTCGTTTATATTAAACAGCTAATCAAACAGTTATATTTGCACCGAATATTTTTTTTCTAAATCGCTATATGATCAAGTAACCACTAACAGTAAATATTTAACAGTTAACTACCGGTAAAACAATCGATAGTTATTAAAATAGCTAAAAATTAGAATAGCTAGAATTATCGAATACCCCGAGTAAAAAAAAAAAATAATAAACCGGGAACAATTTTAGAAAAATTTTATTTGTTAAACCAATGGTTTGTGCGACTAATCAAGTTAAATTACAAAAAAATTGAATAAATAATAGCAAAATAGGGAATTGGGATTATTTGAGGACTAAGCAACTTATTAATGTTGCTTTTGGTTCTGATCATTGCTCCTAATTCCGCAAAATTAACAGCCTCGATTGCGGCAACTTTGCCCTTTCAGGTAGGTGGACCCCGTATCTTGATAAGATTTGCAATGATACGCTCATAACTAGCGCGTGATTAACAAACTCAAACGGCCAAGTCACCGCTGAAGATGCCACGCAACTACGCAAGGAAGACGAAGCTGGGTCAAGAAAGGCGTGCTTTCTACGGACCGTACGCTGCATTAGATATGAAAATGAAAAGCGAAGAAGAAACATCAGAGCCTGCCACCTGCAGCTACACTGGAACATCCTTTGTCCACATTTATTTTTTTAAAAACATACTAGTAAAAAAAGCATATTGTTTGTTAGTCTTCCTGTCTCTCGAGAAAAATGTAAAAAAAAACAGAGGTCTCTTGATCAGTAACAGTAAAATTAAGAGTTAAAAATATTAAATATATATGAAAAAACTTATATTAAATATAAATCTGTTATTAGTTTCATTCGAATTACTATAATGACAAATCTTTATATTAAAAACTTAATGACATCAGCAACATCTAAGCTAATTTTTTTTTAAGGGCATTAGAGTCTTTCAGCTATATTGAACATTTTCCGAAAATTGAATGCTCCAAGTATTGCGGCTTCTCTTTAAATATTATAAAAATTTGATTTATGTGGTACCTTTCATGCTAAGAAAGCAAAAAGAGCGCGGATAGGGAAATTATTAAAGATAAGGTATTTTGATTCAACAATCAAATTCACACTAAACAAATTTTAAAGGGTATTTTCGACTTTCTATTCTCATGCTTAATTAATGATATTAATTAAACCAAATAGTTTGCTTAATCCAATTTGGAACTTCTGTTTATTACTTATTCACCACCTCGCTCTCTCTCTCTCTTTCGTATCCTTTCTGTCTTGTCCTTTGTGTGTCACAGTTCACTTCTCTCTCTTTCTTTCTCTTTGCTCAATGCATAAAAGAACGAACCACCGTCACCACCACTACTCCGATCTCTTTCTTTAGAGCAAACTACTTATTCAACAACCAAAAATGCGGGCTTCATTGCCCTTCTTGATTCTAGCAGTGCTAGTGTCTGTGTCGGTGGTTAACTGTGCCAGTGTTCTTCCTTTGGAAAGAATTTTTCCTTTGAACCATCCGGTCGAACTCGACCAACTCAGGGCTCGCGACCGGGTCAGACACTCCCGTCTCTTGCAAGGTTTTGTTGGTGGCGTTGTCGACTTCCCAGTTGAAGGCTCTCCCGATCCATATCTTGCTGGGTAATTTTATCTTATTTGATTAATTTCTTCGTTGGTTTTTTTCAACTTTTTTGAGCTTTCTTTAATGGTTTGGATTTTAGTCAAGTTTCTTTTTCATTTTTTTTTTTTTGCCTTTTCTGTTTAATTTTTATCAGCCTGTTATCATTTAATGCTATTTGATGAATTTGCATTGATGGTTCTGTTTGGAAATTGTTAACTTCGACTCAGGTTTTTGTTTTCCTTTGCTGGGTTAGCATTTATTGAACATCATTTTCTATTTACGCATTACGTATAGACATGCCTAACCTTCAAAATGGTATGGGTATTGTTTGTAATTTTGCACATTTATAATCAAAGGTAGAGTAAAAGCTGAGAAAAAGGAAATGGATTTTGGTTCTTATTGGCTTGAGTAGGCAAAGATGGATTCTTTACTTTCTTAACAGTTTCTTTGTAATAAAAATAGTAATGTCTTTGTGAATTCAATGAGTTTGGTATCATAGAATTTATTGTGATTTTTATGATCTGAAATTGATTGGTTTTGATGTTATTTGTATCGTTATTGACTAATTTTGTTTTCGCTGTTCTTTCTTGCGGTGCCCTTTTCACTCAGGGTCAATGGATCTTCAAATCCCTTGTAATATATCTGTCTTGGTTCTCCTCTGTTTTTGTGCTGTTTGACGCTCTCTGTAGGATGAGACTGGTTACTTTTGTTTTTTTTTTTTTTTTTTTTTAAGATCCTGAAATTGATTGGTTTTGATGTTATTTGTATCGTTATTGACTAATTTTTGTTTTTCGCTGTCTTCTTGCGGTGCCTTTTCACTCAGCGAGAGAGAGTAACCCTTTCGTAAATATTATCTGTCTTGGTTCTCCTCTGTTTTTTGTGCTGTTTTGCGCCTCTCGTAGCGAAATGAGAACTGGTTAACTTATTTTGTTTTTTTTTTTTTTTTTAGTGCTTAATTGTTGTGATAGACGCATATCATATTCAACTTTTTTTTTTTTTTTTTTTTTTTTGGTTTGTTTAGACTCTATTTCACAAAAGTGAAGCTGGGCTCTCCTCCAAGAGAATTCAATGTCCAGATTGATACAGGAAGTGATGTCTTATGGGTCAGCTGCAGTTCCTGCAGTAATTGCCCTCAATCTAGTGGTCTTGGAGTAAATCTTTTTCCTTTACGTTCTTATTAGCTCTTGTACCTGATGGAATTCTTGTAGACTAAGAAACTCATGTACAACTTTCGTACTCTGCATTTAACAGGTTCAGCTCAATTACTATGATGCTGCTAGCTCAACAACTGCTTTGCCAGTCCCATGTTCACACCCTATTTGTACTTCAGAAATGCAAACGACAGCAACTCAATGCTCTCCGCAGAGTAATCAGTGCAGTTACTCATTTCAATATGGAGATGGAAGTGGGACGACAGGCTACTATGTATCTGATACATTTTATTTTGATGCTGTTTTGGGAGAGTCTTTGATTGCTAACTCTTCAGCAGCTATTGTCTTTGGGTAATATTTTCTAACTCGTACAAGAGTTGGAGCTGCAATTAAAGGGATTAGTAATCATTTCTACATTTCACTTTATTATTTAATAAAGTAGATCATAAGGAGATAGCATAGAATTGATATGTTAATTTAGTTGCATCAATGGACTTCATAATAAGCCATGGTATTAACCAACAATGTGAGTAGCAATTTCAGCACTAAATGACCGTCTTTTTCACATGATCCATTACAATGTTATAACATGCCACCTAACTTTTATCTTATGTTTCTCTTAGATTATGTTGGACAGATTTTTTTTTTTTTTCAATTTTTTGTTACTTTTAATCTTATTGTTCTGGATGATGGTGCTGGAAACAGATGTAGCACCTTCCAATCTGGGGATTTGACTAAGACGGATAAAGCAGTTGATGGAATATTTGGGTTTGGCCAAGGTGATCTCTCTGTCATATCACAGTTGTCATCCCATGTGATAACACCCAGAGTGTTTTCTCACTGCTTGAAAGGACAGGGGGGCGGTGGTGGCATTTTGGTTCTTGGTGAGATTTTGGAGCCGGGCATAGTTTATAGTCCCCTCGTGCCATCACAGTATGTTCCTCATAACTTTTCTACCAGCCTGCTTTGCTTTATTCTTTGCTTCCAAATATGATCTTATTTTTGTGAAGCATTCAATTCTCACATTATCTGCACTTGGGGTTGCATTCATGCTTTCATGATTGATATGTCATCTCCTTATGCCTGTTTCATGCGATAGGCCAGATTTGGACTTGAGAGACTCATAACCACTACCCAGCTCTTTACCACGCAAGTTGTTCCTCATTCATTCAAACCTATTATTCTGACAGTCACAAGGTGGAATTACACTATACTGCCTCTTTTGTTTTGGCAACTTTAAAGCCTTCTCTTGGTTGTTTCATTTTGGCGGATTTAACTTTTCTTTAGCTCATTGAATTTTGCAAGGACCTTGAGAAAGGAATATTATTTCTCATGTTTTAAGGTCATATCCACCATAGAGAAGACTTTCTTCTGTGTCAGTTAACTTGTATAATGTTTTATTTTTGGTTGGGATGCATTGAATTTAAGAAAAGGGTACTGAAGCCCTTATATTTGGTTGTGGACATGAGATGCCCATTTGTTATAGAACTAAATCATATAGATAATGTTGGATAGCAGCCTCGGTGTTGAAAGTTGTATTAGAGATAATTTTCAACACTCAAGTGATGGAATTATGTAGTTGAATACCACATTGGGGCTTTTCATTTCTGTGGCACATTCTCTACTTTATGAGGGTATCCTTACTTCTTCATATAAGCTTGCCAATTCTTTGGTTTTTTTTTAAGTGCTAGCATAACTCTGAATATTTTCAATGTATCATTTTGTTTTTCACTTTTCTAGCACTTGTATTCTTCTTGATTTGCAATGCTTCAGTTACAATTAGAAAATGTGAATATTAGTTTTACAGTAATTTAACTGCTTTCTCAAAATCTTCAGGCCTCATTATAATTTAAATCTGCTGAGCATTGCTGTCAACGGACAATTGTTACCAATTGATCCAGCAGCATTTGCAACATCAAATAATCGAGGAACTATTGTTGACTCTGGAACAACTTTGACATACCTTGTGGAAGAAGCTTATGATCCTTTTGTCAGTGCTGTAAGTAATTTGCTTTTAATGTGCTTACAAGTTAATTGATTAAGGGAATTAGATCAAGGTCTACCATTTTGAACGAAAGCTCTGAGTTACAATAAGCAGTACTGCATAATATTGTACTTTTCCATGTTGATGGGTTAACTCTTTAGATGAATGGAAAATGCTGAAACAAGGCTGTCATTTATGATGAGGTCCAGCCGTCCAGGTTTACAGTTATTCTGTCAAAAGATTCAAGCTGTGTGGATAGACAATAGTAGATTAATTAGCAGATATTTTTTTCAAATGGCTTTCATCTTGCTGTGTTTGTGAAGTCTATTTTGCTTTTTGTGTTCGCAGATAACTGCTGTGGTCTCACCATCTGCAGTTCCCACAAAATATAAAGGAAATCAATGTTATCTAGTCTCCACCAGGTTCATTTATCTATCTTATTTCAAGTAACTATACGTAGTTATGCTTGACAGAAGAAAGGTTTTCTGATCCTAAGGCTCCCCCCAAATTCTTCCCCTGGAGAACTAAATAGAACTTATATTATTTCCTGTGCAGTGTATCTCAAGTATTTCCTCCCGTTAGTTTCAATTTTGCTGGCGGTGCATCTATGTTGTTGAAACCGGAAGAGTATCTTATTAGTCTTGGTTCCTATGTAAGTTGTTCCGCTTTTCATCTTTTTATTATTCATTTTCTCCAACTATTGAATTAGAAATGCTTTTATTGCTTGCTATATTAATTTCATTTCAGGAGCATAATAGATCACAATTTTGTTGTAGCAGGCTGGTGCTGCAATATGGTGCATTGGTTTTCAGAAGATTCAAGGAGGAATAACAATTTTAGGAGGTTAGATACTGGATCTGGACTTCTATCTATGACCGAAGTGTACTAAAACAGGTTGGGGCTAGATTCAATTGGCTCCAAACCCAGAATAGTAATATTCCGACAGCAATATATAGCATGTGACAGAGTAGTAATGTTTCAACAGTTTGATAATTTCATTTCTTGCAGTTGCAACATACTTATGTTCTTTTCCATTATTGAATCACATATCTTTTCCTAAGTAAGTTGCAGGAAGAAGCTCATTCACTTGCAGCTTTTGTTTACAAGCAAAAAAAATGAAATATAATTATACATTTCAAAATGCCATTATTCATATCTTTTAACTTCTAAATTGTTTCAAGTATAATTATCTTGTTGGTTTCTTCAATTTGCAGATCTTGTCCTAAAAGATAAAATTTTTGTGTATGATATAGCTCATCAACGGATTGGATGGACTAACTATGACTGTAAGTACACCTATACCTTTCTGTCTGTGGTGTATGAATCCTTGCCTATCCCCCTATCAGCATGTACCTCTGATATTTTTTATTCTCATCTGTCAGGTTCATTATCTGTGAATGTCTCTGTACCTTCTAGCAAGGACTTCATCAATGCAGGACAACTGAATGCGAGCAACTCGGCAAGGGACATGCTCTTGAAGCTGATACCTCTGGCCATTATGGCTCTCCTAATGCACATATTAGCATTAGTGGATTTCCAATTTTTGTAATTTAAGCCGCAGGTTTGAAGTTCTATTCTTTATGGTATTGGAATTATTGGCCTAGCTGGCTTTTATTTAGCGGTCGGCTATGCATGTGGATTTACTTGGATTACACTTGTAGCTGTTCAGGCGTCTATTCTTCAAATGGGGGAATTCAGCTTTTTTCTTGTAAAGGGAAGGCTGCTGGAATTGTAAATTATTGATATCTGTGATATTGGGTTGGGTGCTGTAGTATTATGTTGTTGTTAAGTAGAACAAAACATTTTGTCCCAGGAGAAAACAAGTCTTCTATGGTGACAACTTTTGGGATAGATAGAGATATATAGAAATGATAGTGTCCATGCTAGTATGTTTCTTTTCTTATTTGCTGCTTCTTTGTTACTTCTTGGATAACTTTAGAAGTGTTAATAGCTGTATGACTTCTGTTGAGGATTGTAATACCTTTTTTCTCTGATTAGTGATTCCTAAATGAAATGCACAAAAGTTGTGAATCTATCATATTTTGCTTTTTAGCTTTTAGTGAGTTAAAAGCCATTATGTTGTTGTATTTGATGATGGAAGTGATCATATTGTATGGATCAAATCAAAAGGAGCTACGAGAGATGCAACATGGACACTCAAAAAGGACTTTTCCTGCTTCGAGGATCATTATCTTTTGTTGTTTAGGTTAAGGATTGTCAATTTTATGCTTTGTCGTAGTGATATTAAATGATTTTCTTCTTCAAAAAATTCCATAAGAAAGTATTTTAAAATTTTTCCAAGACCTATATTTTGTTTTGTGTTGGCATTAATTTGACCAGAGCAGATTGAGAACAAGGGATTTCATATAGTTGCTTCCAATTCGTTTAGAATAGGATCACATTTCTAAATTGGGGTATGTGAGGTCTACATAATATACGACCGTACCATTTTAGACATTTTTCTCTCGATTTATCTCTAATTTTTGTTACTTGCACCTTTTGTCTAATGCGATCATTTCTAATCTTGTTCATCTCTTCACATACCCATCTTAGCATTCGGCATTTGCATCCGCATCTTCGCTACATTCATCTTGTTAACGTGTTGGGTATTCAATACCTAACATTCACTTCCATATAGTATTGCGGGTTTCACCACTCTTCTACAACTTTTGTATTATTTATAGAGACTTAATATATTATTTCACTCCCAACTTTAGGTTTTATTGCAATTTCACTCCGATTTAAGCATTATATCAATTTTACCATGAACTGACTTTTTTTTTTACAATAGCACTCTAAATTATAATTAGAACTTAAATTGTGGTAACTCATAAATTATAATAGACTTATTTACCTTTATTACTTTATTACTGTGGTAACTCATAAATTTTACTATCAAGCTCGCTTGTGGTTTCATTAGCCCACTGGCTTGCGAGCCTCATTTCAAAATTCAAAATTTGACTTATTTAAATTGACTTGGCCCAGCAGCTCATTAGGTTGTTAAATAAATTAGAATGTGTTTTATCTAAGCCCACTTTCAAATAGTGGTAAGTTTCAAATTCAAGTCTTTGTCCATATTTTTTTTTATTTCTATTTAATTATGTATTGACCACATTTTCTTTAAATTACATAGTCAGGACAATAAATTTTTCTATATAAAAAAACCTGTTACATCTTAAAGGGAAAGGATGAAAAAAATTAACCAAATTGGTAATATAAATTTGGTGTTTTGTCTTTCCAATTAGTATGTGAATTAATTAGCAACTAATTAACGTACGAATCCATCACCAAGTCCAATTGTGGAAGGAAATTTTCAAAAGAATTAATTAGCAACCTAAATAACGTTTGTGGATGGATATTGCCAGTAGGATTCTTGCTGTTCTTGCACTCTTGTTTGGTTCATCCTAGAATTGAAAATGGAATCCAATTTTTAAAGTAAAAATGGAATTCTCTCTATTACAATTATTTTTTTCAAATTAAAGAGTCAAGATGAATAATACTCCTATTATGTAGTCTGCAGAATTATTTTGACCAATTGGTCATTCAATGAATTAATGAGATATACTCAACTTTTGATAATTAGACCGCGTATTGTTCAGGTTATAGTTCATCTGTAATAGCTAGTTAGCAAACAGTATCAATTACTATGGTAATATTTTTTTACTTTGTGGAGAAATGATAATACTATTATTATTAATATTAATTATTAATTATTATTATTATCATATTATTATTAGAATGCAAAAATCATTGGTACATAAAAGGACACGTTTCCGCTAAACGAGGCGAGTAGTTTGGTTGAAGTCTGGCTATAAAATATGCCGATAAATACTGTAAGACTAGTGTGTGAAAGTTTTTCTGGTACAACTTCGACGCAGTCTTTCAGCCCTTATATCAGGGCCCCACTTGTCATTCTAATTCTATTTGAACGTTTTCTTTCGCACGTGTGTATTTTTCTTTTTCATTCGCAAAATAGGTACGTGTCACCTTAGCAGGCAAAGGCTTTTTTTTTTTTTTTTTAAAGAGTTAATTTAAGTTTTAACCATTTACCGGTTCATCAATTGCTAGCCGGTTGCATATATTTCCTTAGAGAGAAAAGGTATATATTTATAAGGTGTCAAGCTTGATGCTTTTGTGCCTCTTCCATGTTTAATGTAGTGTCACTATATTTAGTCATTAGTGGGCCTCTATTCATGTTTTTTCTAGTTTAAATATTTCCTCCGACTGGTTCTTTGATATATATATTTTTTTTCATTTTCTTTGAAATCTAATAAAATTAAATTTCACAAAATCAATTTATGGATGAAAAAGATTAATGTATGTAGCTCATCATATGAAGCCATTAGTTTCTAATACTTGAATTAATTTTTTAAAAAAATAATCATGATTTTTTTATCAAATTAATGTAAACAAATATATTCTTTAAGTAACTTAATTAATTTTGGTATACATAAAATGAATTTTTTTAGACAATATACCTAAAATGATCTAATTATACATCAAAAGATTACTATGGTAGACTAATGGTCATAGACTCAAAGTATGCTTAAACGTAAGAAAGCAAATTATTTATTATCAAACGGATGTAGATTGATTTTACCTTTTGACTTATAAGTTCAGAAATTAATTTTACTTGAATATTATCTGGGCCGAGTGCAATATGAACGAAAAAAATCCCATTTATACATAATTCTTAGTACAAATATATTTTAGAATTAAAAGAAAATACCTTTACAAAATCAAGATAGCAATATTAATTATTTCATTCTCATTTCACCCTTATTTATTTTATTTTCTTTTGATAAATTACTAGTATTTTTTTTTTTTTTTGTATGGATAGGTACATAGTACGGAAGACTCCTTCTATTTCATAAATGTTTTTCTCAGTTTTAAGCAATCTGTCCTCGACTGGGTTCTTTGATATAATATATCATCGCCTTTTTTTTTCATTTTCTTTCGAACACTCTATCCAATTAAACATTCAATAATTTCAACAAAATTCAATTTTATTGGATGAGATAAAGAGTTAATGTATGTAGGCTCTACATTCAATTATTGGAAGCCATGGTATTTCTATATACTTGAATTTAATTTTTTAAGAAAAATTACAACCCCCCCCCTCCCCTCCGCGGCCCCACTTCCCCCCGCCAGATCATGGTTTTTTTATGCAAAATTGATGTATAACAAATATATTCTTCCACATGTAAGTACAGCTTAAGTTAAGATTTTTGGTAACATAAGATCGATATTTTTGTTTAGGAGCATCCCTATTTACCTAAAATGATTAAGTAATACATCAAAAGATCTGACTTTATGGTAGACTAATGGTCTAGACTCATAGTATGCTTAAACGTTAAGGAAATGCAATATTGATTTATATCAAGCGGATGTAGAATTGATTACCTTTTTTGAACTTATAATTCCCCGAAAATTAATTTTTACATGTGGAATAATTATCTGGGAAGCCGAGTTGGCAAATATGAACAGAAAATAAATTTACGATTTACTACATAATTCTCTTAGTACATGAATATTTTTAGAATTAAAAAGAATAATAGCCTTTGCAAAGATCAAGATAAGAGAATATAATTATTCTATTCTCCATTTTCAAAACCCTTATTTATTTTATTTCTTTTTGAAATACTAGTATTTTTTTTTTTTTTTTTTGTCTATGGGGTTGAGGTGGATTATTTATTTTAGTGAGGAGAGGAAGTTAATATTTATCTTTCAGAAGAGGAACGAAGTAGTAAAATAAGTGTCACTTCCCTTGTTTTCGTTTCAACTGAGTCTATAGACTGACACGCTGGAGAATGGCGCGTGATTACGTTTCTCTGAATGCTTGAAAAGCATCCTAGCAGGCAAACGGCCAACCCCGCCCCATGCAAAACCTCAACGCCACCCAGAACAGCACAACGCCACACTACCACTCAACCATGCTCTCTTCATCTCTCTCTCGTCGATCTCCTTTCTCTTATCTTCTCTGTTAAATCTCTCGAAAAGAACAATTTCCCTTCTTTCGGCATTTCCTTTCCGCTATCTCGCTTTTTCTTCCTTCATTATGTTATACACTAACGTCTAATTATCTCTCTCCTCTCTCGTAACACCTTTTATAAACCCCAAAGCACTAACAAAACAACAGAAGATCAGAAACGGCCAACTGCTCTTATTTTTTTTTTTTTTTGTATGGAGTTGAGGTGGTTGAATTATTTTAGGAGGGAGAGGAAGTAATATTTTTTTCAGAAAGGAAACTGAAGTAGTAAAAGGTCACTCCTGTGTTTTTCGTTTCAACTGGAAGTTATAACGACACGCTGGAAATGCGCGTGATAGTTTCTCAAGCTTGAAAAGCATCCTAGCAGCAAACGGCCCAACCTCCCGCGCCCATGCAAAATCCCCACACGCCACACCAGAACACACAACGCCACACTACACACCACCATCTCTCTCTCTCTCTCTCGTATCTCATTCTCTCTATCTTTCTGTAATCTCTCGAAAGGAACAATTTCCTTTCTTTCCATTTCCTTTTCCCTATCTCCTTTTCCTTCCTCTCATTAATCACTCGTCATTTCTCTCTCTCTCTCTCGTCCTTTTATAACCCCAAAAGCACTAACAAACAACAGAAACAGAAACGCCACTCTCTCTCACTATTTTCTCTCTTCATCGGTCTCTAGACTCTTTACGTTCACTCTGTTGTTTTTCTCTTGCGTTTTTTATTTGTTATTTTGGAATTTCGGTAACTGCATTTTGTTGAACCGGAAACTGTACTAATGGCGGTTCCTTCGACGGTCTCGGCGGCCGGTACGGCGTCGCTGTACGTTGGGGACCTGCACCCTGAGGTCACTGATGGCGTGCTTTTTGATGCATTCTCTGAGTTCAAGAGCCTTATTTCCGTTCGCATATGTAGAGACTTGTCTACTGGCAGGTCTCTCTGTTATGGTTACATCAACTTTATCTCTCCACAAGAGGGTAATATATCTCTGTCCTTGTATATGCAATGCTTATTATCATTATCATTATTATTATTATTATTTCTTTTAGAAGTAATGTGATTGATTTGTGATTGTTGTTGTTTTTGTGGCTTTTGGAATTTTCTGTTCGGTTCACTGGAATGGAATTGGAAAATGCTAAGTTATTTGAGCTCGGATTTTGTGGTTTTGAGATTTCTGTTTGTTTGATTGTTTTTTGACTTCTAAAATGTAGGAGGAACAGGAATTAGAGGTTTTAGGCTTTATTAGATTTTTTTTTCTCAATTGTGAATTGTTCATTTGATTTATTCTTTGTTTGAATTTTGGCTTTTTGCAAGTGTGTAAGTTATGTGCCTGTTCAGAAAAATTTTGGAGAGGAACTTAGTTATAAGCTAATTTTATTTCTTATCTATTAATTTTTCGAAATTTGTTTCTGAGATTTATCATCCATATGTCTCTGTTTGATTGTTGGAATTTCTAGAAGTGGTAAAAGTTCATTGAAAAAGAAAAGGACTATCGCTACATTGAACTTTGTACTACCATATATTAACAATTAAATTAGCTTGGTTCGTTAAGTTGAATAAAATGTTTAGTGCTAGAAATATGTCATATGTGGAGGACTTTGGAACTTGTGGATGATAGAATATTGCTGATGTATTTTTGTTTTTATGTTTTTATTTTATGGCCTTCATCATGGATATTCTCTGCTGATTTTGTTTAAGCCAGTAAAGCGAAATTGCATTTCTAGTATTGGTAGATATATTATGAAGAACTAATCATAACCTTTGCTGATGCAGAAGTATTAGGTTGTTTGTCTATTAAAATGTTGTTTATTTATGAAGATATGTACTGTAATGTAGGTGTTTATTGCTTTCTCTGCAGCTGTACCTTTTCTCATCTGTTTTAGTAATATTATATATTATATATTTTAAGGCATCATTCATAATGAAGTTTTCTGACAAGTATGATGAAGAGGAGAAAGTTTCATATCTATGTTTCATCCGTCTTAACTTAGAAGGAAATATTTTGAATTTGTTTAAATTGTTCTTATTTAATATTGCTTTCTCTGATTTGAGTAGCTATCTGGGCTATTGAGACAAAGAATCACACTCCCTTGCTTGGAAAGTTGATGAGAGTCATGTGGTCACACCGTGATCCTGATGCAAGAAAAAGTGGAATAGGAAATGTGTTTGTTAAGGTATCTCTCTTTTTCTTTATTGAAGGTACTTGGAACTGAGCTACTACTCCAAGGTTCCTCCTTTTCCTAGTGTAATTTTGAACAGAAACTAATTGTTTGGTTTATACTACAGAATTTGAGCGAGACAATTGATAATGTGGGGCTTCAGGATTTATTTCGTAAATTTGGGACTATATTATCTTGCAAAGTTGCCACGTTTGAGGATGGAAAGAGTAAAGGCCATGGCTTTGTTCAGTTTGATTCAGAGGATTCCGCAAATTCTGCTATTGAGGAGCTAAATGGTTCCATTGTTGGTGATAAGCAGATGTAAGTGCTCCTCTTTTCTGTGTGCCAGGTCCAAGGATTATTTTCCTATTAGTTTCATTGTGGTTTGAATCATGGTGCAGATATGTTGGAAAGTTTGTTAAGAAGAGTGATAGAGTTTTGCCTAGCCCTGATGCTAAATATACAAATTTATATGTGAAAAACTTGGATACTGAAATAACGGAAGAGGTTCTGCTGGAGAAGTTCTCGGAATTTGGGCAAATAGTTAGCCTGGTGATTGTAAAGGATGAAACTGGAGGCTCAAGAGGTTTTGGCTTTGTCAATTTTGATAACCCAGATGATGCCAAACACGCTATGGAAAAAATGAATGGAACAGAACTAGGTATGTTGCTTTGACCTTAATTGAGAATATGGAACAATTTCACAATATTGAAAGATCTTTTGCTTGAGTTGGTAGACAGTTGTCTATATGTTCTTTTGATCTGGTTTTTTGCTTATGTGCGTTTTTTCAATACTTCAATGTTGGGATTAGTTACTAATTCTAATTTGTATGCCCTTTTATGTTTCAATGTGTCTTTTGAGTAGGTTCAAAGATTCTTTTTGTAGGAAGAGCACAAAAGAAAGCAGAGCGTGAACAAATTTTGCGGCGCCAGTTTGAGGAAAAGCGCAACGAGCAGATCTTGAAATACAAGGTAGGGCTATGTTATTTGTTCCTTAACCTAGGACAACTTAAAGATTTCAACCTGATCATCATATGGTTCAAATGTTGTGTGTGGCTAGACAGCAATCAAATCCTTTGTCATGCAACAAAATAGCTATAAATGATCAACTTGGGAAGTGATCTGATATTATTAGAGAATAAATCTAGGTATGATTAAAAGTCCTATAGGAGACTGTTAAATGTAATGAAGGAAAAGTATTTAATTTTAGAATTATTATGATAGGATTATTTGACAAATCAGGAAATCACTTGTCGGGGTTAAGTCAGCTGGAGTTGACATCAGCTTGGAAGAAGCCAATATGTTATAAGACTGAGAAGAGAAAACATGACAGGAGTTTTACAATCCTATTTATAGACTTTTACTATTCTTGATTTAGAAGCTTCACAAAAAACTTATTGCAGTCATTACATAGCTTCAACTCAAGACAACGGTGATCTCAAACCTATGCATTCCAGATCTCTCCTAACTACTACAACACTATTATAGAATAATACGAAAATGCAAATTATAGAAGTCATGGGTGAATAGTTGTTCTACATGACAAAGGTTGTCTCCGTTCTTCTTTTGAGCAAGTAATAACTATGCTTGAATTGCAGGGCTCAAATGTATATGTGAAAAACATTGATGATGATGTTGCTGATGAAGAGCTGAGACAACACTTCAGTCAATGTGGCACAATTACATCTGCAAAGCTTATGAGAGACGATAAAGGGAGAAGCAGGGGGTTTGGATTTGTATGCTTCTCCAGCCCTGAGGAGGCCAATAAAGCTGTGAACACTTTGCACGGTAAGTTGAGAAGCTTATAGAAATGTTGAGAGTCCTGGATATGTACTCTGGTAAATTTTATATTCAGTGCCAGTCTTATTAGAGAAATTATGTATCCAACCTGCAATTTTGGTTTCTATTGATTTATGGTTTACTCTCAGGGACAAGGGAAAGAAAGAATTGTGACTTTCTCTCATTAACATATCCTCAGTTTTTGGGATGAAAACAGATATCATGTGCCATTAACTTTAACTCACAATACATTTCTTTATCATGTTGTACTCATTTACTATGCATGATGGTGAAAGAAGATGAGCAATCTATGATTCCAAAGGACCCAGACAGTTAATATTCAGCTTGCTTGTGCTCTTAAGAATTTTACAGGTTCGTGGACACTGGTCTGGCAGATTCTTGTGCTCATGACCTCAAGTTCAATATCTGTGATATATGAATTTTTGCAACAATTATGTGTGTCAATAGTGCTTCTGAAACATATTTAGGAATGAGGCCAACAATTCAGAAGTATACCTACTGTTTTATGCTACTATGAAAATTAATTAAGCAGTTTCTAATGTTTGGTTTGTTTATTCTACAGAGATGAGGCAGGAAAACTTATTGACGTGATGATGTGTATAAAAATGTAAAATTAAGTTTTATTAGATTTGGAAACTTTAGGAATTGTTCTATTGTATTTCAGAATGGTGCTTTCACCAGTGTTTTTCTTTTATTACAATGATATCTAATATGATTTGATATTAGTGAATTCTCTTTCTTAGAATTGCCTATCATATCTCTTGCTTTGGCATTCAACAGGACACTTGTTTCACCGGAAGCCATTATATGTGGCTATTGCTCAAAGGAAGGAAGACAGACTAGCACAATTGCAGCTGCAGTATGCTCATCGGATGGCTGGATTAGCTGGACCCTCCAGTTCTGTTATTCCTGGTGGATATCCTCCCCTGTACTACGCAGCTCCTTCTGGTGTTGTTCCACAAGTACCTCAAAGGCCTGGGTTGATGTACCAGCCTTTAAGCATGAGGCCAGGATGGAGTGCTAATGGCTTTGTACCTCCAACCAGACCGACCTTTCAACCATCACAACTTTCAGTTGTAAGTGTTTGTTCTGATCTACTACTCAATAATTCACTATTAAAGTTGCATGCTCTTTTTTCTTCTTCTTCTTTTTTTCTAATTTCCCTATTCATTGTTGTATTGTTTCCATTGTATAAAGAAGTCTCTTTGCTGTACACTCTTCATTGTACAAACAAGTTCTTCTTTGTTGTATCCTTTATTTGGTGATCAGAACTACTGATATTTCTGGGGCTCCTCGATATTTTTCTTACAGACGTCTAATACTCAAAGACAACACAAGCAGAGCAGAGGGAGGATGAATGGACATGTTTTTCCACAGGGTGGTAATCACTCTATCCCATATATTCAACAGCCTGGGCAACCACTAACTTCATCAAAAGATTCAACCAATCAGGTTTCACCCCTTTTTAACTCCTATTTATATGCTCGAGTTTTATGCTGGCTTTATGTTCTACTGGATATTGTAGTTTTATCAAATGCTCTGCTTAACTCTTGACACTTATTATCTTTAGTATTGGGTTCCTGTCTAATAGATAGCATATACCTGAAAGAACTCCATACTTCCTTGGATGAGATGGTGAGATTATGAAACAAATAATGATAATTTTCAGTTTTTATGACAAAAGACAGTTAGAATTTGTTCCTTTAGAGGAGCTGGCAGAAAGGCAGAGTGAAAGTCAAAAACCATAATTTTAATAAACACTGAAAACCATGAGTTACTCCATTATTTGGGTTGAGTAAATGAAATGCATTTGGTTTAGTCATTGCAATGCCATATATCTGGCATGTCTATCTATATAAATTCCTCATGGTCATCAAATTGAGATTCGAATTGAGAATAATAATTCTTGTTGTTATCTATTTCAGACACAGAAAAAATGGGGCGTTACAGTTATAATCGAGAATTGAATCTAATAGTAAGATTCAATATAACTTGTTAGAATTAATTAAAAATAAAACATATACATTTATGCATATGTTTCTCATTAATTTTATCAAAAGATACTAATAATCTAATTGCAAATAATGTATTTATGTAAATTTCAATCCCAAATCATGTACTAAACATAAAATGAAAGAGAACCTAATGACTTGTATAGTTGCCAAGTTCAAAATATCAAACAATTAAGTTAAAATTTTAAAACAAAAACAAAGTAAAATTATCAAGCCATTAAATTTCCTATCCGAATCCATATCCATTTATTATCATTTCCAAATTCAAGCATTTCATCATCTTCATCTTCTAATATAACTACATCCTCTTGCTCTTCTTCTTCTATATAGACTTTTCCACTTTTTTGTTGGGTATGAGAATTGTTGGACATGAGAATCGACTCGAATCATAAGATTTGAATGATTCATGCTTAATTTTGGTTTGCCCATAAGATACGAATCATTCAGCATGAGAATTGAATTGTATGATTCGAGTCGCAAATAGTAAGATTATGATAACACTGCTTTTTTCTTAAAAAAGGACAGGTAATATGCATGCAGTATCAATGCATTAAACCCTAATTTATAAGCCATTTGTCTGCAGCGTACTGGGCAGGCTAAGTATGTACCAAATGGCCGAACACGGGAGGTGGGAAAAGGATCTGGAGTCTCTTCTACTGTTCTCAATTCTCTTGGTCCTGTATCTGAAGGATCAGAGATGCTGAGTAGCATGCTTGCTGCTGCATCACCTGAAGAGCAAAAACAGATTCTAGGGGAGCGGCTTTACCCACTTGTCCAAAAGCACAAGGTAATGTTGGTTACAATAAGTCAATAATGATTAGTTCTGGAACGCATCTTGAAGTTCATTTTTTTAAGCATCTAAAAAATTGTTTGCCTTTTGTTCCAAGATTTTCTCCTAGTTTGCTAATTATTACCAATTAGTTTGATTTTTTGTGCTTTTAGCTTCCTTTAAGCCAACGAGGTTGTGGTCTACTAAGTAGTAAATGACTCAAGGCTGAGCCTTGGGAACAGTGGTCCTAGATCTAGTCTCATTATTGGTGATTATTATTTCTTGTTAGTTCTTAGTTGATAATACGTTTAGATAAGTAGTTTGTGGAAATGTATTTTGGCGTATTCTTTATTATGATGTACATGTTGAATTTGATCTTTGGGAAAAGGATAAGGAACTGGTTTGCCTTTTGGGGCAGCCAAGTGGAGGCTCTCTGATGATTATAAGAGATGTTTAAGCTCTATATAATACAGTCCACGTGTCCTTTTGGAATTAAATTAAAACACACGAGGGATCCTTCAAATAAATTCCTTAAGTTATTTTGAATTTGTTCTCAGATACTAAGAAAAATCAGCCTTTTCTCTACCAACCATAAATTAAAGGCACCGTTTATATCTTTGGCTGCAGCCTGATCTTGTTGCAAAGATTACTGGAATGCTTCTGGAGATGGACAACTCAGAATTACTTCTATTGTTGGAGTCCCCGGAGTCTCTAGCTGCCAAGGTGGAGGAAGCTGTGCAAGTGCTCAAGATCTCAAAGACAAAAGTATCTGGTCAAAACACCCTTCATCCGACGACTTACCTCTCTGCTGAGGTTGCAGTCAATTGAATAACGGCAGTTAAAAATCTAGAGGTTATGGTGCAGCTTGGCTCCTCCAGAGCAAAATTTTTGATGCTAGACATTAGTGAATCTTCTTCTCTTTTTCTGGAGTTAAATAGTACATTTAAAATTTACAGTTCAGGATTTTATCAGTTTCATGAAATATTATGTTTTGGTCCTTGTAGAGGTCTACCGGTAAGAGAGGTCCGAAAACTCTCTTATTGTGGTAGTAACATTAGTAGCAGAAGCAAGAAACAAGGTTTTTTTGAAGCCAATTGCTCTTGCAGTTGAATTTATTATTTTATTATTTTATTATTTGCTTTTCTTGACTGGATAGTTTTTCCTGATTGCTTCTTGATGTGTGATACTTCTGTTGCACAAACTCGTGCATCAACCTAGAAAAAAGGCACATTTGAAAATGAAGATCCACATTTGCAGGTAGTTTCTGAGATGCCTTGAACTGAGGTAGCATTTGATTGCTGCTAGGGCCTGGGAATGTAATTTACACTAACTGGAATTGCTTTTTAAAAGTGGATTCTTGAATATGCGGATTCTGAGAATATGATACCGTCTTGTTTGGTTCCAGATTTTGTTGTAGACTGTATTTTCTTTTTCATTTTTGAGAATGTGAAAGTGAAAGATAAGTGAAACTATGTTTTGATTGTTATGTACCATCCAATTTGTACTAGACAATAAAAACATGAAACGATTGTGGCGTCTATGCTTAATACTAAAATAAATAAATAATAAGCAAATAACTCCCACACAATACATATATGGTCCACATGCCTGTGTTGTGTGTATGCTGTTTTCTAATAAACAATGTAAATGTAAATGAGAGTTATTAAACGACAATGCCACTTGAAGATCAATGTAGTCTTGGCCGAGGTTCCAAAACCAAAATCGAACCAGAACAAAATTGGTGATTTTGGTTGTCTATATAAGATAGAGAATTAATGATAAGTTTGGTTTGGTTCAACTACAACAAGAACTGTGGGACCGATAAGTTCCTACCGTTTTTTTTTTTTTTTTTTTTTTTTTTTTTTTTAGTGAGTAGTTATACCCGACAATGCATGAAGATCAATGTAGGTTTGGCGACGGTTCCATAACACCAAAATCGAACCAGAACAAAATGTGGTGATTTTGGTGTGTCTATATACAAAAGGAGGAATTAATGATAAGTTTTGGTTTGGTTCAATCTACACAAAACTTGTGGAACCTCGATAATTCCTACCGTGTTTTTTTTTTTTTTTTTTTTTTTTTGGTTTTTTTTAAATGAAAAACGTTTTTTTTTTTTTTTTTTTTTTTTGTTTTTTTTAAATGAAAACGCTCGTTCTTTTAAAAATAATTTAACGAATTTCAATAATTTCTTTAAGAATTGTAAAATATTCAATTAGGTAAATAAACAAATTAGTAATAGGAATAAATTAAAAATAGACTTCTAATGTTTTTGAACGAGGTTTAGTAGTTGTTATATAATTTAAATTTATTATTTTTATATTTGTGAATTTTGATTTTTTTTAAAAAAAATGAAATAATTAGATTTGTACTCAATTAATTACTTAGTAAATTAATAATCTTAAATTTCTTTGAAATTTTGATTGAAAATAGAACTTCGACCAAGGTTCGGTTTGAAATCAAAACCGAAACCAGAAACTCGGAGCTTTCTCTCGCATTACAGAAGACGCATAATCACGAAGAAAGCTCCTGTCTCTCTCACAAATGGGGAGTAACAAGAACAAGGATACGTCGTCGTCCTCGAAACGAAGGAGAAGAAAATCTGACGACTCAGACTCGGACTCAGACTCCTACGAGTCAGATAGTCATGACTTATCACCAAGGAGAAGAAGAAGTTCTAGCAAACGCCGAGAGCGGAGTCGAAGCCGAAGGAACCGAAGTTATGACGAAAGCGATAGTAGCGGTAGCGATGATCGTGGGCGGAAGAAGAAGAGCTCGTCAAGGAAGATTACAGAGGAAGAAATCGCCGAATATCTCGCGAAGAAAGCTCAACGAAAGGTAACATTTGCATTCCTCTAAATTATGTTTGTTTTTTCGTAATTTCTAGGGTTTTTTTTTTTTTGTTTACTGGTTTTTGATTTTTCTTTCAGGCTATGAAAGTTGCAAAGAAATTGAAGGCGCAATCTGTTTCTGGATATTCTAATGATTCAAATCCTTTTGGCGATAATCATCTAAGCGAGAAGTAAGTAGTTTCAACCTCAATTTGAACTCGCACTATTATGAATTTAATCAAGTTAGTAATAATGCTTTTAACTATACTAAATTGCAAATTAGGGGCTTGAAAAGTTAATTATTGTTGAATGGAACTGAAATTATCTGTGTTGCAGATTTGTTTGGCGGAAGAAGATTGAACGAGATGTCATCCAAGGCGTGCCGCTTGACATGTTTTCGGTTAAAGCTGAAAAGCAGAAACAGAGAGAGAGGATGGTACGGATATATTGAATTGGTTGATTGTGGTTTTTCATTCATTTTCTACAATTATTGGGTTCTAAATAAGCCATGTAACTGATTGAGGTTGCATTCTATTATCTGATAAGATATTGCTATAGTGCTTTTTTTTTTTTTTTTTTTTTTTATAGTGCTTTTTTGTTTTTTTTTTTTTTTTTTTTTGAAGAAACAGATTTTATTCATAGTGATTAAACATAAGTGATCTGTTTTTTTTTTTTTTTTTTTTTTTTTGAAGAAAAGATTTTATTCATAGTGATTAAACATAAGTGATTGTTTCTCAAGAATTTTTTTGGTGGATACCATAAAAGTTTGTGAAATTCATTTACAAATCAAATATTTATGTTATGGTATAAATGAAAGTTTATTTGAAATTCCACATTTTAATTCTTTGGAATCAGTTGTGCTTGGACTTAATTCTACCAATTTGGTAGAATTTGCAAATGAATTCTGAACTTAAAAGGAATATAACTACTAAAGCTAATAAATCCCAAGTACAAGCTAGTAAAGCTACATATTTAGAGTGAATTCTACTGCAGACTCAAACGTGAAAATTCATTTCCAAATGAAATGAATTCTATATGGATTTATTCCAAACACTCTAAATTAAGCTTTTAATGTTGCACTGTTTTCCTGATGTATTTAGTCTTTAAATATTATGAAATAGATAATGTGGTTGGTTTATCCACTTCTAACAACCTTAATCAGTAAGTTGTTTCAGTACTGCTATAATTCAATCTGGTCATGTTTTTACTGCTTGTTTACCAGTGTGCATATAGTTTGTATCATGAGGCTTGGTACTATTTCAGTACAGAGATCATGCCTCAGAGACTTGGCAAAAAAATAGACTTACAAATAATGGCAGTTCATGCTGACAAATTTATGTCAGTTGACAACAATAAATTCTATTGGTTGTTGAACAAGGTGTTTGTGTATGTGTTTGGCTGGTTATATTAAGTTTATCGTCTGTAGATAGCATCTGTTAGTCAGTGATCGCCTATATGTAATATCTGTGTGTTGGATGATTTTCTTATTTCTTGTCATGTCCCTATCATGGCTCTTCAACTATGGGGGATCATCTATGGCAATGAGTATGGTGTATCTGTGCTCTTGAAACACACTGGATCCTAGTGATGTCATACTTCATATGATCTCAAATGCTTCAATTTTATCATGCAGGCAGAGATTGAAAAGGTGAAAAAGAGAAGAGAGGAAAGGGCACTTGAAAAGGCACAACATGAGGAAGAAATGGTAAGCAAACCTGTGGTAAAGCAAAAATTTTATTATTAGAATCTGTTGGCTAAAAAAATTAATCTGTCTTGAAACTAGCAAAACTAATTCTTAATGATGTATTATGATCTCCGTTAGTAGTTGATGTTTGGATGTATTTTGGTTTATCAACTGTATTTCTTTCTGTAGGCATTGTTGGCTAGAGAACGTGCAAGGGCTGAGTTCCAAGATTGGGAAAAGAAAGAAGAGGAGGTACATTGCTAGCATTTCATTTCTACTTCACTTTTTCGTTTTTTAGTCATCCCTGCTTTGCCATTTTTCTGTTATTTGTTAGTATAAGATGCTAATGAAAGTTCAATCTACAGTTTCACTTTGATCAGAGCAAAATCAGGTCACGTATCAGACTGTGTGAAGGGCGAGTGAAACCTATAGATATTTTGTCTAAGCACCTTAATGTGTCTGATGATTTGGATATAGAAATAAATGAACCATACATGGTTTTCAAGGTAAATGTGGAATACATATTTTTTTCTTCTTTGTGCAGTTTATTGCCTTTCCTCCTTTGCTACAATGAATGACCAGTGATAGCAATTTTGATTATTATGTGGTAGCTATTGTTCTTCTATTTGTTTTTAGTTATGATTATGATTAAAGCTTACTTTAGCTGACACTAACTTGTAAAGATAATTATCTTGCAAGAATGTCCCCCATCAAGCTGTATCTAAGTTTTGTAGAACAAAGTTTTTAATTTATTGATGAATTATTAGGTGATTAATTGTTTTTAGCTGGCTAGATATGGGAAACTGGTTTTTTCTGTCCAATCCAGTTATTTACACAATTATACATTTGCATAGACTACTTTCAGATTTGAGTAAATGTGTTAAATATTTTCTTCCAATTATTCACTCTGGCGCTTTTGGTGCATCATGCAGGGTTTGACGGTAAAAGAGATGGAAGAGCTTCGTGATGACATAAAAATGCATCTGGATATGGATAGGGCAACTCAGACACACATTGATTATTGGGAGGTACTATTGTTTTCCCTTTCTTCACTTGTTTTCATTGATGTTACTATAGTTCTTCATTCAAGTTGTAATGTGAAATATCATATTTGACTTTTTCCCCCCTGCCCCTCTTTCTCCGCATTCTCTTTCTCATGTTCAAATGCCTGCACAGATTTCCATGTTGCAAGCTTGATCTGTTAGATATACTTGACTAAGTTCTCAGTTTAATTGATCAGAAGATACCACCTGAACATTTATGAATAGCTCGTTGGAGAGCTGTGGCATTTGTTTGAAATTGTTGATGTTGTTCTAGAATTAAATAACGGCTGGACACTAATTTAACGTGCAATTTCAACAGGCACTTTTGGTGGTTTCTAATTGGGAGCTAGCTGAAGCTCGGAAAAAGGATGCACTCGATCGGGCTAGGGTGCGTGGAGAAGAGCCTCCTGCAGAGTTGCTTGCAGAAGAAAGGGGTCTGCATTCTAGTATTGAAACAGATGTTAGGAATCTCTTGGAAGGGAAATCTTCCAGTGAGCTTGAGGCATTACAGTCCCAAATTGAGTCACAGATGAGCTCTGGCACCGCGAAGGTAGTTGAGTATTGGGAGGCTCTTCTCAAACGACTTCAGATCTACAAGGCAAAGGTACTTTTTACTTGAATTTCCAATGTACATTGCTGTAATCGCAGAGTTGTTTATAGGTGTTGTCCTTACATTGAATTGGTGCAATTACAGGCTTGTTTGAAGGAAATTCATGCTAAGATGTTACGCAAGCATTTGCAGCGCCTTGAGCCACCTTTAGAAGGTCATGATAAGCTGGAAAGTGATCAAAGTGTGAGGCCTATAGAGGAGGACAGTGAACATGATATCAAAGGTATGTGCTCTTTATTGTTTTTGTGAAATGCTGGTTTCTTTTTACATAGTTGGACCAAGCTTTGGTTAACCTTGTTTGGATTGTATAGATGCCGAAACATTCTCTCCAGAGCCTATGCCAATGGAAGAGACTCATGAGGCAGAAGAAGCAGGGTCATTTTCTCCTGAATTGCTACATGGCGAAGATGATGAAGAAGCAATTGATCCTGAAGAAGATAGAGCCATGCTGGTAAATATTGTAACAGCCCCAATGTTGAGCATGCAAGTGCAAAACATGCTTCTTGGTTGGATGCTGACATTTTTTATTATTAATAGGAAACAAAACGAATGGCTGTGCGAGAGGAACAGCAAAAACGAATTCAAGAAGCCATGGCATCAAAGCCACCTCCACCAGATGAGAACTTTGAAATGAAAGCCATGAAAGCTATGGGTGCCATGGAGGAAGGTGATGCAGTATTTGGATCTGGTGCTGAAGTAAATCTGGATTCGCAGGTACCTAATTTTGACTGTTTACCTGCATTTTAAAAGAGGGACCGTTCTGTTGTGATTTGTCTTTAGAGTTGTCTTCAGCTATCCTAACACGTTGATGTGGTTGCCAGGTATATTGGTGGCATGATAAGTACCGACCAAGAAAGCCGAAGTATTTCAACCGTGTTCATACTGGATATGAATGGAACAAATACAATCAGACTCACTATGATCACGACAATCCACCGCCAAAGATTGTGCAAGGATATAAATTCAACATCTTCTACCCAGACCTTGTTGACAAGACAAAGGCTCCCACTTATACCATTGAAAAGGATGGAAACAGTGATGAGACCTGCATTATAAGATTTCATGCTGGGCCACCTTATGAAGATATAGTAAGTTCTTAATATCAAATAGCAATTATGCCTCATTATTTATGTACTTCTTATCATTTGCTGACATGTAATGGTATTACAGGCATTCCGGATTGTAAACAAAGAATGGGAATACTCTCATAAGAAAGGATTCAAGTGCACGTTTGAACGTGGAATTTTACACGTTTACTTCAACTTCAAACGCTATCGCTACCGGAGATAAACCTTCGTTAATTTTGTGGTTTTGTTCTCTACTGTAAATTACTCCATGAAATTGTATGAAACAGTCGCTTGATTCAGAGCTTGTTATAACATTTTTATTTTACATAGATACAAAAGAGAAACCTTGTTTAGTGAACACGGGAACAAATAAATTTGTTACCAATAATTTTATTTGAGGTTAATTACAAAGACGTCGAAGATTAATTTAGAGTTGAAAGGAAAACTAATTAATCAGCTGGGCCCTATTGATTTTAACTTTTTTTTTTTTTTTTTGACATATTTTTATGCTCGGGCTAAGGTGGTATTTAGGTTTTTGGTGGAACATGATTGCTTTCTTCTTGCAATTTACTTTTTAATTTCAATTTTACTATTGATAAAGGGACAGACTAAGCACATCGTCCCCGATGGGAAGGGGAAACCATATGGTAAAACAACAGTAATGTACTCAAACTCTCGAAGTATTGTCTAGGGTATGAAATTAAAAATTACAAACGTTGTGTTTGGAATGAAATTTAGGATTTTAACATGTTTTAAATTCATATTCATTGATTTCACTAAAAAATTACTTTGAAAAATATAAACTCAATCCCAACCAAATCCAATAGCCATTATTATAGTTGCCGCACTTGAGAAAATGTGGAGGAATAGAAGCATTATTGCAGGAGCCAAGAACCATCACTAAAATATTTCATATTGCTTTTTGACTAATCCCATTCCTAAAAGTTTCTTTTTATCTTAATCTTTGTGTAAAATAACAGTCTCTTCTAATGGTATGTGTTTGTGTTTTATTGCAACTAAATCCTAATGGGTCAATTTTGTACTCAGCAAAATCACATTGCACTGTTATCTTGTTCTTACTATTTTCATCCATTCACCAGTTCAAAACTTCAAATTCATTATTTCTTGGTTACAAACAGAGTTTCCTTTGGCCAATGGAATCCATTTAGTGACACAATTTAAAAATTTTGTTAAAATTATAATACCCTTGTGCTGAAAGATTTTCCCATCTTTTCAAGACTCCAAGAAGCACATTTACAGCACAACACAAAAACATCTTTAAGCCTTATAGATGGCCTGAGTAAAAATATACAAACATAAAAGCTTTCTGCCACTGAAATAATTTGTAGCAAAGACCACACTTAAACATAAAAGCTTTCTACCATTAAAATTAATTTGTCATTGCCAAATTGGCTAATAAACTAGAGAAGAAAACAGGAAACGTAAAATAAAGAAAGGAAGGCTCCCCACTTAGATTTGTGGTGGAAGAATATGCCGTAAAAATCACAATAAGTGCACTTTGATGTTGATCTGCATCATTTGAGTAACACCCACATACATAGATCATAGATCACATATTATTACAGAATATGGAAGGAAAGAAAACCAAAAGAAAGGGAGAAAAAGAAAATCCAGTAATGCTTTTCCCATTTCAAAAAAGATGACTTGCTTTTTCTACACGGCTAGCAATTCTTACTAAATTCCAACAGATTCCAATTACCACATTCCAGAAATTCCTAATCTTTTGGATCAGTTCATACTTTCTGCACAAAGTAAAGAATCTCATTCCAACCTTTCTTGCTCGTTTTCCATCCACTCACATCCATTCGGAATCTCCTTAGCTTCTATTGGCTACACAAGATTAGAGTCCTTGGTCCCATCATTTCAACAGCTTTTCCATATTCGCAACTCCTACTTTGCTACTTGAATATTCAAAGACCATAATCATCCATGACATAATATTTTAACTGTTAATTACTCTGGAAAACATCATAGGTTATTCATATACTATCACTGCTAACCTCATTTGAGACCTTAATTTTCTTGATCTACCATCTGAATTATGCATTCAAGTCGTTGAACTACATCTTTCATGGTAGGTCTATCTACTTTCCTCTCCCGCAGACAAGCTAAGGCAAGCTCCGAGAAGAGCTTTATGCTTGTTAGTATATTATCTGAGGGATTCTTACTGAGTAGCTGCTGATCTGTGACTTCCATGATAGCACCATTTTTTGCTTGTTGGCTCACATAAATAGCTAGGTTGACATGGTCTTCATCTCGTAAGAAGTCGATGGCTTTCTGGGAAGTTAAAAGCTCAAGCAACACAACTCCATAACTATACACATCACTTTTATCAGTTAACTGGTAGTTGCAGTAATATTCGGGATCCAAGTACCCTAACGTACCTTGAGCACAAGCTGAGGCATGGCTCAGCCCTGGCTGTGCCAGTCTGGAGAGACCAAAATCTGCAACTTTGGCATTGTTGTCATCGTCCAGCAGTATATTTGTTGACTTTACATCTCTGTGGTAAATGGGACTGTATGCTCCAGAATGCAAATAAGCCAATGCTTCAGCAGTTTGCAGAGCTATTCTAAGCCGTGTCCTCCAATCCAGAAAGGTAGAAGACTTGCCGTGTAAATGGTCATAGAGTGTTCCATTAGAAATGTACTCATAGATCATCAAAGGCTGCTCGCCTTCAACACAACAACCCAAGATTCTAACCAAGTTCTTGTGATTGACTTGAGTAAGTATTCCAACTTCATTGAGTATTTGTTGGGTGCTTTTGACATCTCCTACTTTTGCAGACTTAATAGCCACCACAGTTCCATCTTGAAGCTCACCTTTATAGACTTCTCCAAAACCACCACTCCCCAAAACCCTGTCTTTGGAGAAATTATTTGTAGCTTTCTTTACTTCTTTCAACTGGAACATCCTTGCTGTTTTCCCACCATTGCTTGATCTTAACATGTCTTCTCTTGCTTTGGCAAGCTTCGCTTGTTTAGCACTTGTCGAGAACTTGTGTAAAATAAGTACAACAATTAATGCAGCTACAGAGACAAAGAAGACTACCCCTATCGAGACCTTTAAACCGAGGATAGCCTTCCTTTTATACTTCTTTTTCTGGCAACTTCCCCGAATATGGTTCCATTGGTAGCCCCTATTGCAAAGGCAACGAAATAGGCCTTTTGTATCAGCAGGTAAACATTTTGAAGCTCCAGAGCAATCAAGCTGTGTCCTACAAATTGGTTCAAATGGAGAAGCCCATTGAATTTCCAGCCCCTCTTCCCATTGACTTGCAGGCTTTTCTGGATCCAAATTAATGATGCTTCTAAATGCTTTACAACCTGAATTATGAAGTCTTATCTTATATGCAGAAGGCATTCCACCTGCAATGAAGGTGCAGCAGGGGTCAAGACTGCTGGCACACTGGAGTGATCGATTTTTGTCAACATGTCCGGAGCTATCCAAGTAACTGTGACAAAGACTAGAAGGAGTGCAATTGAGAGGAGAGACAAAAAGCCGGGGTGAACAGTTGAAGAGGAAGATTGTGTTTGATGAAGTGACATTAAAAGGGAGTGTCGCGTTTAACCAAAGGCCCTCACTCACCTGCATGTCTTGAGTAACACATGTGCCAAACACCCATGGTGATGGTTGCACAACCATGCGTTGAAATGAGGCCATAATTTTAAGTACAAGGTAAGAACTTCCATTCACAGTATCAAAATAAAGTTTATGAGATTGGGGATCACAACGGAGATGATAGTTTGGGTCACCACAATTGGGACTTGTGCTTAGAGGATATGGAACTTCAAAAGCGCCACAGTTTGGGCAGGTCTTCTGGGGAAAACAATAGCGGCTAAAAAGAAGTATAAAACAAATATGGCAATGAAGGGAATACATTTTTGGAGTAGGTTTAGTTGTGATCATCTTGCTTGCGCAAGAGGAAGATCAGTGGAGAGTAGTGGCGCGGAGAGGAATGTAGCTGGGGTATATAAAAGCCTAGAAGAAGAGAATAAAGTGGATGAATGATAATAATATGGAAAGTGGTTGCAGGAATCTATCTGAAAGTCTCAACCTTTCGGCATTTATTGGATTGGTGGATTCCTCTTGTATGAGGTTCTCAAGCATGGAATTTCTAGCCTTGTCCTCTATGTAAGAGAAGCTCTTTGAAGAAAAAGCTAGGTATTGTCTTGTGGCTCTTCAAAGTCTGCCCTTTGCACTACCACCATTTCGATTTCCTTTCCTCTAATAAACTTACATGTGGATGGCACACCCAAGGGTTACTATAATTGGCAAAAGGTGTCGTGGGATCCTCCAAAATGTGGGACCCACACACATTTGAAAAAGAAAAAGAAAATAAATTAGTTTTTTGTTTGTTGGAAAAAAAAAAAATAAAAAGTAAAAAAGTTGGCAGAGGTTGGCAACTCACACACGGCTCTCACATTACCTCTCTCCTATAAATAGGAGAGGATTGCTTCATTTGATACACAACCAACCGAGAGAACCATCTCAGCGTTAGAGAGTTTTTTAGTTTTAAGAATGGGTTCTTAAAACTAAGGGTTTAGAAAATAGTGAAGATTATCGGGGTGTTTTTGGAAACACTTGTGAGTGCCACTATTTGTATTACTCTCTTTGTAAGCCTATTATTTTTAACAGTAGAAGAAATATTCGAACTTGAATGGGCCAAATTTCATACTCTAATGTTCCGTGGACGTAGCCCTAAACAGTTGAGGGTGAACCACGTAAATTTCTCGGTGTTCTTATTTTTTATCTGACATTTACGGAAATTATTTAATTTTTACAGTAGTTATTATTTCTGGTGGATTCGATCGTCAATATCTAATACGAAATTATTGGAGGTATATGTGGTAATAGTAATTTTATTTTACTTTTACCGCAGGCATTTTTCCGCGGGCCCCACTCGGGATCAGTATAATCCGAACAAAAAGCATGCACAAAGATAATGTGCAATTAAACATAAAATAGCATCTCTTTGTTAATCACAAAACAATTAATAAAGAGCATAGAATTTTAGATAAAGACATATAGAAAAAGGTACACCGAAAAAAATGAAGAGAAAGAAAAAGAAGAGACCGATGAAGATAATAGAAGAAATAAGTCAAATGCACCATAACCAGAAGGAAATGGATAATATATTTGTCATCCTCATCTTCTTCTGATCACTTTAAAGTTCTCAAGGATAAATGAACTGAACATCTTTCAGATTTAAAATATTTGAGATATGTACTATGACATTAACATTCTAACTCTTTTACACTCAATAATGAGTAGCATGAAGCTACATGCCAAGGAATAGGAGAAAACTCATAAAAGAGTATACAATTGTAGAATAAGGTAGAAAGTAGTATTCATGAAGTTTGTAAACACACTTACAATGATATCAGGAATGTGCTATCATTCTAAGCGTGCAGGTTTCCTTGCCTTCAAGTGCCTACAACTGAAAATATGTTCGTGGTAAAGTTTGGATCAGGACAGCTATCTGGTTGTCCTATATGGCTCTTGGCTTCTACTTGCTTCATCCCGGTTAACAATTGCATTAACCTTCAATAATTTTTACACTGGACCTGCAAAATGAATTAATGGCTTAGACTAACTGCCTAAGTGATGTCAAAAATTATAGTATGCTAGGAAATAGAATATGACATTTCCCGGCTCAATCAGGAATGATAACCATTTGGGCTTCTATACTTACCCAAATGGGTTTTGTTTGATGGCCAGCAGTTCAACATCTAACTGCATTTCAAAGACATAATAATTACATAAATCAGATATCAACCAAAAGGAAATAGCAAATGGTTGTGCCAGAAAAATCTGGACAAAGACAGATAACTCAATCATGCAACATCTAGGAATGGACAAAAACTTCATTTCCCTTAGTTAAATGCGATTAAGGAAACAAAACACTGGCTCGTGAGTGAGAAAAAACCCTTTGGAACAAGGAGACTATAAAAATATTTTGAAGTTCCTGGACCATTTCGTATCATTTAAATTAAAAGATATCTTGTCATAAGATAGAAGCTTGATGGAAGTTGATTAAGTCACCCTTTTACAGAAAATCATATTATAAGCCAGCCTTTTTATAGAATTGACCAAGTTGAAAATGCAGCTGTAGACTGAAAGGAGCAAATAACATGAGCAAAGATACAGAAATGGCTATTTCTGGACAGACAAAAGAATGATTTGCATTTTATCAAATTACTAGAACATAATTGATTGAGATGAAAAGTGGTGATAAATATAAGACTGTTATGCCAACTTTAACTGCATAAATATTTCTTCGAAAAATTAAAGCCATAGCGATCCCATCTTTTATTATTAATACTGAACTAAAGGAATGTCAGATGCCAGGATATGAAAAAGGTTGCATTGCTCAATTAAAAGATAACATTAAATTGGCAACCAATAAAGAGTTCTCTGACAAGAGAGACCTTCAAAGAATCAATTTTACAGTTGCAACTTGTACCCCAGATTCAAGTGACTACTAACTATGAATGAATTGTTTAGAATTCTTCTCTGCTATAGATGCACAATGCTCCTTTTCAACTAAATTCTAGAAAATAAGTGGCAGAAAAGAAACCATAATAAGATGTTGGCGCTCCTATATATGATTTGTTATCACAATAAGAAATTGAGTTTTCAGCATTCTCTTTCTTTTCTATGGCTTGCTTTAGGAATCAAGCATTGAACAACTAAATTCAATAAGATGACATGCAAATGACTGCTGCAGAAAAAGAATGGAAGCTATCAACTTAATAATTTTTAAATAGTAAATCATTTAACTAGCCAAACATCATTTGTTATGACTCAGATGCTGCTTTTATTTCACTAATTTATGAGTTGCGGGTGATCAAATTACCTTCAGATACATAAAGAACCAAAGGTCCATTTATTTTCCAGGTGAAATTTAAATATATCTTTTATCTTAATAAAGCAAAGGAAAGCATAAACCATTTACCTCTATTATTGCATTTGGAGGAATTTCCTGAACTCCCTTACTTCCATATGCTAGCTCAGGAGGAACTATTAATAAGCGCTGCAAGATAGTTATTATTCAAGTATGTTATTCACTTTTAAGTTTGCTATCAATTTTGAGTCAATATTAAATTTGGCGGTCATCGAAGTTAGCTTACTTTTGACAGAGAAAGCAATAAAATTCCACCAACTCCCTTAACTATGGTTTTCTCAACTCCCTTACAGTTCTTGCCATACAATTGTATGGAACAAAAATGTCAACCACAAATCATTGAGACTAGCATATATTTATTTTTCCTTGGAAGCTTACAGTTCAGAGGATATATCTACATGATTGCTACGGGCCAAAAGAGCAATTTCTTTAACTCGCACAATTCTTTTTTCCTTAACTTGTAAAATTTTCATTAATGAATTACCAAATCCCAAATGACTGCTTGATCTCTGAATAACTCCCATTTATATCATACACAGTATTCTCAATGCAAAATACCAGCAATATATATATCAGAAATTACTCTCACCTGCCCTCCTACACGCATTCCTTCAACGCCAAGGTCCAATCCTTTAAGGACTGTTCCCCTCTCTGATTGGCCCACATCAAATCCATAAGGCTACAAGAATTCGACAAAGGGAAAGAACTTAGAGAATTTATATCAGAAGATGACTGAGATGTTGATGCTATACAAAAACAGGTGCCTATTAAACATGTTTGTAAGTGCACCACTATAGTGTAGATTTACCGTTCCACCTCCAACACCCATTCCTTGTCTGCTAGTCATGAATGTGATTCCCTTCCATTTGGCAACATAGTGGACCTAAAACAAATATAATTGCATTAGCCATGTTTGGATATTATAAGGTAAGGTAACATACAACCACAAATACATGATATTGTGATATTTGAGTAAGGAAAGAAGTTGTAAGTTATTTCTTGGATTCATAATGCAAAAAATTCCATTGAAAGATGTTTGACAATTTGACTTGGGATGACTTAAAAAGCTGAAATTTATACACCACAACCATACTGCAACCCTGGATCCCTTCTCAGCCTTGAGTCCACCTCCAACTTTCAAATCATAGTACCTGAAGAATTTCTTCATCAGAAATTGCAGAATCATTGTTTACAAGGAAAGATAGGTGCATAAAACATAAATAAATATTCTACACTTGAAATTATATATCAGCAGCAAGCAGAACAAAAGCTTGTTAGATAAAAGTAAGACCAATTTATCCAGTACCATCATATGTTGATTTATAAAAATCTTAACAATTTCTAGCCGAAAATTAGTCTTTAAAGTAACAAAAAAAAAAAAAAAAATCAAAAAAAAAAAAAATCTGCAATTGTATCGTCTAAGCTCTAAGTTTTCTTTTTTTATTTATTTCAAAAAAGCCAGAAAAAAAAAAAAAAAAAATCTGCAATTGTATCGTCTAAGCTCTAGTTTTCTTTTTTAATTTATCAAAAAGCCAGAACTAGTCAAGATACAATGCTTCACCTATTTGTAAGATTTCATAGAAGGTGAGCTACTCTTTAATGTTTGGAACAAAAGGAATCATAATGAAAATGTTTAAACCAGAATTAAAACTAAACACACAGTATGAAGGACAGTGAATTGTATGTACTAACTTCAGACCATTGGGGAGGGTTGTGAATTCACTCTCTGGTATTTTTGATGCTCTCAGCTGCAAGGAATCAAAAGATTTGCAACATTAGTAACCAATTTTAATTCACTAAATATCTAGTGAGCCAAAATCAAATGTAATATAATACAATAAAATGCATTTTGATTATATTACATTATGTTCCATTATCACTCAGCAAACGTGGCCTAACATTAAACAGATCACCTCAAAGAAGAAGGACTTACAGCTCTTCTACTTGTGCTAGCAGCCTCAGCCACATCACAGGCACGAATTCCAGCAGCTGAGTTACAATTAAAACATGTACACTAATGAAACTGAGATAATGAATTAAGTTAAAGAAAAAAAATAACACAAAGCCACAGGTAATAGGACAATAGGATTATTAATAATCACATAATATAAAAATTATTCCAAATATTCAAACTTTCCACAAAATGAATTCTTTTCAAATGCAATTCTAGTAATAAATTTCAAGACCCAGTTGGCCAAAGTGGAGTAATTCAATGCCATGGAAAAAAGAAAAGGAACGTACTTTAGACATAAGCATAAGCAAAATAGAAAGGCAAAAAGTATGTATAATAAACTAACCGGTTGCAAGTAAAGTAGCAATCAGTGCCCTCCTTCCTTCCAGTGAGGTTGGTTCCATAATCTCGTCAGAGGAAGACAATGTGCAGCGACATGGCATTACATCTAAACTCCGGATAAATGATCTCCTCCCTTCAATTCAAAACAAATTGTTAGCTTTTTAGTGAATCCCAAAATATGCTTATGCATAATATAAAAGAGAAGGAGAAAGATTAATTACTTCTAATGGCAGTGAAGAGGAGAGGCTTGTGGATGAGATAAGGATTGTATTGATGGCAGGAGAAGAGGCAAAGTTCCATTGTTGGGTTGGTTAAGAGTGACAGTTAGGAAGTGAAAGAGAAAAGAGAAAATTAGTTGCTTTGCTCTATTTGGTTTTGCTAATCCTAGAGAAAGAGAGAGAGAGAGAGAGAGGAGGATAAGTTTGGTAATATCATCCACATATCAGCCATTTTAGGATGTATCTTTTGTTCAGAGACTGAATGAGGAAGGTCCAATTAGAAAGATGGGTCATACCAAGTATTAATATCTCATATTACCAAGTTTTGGCCCAAACAACAAATCATATCATTCAATTTCAATAAAAATACACTTTTTATTTATTTATTTAATTGCATATGGTATTGTTGGTCACTATTTGTTATTTGAGAATTAAAATTTTTAGTCATGTACTAACATATTCATGCCTTAATTCTTGGGAAACTATCATAGAGAAATAAGATCATATAATTATTATTAGCCCTAGAAGAAATATGATCCATTTAACATTATTAACCTCAGAAAGGAAGCAGTTTCACGTACTGCATGTTACTGTGTTAAACCTATTTACAGTAATTATTTTCATGGTGTTGAATGCATAAAGTACACTTTTTCTTATTTAAGAAACATAAACAGAATTAAAGAAATTCTTGATTAAGCACTAGAACAAGACCGTCTTGCATGAATAAAATGATCTTGCTCTGCCTCTTCTGAAACAGAAAACCTTCCAATGCATTTGATTTCTTGCTGTTCTTTCTCATCTGGCTTTAATTTCATATGGTGATCATTCCCTTCTACCCATCTTTTAATCTTATGAAGTAACTTTTTCCTTTTTGAACAACCTTGAGCTTGACTTCTTGTTCCCGCATCAACGAAGGATTCATTTCTTTTCTGCTCTAATCCATAATTGCTAATCTCCCCACCAGCTGCATCAAGTTCAAGTTCCAAACTTTGCTCTTTTTTCTCCTCCATTTGTTGTTCTTGTTCATTACTTCTCATCAACTCATGCCTTAAGCATGCATTAGTCCATCTTAAATAAGTAAGATCTGCATTTTCAGCTGCTCTGTCTCTTCGTAGTTGTTCTATCTCATTTACAATCTGTTTGTGATCTTCCATTGCTACACTTTCTGCATCAACCTGCAAAATAAGCAACCAAAAAAAGTATTTATTAAGATTATGCCAAAAAGACCTTTATTTAACTAGCAAGGAAAAATATAAAATTAGACCTTTGCTGTTGAATTTTCTGCAGCATTTAGTTTTATCAGAAGTCCATTCTTCTCCTCCTGCAATTGATTGACAATATCCTGCAATTCCCTAACTTCATCCTCCATTTTCTTAATAATAGTTGTTCTTGTTTCTAGTTCATCATAAAGTTTCAAGATTTCTCCTTCTGTTGCTTCAATCTTCAAGTTCTTTTCTCTTATAACACGCGATTGATCTTTCACTTTCCTTGAAATCCTCTTTGCTTTCCTTCGAAGAATCCCATTTTCCATTTTTGCAAATTGAAGTTGTTCAAGAATTCTTAAATACTCTAAAACAAGATTATGAACTCTTTCTTTATCTGCTTCAAATAATGAAATTTCCCTATCCAAGAATTCAACATGAGCACTTTCCAATACTAACATGTTCTTTATCTCAATTAATACAGATTCTTGCTTTTTCATTTCCTGATATTTAAGAAATTGTATTTCCAGGTCTCTCTCTCTCTCTTGCAGCTCTTCAATTTTTCTTTTAAAGCTTAATATTTCTCCTTCAGAACTGAAAAACTCATTAGAACTTGTGATAGTTTGCTCTTCATTTTCTTCTACAGAATTATTATTAACACCATGATCAAAATTTTCTTGATGATCTCTAAATTCCTGATCAGAACCAATGGTTTCTAAGGAACTTACCTTGGTTTGAACAGAAACTATACTTCTTCTTGATATTATCCTAGCAGAAACAATACCAGCAATAGATAGAACCAAAGGTATTCCAGCTTTCAAGAACAATGGCTTGATCATTGCCTCTGTCTTTGATGATGAGCTCTCCATGATTTCTTTTTTCAACAAGAACTGCTATAATCAGAAGAGCAAGAAACTCAATTATATTTGGTTAGTTGAAAATGGAATTTATGGCTTGTTTTTGTTGTATAAAAGAAAATTATTTTACTAAAATTTAAAAATGTTTCCAGGTTCTTTTTAACTTTAGGAGTTCATATGGCTTTTCCATTCTTTAGAGGGATAGTGGGATTGTATTGTAGCTTTTTGACTACTATTCTCAATTTATTTTTTATCATGGAATTTGGAATCTAATTCTTTTTTTGGTGGAATTAAGCTGCTTTGAAATGATGATGGTTCCCTTCAGACAACGCAATATTATGTTAATATTTTCAAATCAAATATACCTTGTCCATAGATTAATCTGTAGACCAAGCCCATAGATTAGCCTTCAAGTCAAATTTTTCTCTTGTTTCTTTTCCTTATGCCTAAAGAAAGAATATTATTAATATGAGTCGCCTCATTGAACATTAAATTTAATAGAGTAATAGCATAATAATGAATCTTATATATATATATATATATATATTATATACTATATATATATATATATATATATATAAGTGTCCATGAAATTGTTTGATCATATAAAAATTATTAGCAATAAAAATTAATGAGTGATTTTTTTTTTAAAAAAAAAATTCATAGGAAGGCCCAATGGGATTGAATTGAATTATATGAAACAATATTGTCTCATATTTATATGAGATGGTCAAGAATGATTTCACGTCAAATGTCCAATTACTTACACGTTGGATCGTATTCTACTATTCTTGAACTTGAATGGGCCAAATTTAAGAGCCTATGCAAGCCCAAGCAAATAGAATTATCATATGGAGAACTTAGGCCCATTTTTCGAAATGGGCCGAATTGGATGGATATTGGACTTTGACTTAAGTCCAACATTTTCTTCTTTTTTTTTTTTTTTTTTTTTTTTTTTTTTTTTTTTTTTTTTTTTTTTTTTTTTTTTTTGAGAAAGGAGTAAGTCCATTACTTTACCAAAGGAGGGGTAAATTTTTTTTTTTTTTTTTTTTTTTTTTTTTTTTTTTTTTTTTTTTTTTTTTGAGAAAGGAGTTAAGTCCATTACTTTACCATTAATAGGAGTTGGGTAAATTTATTTGATTTAAAAGATTTAAAATTAAAATTAGGAAAGTATGAAGTCTTAGAAACTTTACAAAATTTGGCCCCCAAGTCCTGAACATTTATTTGTTTATATTGAATTTTTTTTTCCATTTAACACTATTTTATGTACATGACTCGATATTGAGCTTTAAAGCCTTTGTAAAATACATGGTTATGTATAAAAAATAACACCAATTGCTTATTTCTAACAAGATAATTTTTACAATAAGATAATTTACAAATGTTTTAAAATTTACTAGGGGTGTGGAGCAACGGCCTCCGTTCCCCTAATTTTAAAAATTTTCTAAAATTTACTTTATAAAAATATAGAAAATGTTACTTTTTATTTATAAACTAATAAACTTTTTTAATTTGAATTTTTTTTTCGCTCTCCCTGTATATTTTTAATACTTCCGCCACTGAATTCCTGAGAAAAAGAAAGAGTCAGCTTTTCCCACGCATGCATGCTATTGTAATTGGTAGATTGCTTGCGTGTCAGGTAAGCAACTCCACGTTTTGCATAAGCATTTTAACAATAGGTTGCCTTGCATGATAGGTAGGAAATTTCTGGTTGCTAAATATTGTTTTAGTGTTTATAATGTGAGGAATATTAATTTTATGTATATATGAAATTAGAGGAAAAAAAGTGAAATTCTATTCTTATACATAAAATTAATTAATGTAGTATTTCTATGTCAAGTGAAGCATTTCACGTTTCTAGATTAAAGGAAATTAATCTTTCTGATCTATTAGTATTAATAAATTAATTTAGAAATGAATTTTTCTTATTTAGTGCGTTTATGTTAATTTAATTATATTTGAAAAACTTGGAATTAAAATTTTATTTATTTTTATTTATTGAAATACCCTTGACATAATAATTTATAAGAATAAATAATAAAATATTGATTATATTTATCTTATACAAAACAATAAATATACAGTACCAAAACTATGTGGGTCAAATATTATTTTATTTTAAACTTTATATTAAATATAAATTTTAATCATAAAATAGAAGGGTATGAAGAAAATGGTAATTTTTTTTTATAAATATTTTGAATTAAATTCATTTAGAAATTTCACGTTTATTTACGTTCAAAATATGTAGAATTAAAAATTCATAGAAGTGAACTTTTTTTTTTTTGGTTTCAAACATAAAAATTTGGTTCTTCTAAATAAGGATTTAGTGTTTACAATATCGGTAATAATAATATAAATATATATGAAATTAGAGAAAAAAAAAAAAGCGGAGGAAAAATGAAATTTCATGTATATAAAACATTCTATTATTTCTATGTTAGGTAAGGAAATCAAACTCAATCAAACTCCTTAAAGAAGAGTAATTTGAATTAATGTTTAACTCATTTTTTTCATCTTAAATTTGATTTAATTCTAAAGTCAAAGGTGAAATGAATTTAACCAAAATGAAATTATATACAAGGGTGAGTGTTCGGGTTGATTGAATCAAAATGAATTGAACCATCTCTGACCAAATAAATTTTAGACAAAAGCAAACCAAACTGAATAGCATATATAATATAGAATTAAAAAGTTAACTAGTTCAGTTTGATTTTGATTATTAAATTTGAAATAAAATCAATTTTGAACTTATTTTCCGAGCCAGTAATAGTTGAACCGAGTAAAAACAAAATTCAATCCCCTTTGTTAAAAATTAAAATTGAATTGATCATCTATAAATTAAACTAAATCGAATTAGATCAGTTCAGTTTAACTTTTTACATTTTTACTGAAATTTACTCACTCTTAATTATATAAAATCCACTCAATACTTTTTAATATTTATAAACGACATATAAATATTAAAAAAATTGTGTATTTAATATTAATTTCAATATTTATCTTAAAAAAGAAAAAGAAAAGAAAGTCCACCTATGGGTGGGTTGTGGTAAAAAGGAACATATTCAGAAGAATTACTTGATTTTCATTATTTTTACAATTGTGAATTGAATTTTGAAAACATAAATTACTTATTTTAATTAGTATGGAGAGGTTAAAATTGTCTTTTTGATTTAGAGTTCAATAAACAATTGAGTGGGTGGTGGTGGCTGTTGTCGTATATTCAACAAAGAATCAAACATTTTTAGGAAAATAATTTAATAGTAGCTATCAATAATTTATTCCTTCGTCTCTTTCACTGAATTTGTTAATACTGAATAGGCAGATGCATTCACCTCACTTGTTTTTCTTTTTTTTCCATAATAGACTTAAGCTATTAATTTGTTTTTGTTCACGTGATGCACGTGATAAAATTTTTGTGGAATAAGGCAAGTCACCAAATTAGGAATTTAATTTTTTCAGCAATACAATTAAAATAATTTTAAATATTATATTTTTAATAATTTACATTTCGCTATTTACTTAAAAATTATTACTTTTGTCTCTAAATTTTAATATTTATTCAACACTTTATTTCTTTTAATTTAAGTTGTATTTTTCATCAATGGTGTTACATGGATTGAAATTATTGATATTGAAAAATATAAATTTTGTATATCAAGGTAAATCTAATTTTTGTAATTAACTCAATATTTAATCATTTTTTTAATCAGCGATTGGAATATTAATTTTATTCAAAAAAGAATAGAGATAGAAAAAAAATTATCAAACCTGAGTAAAACTACACCCAAGCAAACAGGCTAATCTACCCACATCTGAGCTCAGAAAGACAAAAGAAAAAAAAAAAAAGAACAATAATAATAACAGACCTAGAAAATATTTATTTTAATCACTTAATCAGATTAAAGTAACAATAGATAATATTTATTTTCAAAAATATTTTAATTAATGTTGAGACCACACATGTGATGCACTTGCAACTCCAAAAGAATATATTTTGATTGATAAATAATAATGTGAACATCAAGTACAAATATACAATTAATTATTTATTTATCAATAATTGTTAGTTATTGACTGCAAAGTACAGAAGTGAAATATTAAATTCAAAAATTCTGAACACAACAGAATTTTACTATTTTTAATTGCAAAGGATTAGCACTCTAATCACAAAAAAATAATACAATGTGACTCTCGAGTCTCGATTTTTTTGTCTCACTTTACATATTTTGTTAGGATAATTTTTTATTATGACGGGCCGGATCCGGGTCTAGGGCAAAAACATTGTGGCCTATTTGGACCGTAGTACCCGGTTGGATTTGAACTTAGACATAGCATATGCAAGCTCGATCGAACCTGACTAATCCTTGCACTTGTAGGGCGGAGTAGTATTTGGTTCCATTTACAATTCGGTCAAACCGAATGTTTCACGTCCACGCACATGCAAATAACATTGGAATTCATATGAAGGCAAACTTAAACGGGTCATTTTCTGATTCACATCAAAAACTGCCCCAACAACGGCGAGGAGAGACAACAACCTAAGCTCTACCAAGGTGGAGGATGAGGACCATTATTTAGTGTTGGGATTCTAACTGATTTCGAGTGGGGCCCGCGAAAAAATACCGGTGGTAAAAGTAAAACAAAAATTATTATTACCACATATACCTCCAATAATTTTGTATTGGATATTAACGACCGAATCCACCAGAAATAATAACCACGGTAAAAATTAAATAATTACCGTAAATACCAGATGAAAAATAAGAACACCGAGATTTAATTAAATAATTACCGTAAATACCAGATGAAAAATCAAGGAACACCGAGATTTCGTAGTTCACCCTACAAGTGTTATGGGGCTATGGTCCACGGGACAATGGGCTATGTCCACGGGACAAAAACTCCGAATAATTCTTCTACTAAAAATAGTAGGTACAAAAGAGATTACAAAAATAGTGGTACTTTAAGTGTTTTCCAAAACACCCCAAAAATTACAATCCTCACTATTTTCTCTCTTTCCCAATTTTGGGAACCTTTTCCTAAAATTTTCTACATTCAATTGTGTGTTCCTCTTCTATTTTGTTTTTGTACATAGTTTAGGAATATCCTTCTCCTAACCGAATGGATGCATTAATCATGCGTCCATTTTTCCTTCCTATTTTCTTCATTCAAACATGTGTGGGTCTCACACGTTTGAATCTCTTCTTTTTTTTTCTTTGACCAACAATAAAAACGTGTTGTTTTATTAT